GTCCGCTGTGACGGACATGTGTTTTATCAAAAACTGTACAGCACTATTTTTTTAAACATATTTTATATATCCTTACTTCAAAACCAAAAATATGACTACTCAAAAAAATCTGTTTCTTTTGCTACAAAAATCTCCGTCGAATTAAGGGTTAATATATAGATATGTATATATCTCAATACTTACTTCCTTATTAATATTATAAATGCGAAAGTAACACTGTCTATCCGTCTGTCTCGCTTTGACGCCAAAACTACTGAATCAAAAAAAATAAATTTGGTACACAGATAGTCTAGAACCTGAGAAAGGATATAGGCTACTTTTTAATTCGAAAAAAGGGTTGTAGCGGGTTGTAAGGGGAGATGAAAGGTTATATAGAAGTATCGACAATTTACGCGAGCACATCTAGTATTTTATACATTAAAAAAAAATATAAAACACATTACAGCAACTATAACTAAGTTGTTCTAGTGACAGAGCGCAATAACGTTCTAGTTATTTTCCTCACATTTATACTTAATTGAATAATCTCAGATTAATTATAGATCTCAGTATTTATAAAATTCTCGTACACTAATCTGTAAATCCAATGTCAAGTCCTTTATTATTTATTTATTTCATATTGTTTCGTTTGGCTTTTATTTTATTTTTAAATAATACCTTCACCCTAGAAGACAGCTGCAAATCAGTGTTTTGCTCCTTGAGTGATTCTCCACGCCGGGCTATGAGCAATTTTGTAATGATGTACACACATGCAGGTTTACCCATATTGTATTGGTTTAAAAAATTCTGTATTGTATATATTGTAATTCTGTATTGAATGCTATACGTGTTAACAAAGATACAAATAAAAAATATTATCTATATATCTATTATTATATTAACAAAAACCATAACTTCACGTTTAAATAAATAACCCTGGACACAACGCCATCTAGTCCCACGGTAAGCAGATACTAAACAACTGATATAAACACTTAGATATTTTTTTTGTAACTACATAATATACATAGAAAATACCCAGACCGATACAAATAATACTCATGAATACAAATGTTTGCACCGTGCGAGGAATCGAACCCGCGAGCATCGGAAGTAAAGCGGTGTACTAGACCGCTAGTCCACTGAAGCTACCTAAAATATTCGGTTGCAGTATCAGGGGCGGATCGTGAATTTGTGGAGCTCTGAAGATAGGATCTAAGATTGGTAGCGATCTTGGATTGTGGATACGTTATTAATTTCGGGCGTAAATATACTTAGAGAGGCCTCTAAATACCTACCGTACCTAATTGTATTACTCAACTAAAAAAATACACCGACCAAAAACAAGCGACCAGAAATTCCCCGTTCCTTTCGATAGGCGCGCACTTGCATTGGTTGATTGATCTCAGGGTTGCCAACCTTATGGTATGTTTTTTAACATTCTAGATATTTTTTTATATTCTAAATATCGTATCAGTGGGGCCAGGGGGCCCCTTGTATCCTCGGGGCCCTCGGCTGCAGCCCAAAAAGCCCTTAGGTAGATCCGCCCCTGTGCAGTATGTATAACACTATATAAGAATTTCTGTTACATCTTTACATAGTACAAAATGAAGTCGGTCGCGGTCTGTTTACGTAGATCTTTTATACTAAACAACGGATTTTAATTTTTTAGCAATAGATAGATTAATTCAAAGTTTATATGTTTACATATACACCCGTGCGAAGCTGGGTTGGTTAGTTAGTCTAATCTATAAAATTGTTGATTCACAACGGCTTGACCGATTTTTAAAATGTAGGTATATTCAGTAGGTCTGAGAATAGGTTTTTAACTAATTTTTATATAAGTAGCTAAGCTAAAAATTTTTTTTTATTTTTTCGACTATATTGTTTATATTTATCTTTTTATAATGTGCCTTTAAAGTACATAAAAGCCTAAATTTTCATCCTTCCATCACCAACCCCTATTTATAATAGCAATTTTAAATTATATGGCATAACAGTTGGCGGGGTCTGTTACTAGCTGTACTACTATTAGCTTTTATAAATAGGTTTCCGATAACCTGACCTCTAATCTAATACTTCGAGGGAAGTTTGTTATCGGACAACCTAGCACTGCACGCACCGATTAAAACTGAATCTAGAAAACATATATATAGAAAATAGTTTTCATAACTTTCTAAAAATCCTAAACCATGACTAATTTGTTTATGAAGTTTTTACTTAAAATTTTTTTTCTTTTCTCCTATTTGCAATCAATCCAGGAATATGAGCAGATCTATTGAAAGTATGAACTGATAACGGAGTGTCGACCCCGGCAAGATATGCGTCTTGAGATTACATTACATAACTAGCTGTTCCCGAGATTTCATCCGCGTGGAATTTAACTTTATTTTTCTAAAATAAAAGTAGCCTAAGTTACTCCTTATTACATCAGCTACCTCCCAAAAAAGTCCCGTCAAAATCGGTCCAGCCATTTCAGAAATTAGCCGGAACAAACAGACAGACAGACAAAAATACTAAACAATAACATTGGTGTATGTATTTATATTCACATGAATGTAGTGAAAAACTGTTATTTCAATATTACAAACAGATACTCTATTTTTATTTATATGTGTAGATATGGCTTCTTTTTTGGCGCTTCTGGTAGTAGATAATAGTATGTAGAGCAATCCGTCTATTTGGGTGGTCACAAAGGAGCTTTTTATATTTTGTTCTAGATATTAGTACACTCTTTTGCTGTAGGTAAGCATGCCAAGTTCTTTCTGAGTTACGTCGCTTTGCTATTTTTTAATAAAGTATAACTGTTATGTATGTATACTGTGTATACTGTAAAAGTATATGCTGGCCAAATTTGTAAATTGACTTATATCTACTAAACTAGCAACTGTCCCGGCTTTGGGATTCGGGCACGAACAATATCGTCTTTACCATAAGGGCACACGGGGCCCGTGCCCAGGGCCCCCATTCTCAGGGGGCCCCCGAAGGACTGACAATTTTTCTCACACATTTATACTGAAAAGATTTTTGTCGGGGACACTACACTTTTTTCACAAATCAGTAATGATATCTGAAGATATTTTACAAGGCATTATTACAACGCCATTATACCTATTACTTCGCCTATTCCTACTGTACTAATTAATAATATTTCCGAACGCATCCTACCTAATTTACTAACTACACCATCTAGCGATCACTCACGCAATCACGCAAAAAAAATGAATTGCGTACAACAATGTTACAACGACTGAGTTTAATTTGTCATTTAAAGAAACCGTTATTGTAATTGTAACAAAATAGAAACCAGCAGCATTCTATTCATATTATATCACTGTATTTGATTACCTATAATAAATGGTCATACTTAGTCAAAATGTGTTTTTTTTTACTTTCGAAAAGGGCCCCGAATGCTTGTGTGCCCAAGGGTCTAGCCTAGTTTAAGATGGCGGTGAGCAGGAATACATTACAAATCTTTGACTTTATCAGTTTATTCTATAGTATGACACGCATGTATCATACATACCTTTCTCTTGAATCACTCTATCTATTGCTGAAAACTGCATTAAAATCTGTTGCGTAATTAAGATATAACCGAACAGACTGCGGTTGCGACTTTGTTTTATACTATGTAAAGATGAGCATCACATAAAAATTATCAACACAAAGAGCAATAGACAAGTTTACTAGAAATAAGAAATAAATATATACCTACTAAGGAGTGAAACAAAGTAATATATGCAGTCGCAGTTTGATCGCTGAACAGTGAACACTAAACTTCAAAGTTATATCCAAACTCTATTCAATGTCTGATGATGCCTCATTCAGAGGCGAAATACGTGTAGCAATATGGGTGTAGACTCAATAACGGTCGGAATTTGATCACCAATAGAGAAGGTGGTAACGGTAGTCAAGTTTTCGCACTGAATATTTGTGGTCACACAGATGCTAATTGTAGGCGAATTAAAGAAAATAATATTCATTAAGTGGTAGATGCTGTTATTCAAGCTCTGCAACTCAAATGGCAAAGGCGATATGTCATGCGTTACAGATGCCGGTGGACCATCAATACAAAATGTATATATAATGAGACCCAAGAAAATAAACATTCTTGAAAAAGACAGACAGATAGCGACAGCGACTTTGTAAAATTACATCAAATTCCATTAATGTTTGCGTGAGAGAGTAACAAACATACATATTCACAAATTTTCGCGTTTATAATTAAATATAGTAAGTTGGTAACAAACCAATGTAGAGTTGTATTTACTTTGCATCATTTTCTTTATATTACTGTAAAAGCATGTATCTTTTAACGCATATAAAAGGAATATTAAAAAATAATATCTAAATATTAATAATTATTATATTAACAATTCCTACAGCGCCATCTAGTCACGAGCAGAGCTTGTGTTATGGGTACTAGACAATTGATATAAATATATAAATGATTTTTTTAAACACATACATAACACCTAAACATATACACTTTCTTTTTGTTTTTATTATATTCATAAATACAAATGTTAGTACTATGCGAGAAATCGAACCCGCGACCATTGGAAGGCGGTGTTCTAAACCGCTGAACCACCGAAGTCGCCGTAATAAAACCAACAATGAAAATTCAAACATTTATTTAAAAGATACAATGTGTTCATATAAATTAACATGCATTAATTTTTGGTGCTATGAACACAATGAAATTAGTTGAATTATGTGCGTAAATTAATTTCTTTAATAATAAACATTACTTAGAAAAGGAAATATATATATTCACAACTAATCTAAGATAGTCCACTGTGGATGTGAACACCCACAATCGGTTCACCCTAGATTTATTGAATTAATTAAAAGCCAAGGCAGAAGAAACGATCTGTAAGATTCATTTGTATTAATCACCAAACGGCGATTCAAATATCTACAGCAATTAACTGACACAAAGTTGGTCTCGTAAGATTCGAACTTACGACCTTTGGGATCGACAAAGAAGTTTCACTGTACCAGACCACAACACTAAACATTATATCTTAACATTAAATGCGTAAATAATTATTTTTTTTAATCTAAAATATAAGCAGTTGTAAGGATTTTTAATAATAGAGCTTTTACAAAAATAAATGCATATGATAATAAATAATAAAAAGATATTCAAATATGACATCATCATCATCATCATCATCATCATCATCATCATACCAACATCAGTCCACTAGTCATTCTCTCAAGGCACCCCCTGGGCACGATCTTCAGCCCTTCTGGTCTCAACCCTACGGTCGCTCTACCTACCTGCGGGGTGTCCTACACCCCTCAAATATATATTTGTCTTGTATCACACAGAAATATTACCCCTTATAAATATAACTCTAAAGACTCCCCTAAATTTTAATCAAAATTAATCATCTTTAACTATATCACTTTAGAACTTTAATAATTCTTAATTTTAACACTACAATTTCTTACCATGACAATGAAATTTTAAGTAACATAAATTTTTAACCCAATCGTTAAAATATCTTAATTTCACCTTTTAAATTTGAGATGTAAACATTAAAAATTCTTTCTTATTTCTATTCCGACATTCAATAAAAATTCCTTTTTTCAATTCCAAAAACAGTATTCACTTTTCAATGATAGTAACGCCAATTTCTTTTTTAAGAATAACATTTAATTATTAATTATTAAATTAGAAATATTTTAAATATATAAATACTTATAACTAGATTTTCGAGTGTTTTACAATATATTAATTAATTTCAAATAACCAAAATCCAAATACAAATTTATCGAATTTTTGGTGGATTGTGAAAAGCTTCCAAAGTCGTAAACAATATATTAAATAAGCAAAAAAAAATGTAATTATTGTTGATTATAGACGATTATAAAACTGTTAAAATTGTGCTGACGTGCAAAGTTAAAATTTCTTTTTTGGTGCCATCGACCATCGTTGGAGACCATAAATCAATTAAATCTTTATTTTTTCTCCACAATTTCGAATTTCAGATTATTTTCGTTGAGACGCCTGATGAGAGTGGTGTCCCAGAAGGCTAGAGCCGTTGTCAGCACACCACCGCTGTAGACAAGTTTAAAAATATTATATACAGTTGAAACATGTTTGTTCTGGATAATCTCTGAAATGGCTAAACCTATTTTCAGTTCGGACTAGAATTGCTGGAAGGTGATTCCACAATGTGGTACGTGGCATATTTATCCAGATAATCAGGACAGTATTCTTTTAGTGTTCTAGCTGTTAGCACAACGCTTTACTTCCGATGCTCGCGGGTTCGATTTTCGCACGGCACAAACGGCGGCTAAAATGTCCTACATGAATAAATGATTTTTGAATTTGAGCTTCAAAGCGTTCTTGGCCCTGGTCCCCACCAACATGCTGCCCACCTTCATGAAGGAGGACTACTTGTCGAAGCGGGTGGTGTATCGGCGCTACCGTGGCAGATTGCCGTCGTCAGTGCCGTGACCATAGACACAATTTTATTTACACATTTTATTATTCTTTCTTATGTATGTTAGTCTATAAGGTATTTATAATATGGGGCATATAGCCTGAATTAATAAGTAAATTAATAAATAAAATGCCAACTTACTTGCCGGGCATCTTCTCCTTCTCCCGCAGGATAGTCAGAGCGGAATGTAAGAGAGCTACCACCGTTGCTCCATATCCAGGGTTGACACCTGACACCTGCAAATATTTAATATTAATAACATATAGACATATAAAGTTGATTGTAAAATATCAAAAAAATTGGTCCAGCCATTTCAGAGTTTAGCCAGATCAAACAGACAGACAGAAAAATGATATTTTGGTGTATGTACCGTATTTATATTCATATGCATGTAGTACAAACGGGTAATTTCAATATTACAAACAGACACTCCAATTTTATTTATATGTATAGATTAGTAAGCAAGGCCACATTATTGGATGTGGTAACTAAAAGTGACAAATAACGAGAACTATAAGATCTGATAAAAGCTAATTGGCTGATCGCAGATAGATAAAGAAAAAACATATTAATAAGATTATTTTTGTAATAAAAGTCTAAACAATAATAATAATCCTAAGCCGTCAAAATAATTACAAACTTGTTACGAGTACAAATAGAAATAGAAATAGAAATAATCTTTATTCAAATAAACTCATTACAAGCACTTTTAAATAGTCATATTTTGATTCTACCACTCATTCGGAATGCAGATTCATCACAAGAAGAATCAGCAAGAAACTTGTGTGTTGCTATTTTGACAAACCCCCTAGATCCATAACTACCTACCTGTAGTTACACAATCGGCAAAGATAGAGCGATTGTTCTTGGAAAGTATGTCCCAATACTTTCCAACAGTTGCTGTCTCAAATGAGCGGCTTCCAAGAAGTACGAGAACAAAGGAAGACAGTCACTCTAGTTTTAGTTGCGAACGCGAATAGGTTAATCTAAATATATATAACTCAAAGGTGACTGACATAGTGATCTATCAACGCACAGCCCAAACCACTGGAGGGATCGCGATGAAATTTGGCATGCAGGTAGATGTTATGACGTAGGCATCCGCTAAGAAAGGATTTTGATTAATTCTACCACCAAAGGGATAAAATAGGAGATGAAACTTTGTATGAAACTTTGTCAATTTTAAACCAATCGGACTGAGACTTTGCACACATAAAGCTACTATGACGTAGGCATCTCCTAAGAAAGAATTTTGATAAATTCCACCCGTAAGGGGATAAATTAACGCGAGCGGAGCCGCGGACAAAAGCTAGTTTAGTTATAAGTCGATTCAATTGCGATTCATAATTGTAAGTTACAATTAAATAAATAATTTAAATTAACTTTCTTTGCTTTTAAAAAACCCATCACCATCAGAACGTAATTAACTCCAACAAACCTTCCCGATTATTGTTTTATTAGGGGCCGTGGCTTCTATATCGTCGTCTTTCTGCCATCCCTTTCCAACCAATTGGAATTCAAAGTGCGTATTGTTAATAACTTCTTCCTTGGGACCTTCCTTTGTGACCATTCCTCCGGAGAAGAACCGGGGGTAGTTCAGCAGCAGTTTCGTGGTGCATTTGGTTCTTGTCATGGCGTAAAGCAATACGCCAACAAACGCCAATAGCACTGTCTCCATGAGGCTCGAAAACTTGACGTATGCCTGGAAAGTTACATAATAGAAATCGATATAGAAAATCAGTTATTCAAATAAACTTACATTGAAGCACTTTTGAATAGTCATCACATTTTTTTTCAATCTACCGCTCATTCGGAGAGCTGTCTCATCATAAGAAAGAAGAACAAGCAAGAAACTTGTGTGTTGCTCTTTTGAATAATTTTATTGTTATTTTACATTCATTCATTCATTCATAATTTAAGAGCTACGCTCTTGTCGGTGAAGCTCTTGCCACTTTCCGCGATCTTCCATCATGCTCTTTAATTCTTGATACGACACGACTCCCATTTTGTCCTCAATTTGTTTGATGTAGCTATTCCTTGGTCTTATTTATTTTACATTATTAGGTTAAATACAAATTACTAACTAGCACTAATTCAATTAAATACTCAAATAGAGAAAATATTAAATATACAACCAACTGGTTGAGTAACTAAATAAGAGTAAATCAATCATAGTGATTAGAGCAGACCAGTCCCTACAAGCAGCACTCGTTCACGAGTATGACGTATTAGCCAGCCTCCACTGCGGTCGACGATATTTTAGCGAGGCCAATGACCCAGCCCACCACGCCGCTATATGTTTGGATATTTTAGTGAGCATGACTACTCATTCCACTCGACCACGTCATATCTATTTAAAATTACTACAGTAAGGTTACAGTATTCACACTTTACATAAGGATGCATGTAGCAATCAATACAAAAGCCGCTACGCTATCATATTCATTCACGATTATGACGGATGAGCCAGCCACCACTGCGCTCGACCATATTTTAAGGAGCCCAATGACCCTATTATCATATATAAGTTCGGTTTTTTTTTTTCGAATTATTCTAATGCTATTAGCCGCAGCTGGGTTTTACAGCTAGCCGAACCATAGTGGGCGAATGCAGATGGCACTCCAAAGGAAGGACGGAATGACTTATGGAGCAGCTGAAGGCCAACTTCCGCCTGACGGATATGACTTTAGTCTGAGGGCACTGCTAGGGATTCGAAACTCGACTCAGGCTGTCGTAATTTAGTTATAGTTAATTAATCAACTGTACACAGACAGTACAAGAGATGGTCTGATGACTTTAGAAAGATTGACGGCCCACTGTGGATCCGATTGGCAAAAGATAGGAACACATGGAAAACGGCCCAAAGACACAAAGGCCTCCAGCTTTGTGTCTAAAGGACACGTTGACTCTGAGACTGATGTGCAGAATTAAAAATAACATAAACATATATGTAACTAATATATCTTTTATCTTTTAAACTTTTAATTAAATATTTTTGTTAGATTGATGTTTATATTTAAACGAAGTAATAAAACAAGTAAGTAATATTTTAGTAACTAACAGCCGTACAAATCAGAGAGAGAACGAATTGAATGAACTTTGAATGAACATTGAATTAACAGTGAATGATTGAACGCTGCCAACATAATGGAACACGAGCTGACCAACTATACAATATTGATATATTGTATAGTTGGTCAGTTTGTGTTATTCAATCTATGTTAGATGTGGCAATGTTACACATTGATATGTGTAACATTGCCACATCTAACATAGATTGAATAATTTTGTGTCAATTAATAAAGGCTAATTTGAATTGGAAATTAATCAATATTATATCGACCAAATTTCGTGTGTCTTAAGTAACTTCAAGGAACATACTATGTATCCCATTGGTACAGTAGACATATTTATAAAATAGCGTGTCTCGGATTGGTCGGCCTGTTCCTACAGTGGTGGCATTGTTTATAGTGATTGCCACAAATATTTATTTAATAAATTAAACGTAAGTTAATTTAATTTTTTTTATATTCGCTGGATGCGAGTATCGTAATTAGCTAAAGACATTTTTTTTATTTCTCTTTAAGTTTAAGGACTTTTGTAGCATCGAAGTACATGCCAGTCCCCAAAAACTAATCACTCCATACCTCACCAGTGAACAAATTGCCTTAGCCGCACTATCTGAAGGATGAAATAGACATAAAAACATGAAATAAAGTTATTTAATTCCTAAAAATAAAACAAATAACTTACCCGAAACTGTACGGGCCGATATCCGGCCTCGTAGCGTCCTCGTTGCGAGCGGTACACGATGGAATTGTCCGAGCCCGGGAACGGAAGGCAGTACCCGCCGCCCCACTGATGCAGCGCACCCCTACGACAGATTTATACATTTAACTAGCTGTGCCCACGACTTCGTTCGCGCAGCGCACACAAAGCCATCAAATATCGATCATTTTCCCGTTTTTGCAACATTTTTCACTGATGCTTCGCTTCGCGCATTAGCGTAATGTTATATAGCCTAAACCCATCCTCGACAAATGGACTATCCAATACAAACAAAAATTCAATTCGAACCAGTAGTTCCAGAGATTAGCGCGTTCAAACAAACTCTTCAGCTTTATAATATATTATAGGAGTTGCATAATTCCATGTATTCATGAGTATGATTGTTTGTATGGATGTGGGTATTTTTATGGATATTATTTATGTATTTACAAATATTTTTTTTTGTTTTAGTACCCATAACATAAACTCTGCTTAGGTTGGGAATAGATAGCGCTGTGTCATTTGTCCAGGATTTACCTGGACAATTTAATCTTAAATTAATAATAATATCCCCAGACAATTGACACAGCGCCATCTAGTCCCAAGCTAAGCAGAGTTAGTCTTATGGGTACCAGTGCCAAACAAAATTTGTTTGTTAATATGAGTCATATAGAATGATTTCCTAAATATAAAACTTTATTATTATTAACAATGAATTTTTATAAACCAGTGATTTTTCGGATTAATTCGCTTTGTCTCATTGACGTCTTCGTTACCGTAGACTACCATACCTTTTTTTCAATAAATAGACCACTACACTTGGAACCATAGAGAATATATTAATATTCTCTATGGTTCCAAGTGTAGTATAATATTAATTATAAACGCGAAAGTTTGTCAGTATGGATGTTTGTTACTCCTTCACGCAAATCTGTACAGTAGTTACAGATTTCGATGAAACTTTACAGTTTATGCATCAGAATAACACATAGGCTATATTTTATATACTGAAATTTAACGGGTTAAACCGCGGGGCACAGTTAATATAAATATAGATTGACATACGTTTTTCTTCACTATACAGACCTTTACACTTTAAAATAAAATTCAATGAAAAATAGTGAAGTTATAAGTTACCTGGGAAGCAGTTTCGGTTTGTATGAGGGCATCTTCTCTGGGAACAGTTTCTTGCGGAGTGCGGGCAGTTTGTTACTGTTTGCCAAACTGTAACAATGTTTATATATTTATTTATGCTCTAATAAATTATGGTACCGAGGCGGTAGCACTGCTATTGGCATTCGACGAAGAAATAGAAATAATCTTTATTCAAATAACCTCAATACACTGAACAGTCATACTTTTTTTATTCTACCACTCATTCGGAAAGCACACTCGTAACAAGAAGAACGAGCAAGAAACTTGCGTGTTGCTCTTTTAAATAAATGTCCTTTTAAAACCGCAACACACTGTTAGTGCAATCAGATAATGTTATTAGCGAATTTAAGTTATTTGTACAAAAACATTATTATCATTTACAAACTCTTCAATTTTATAATAAGCTTTTTTATAAAGAAAATATTTTATACGACATTTGAATCTTTTTCAGACAGATCAAGAGTCAGTCAGAGATCAAAGTCTACTACCCTAGTTATTAGGTTAATGTTAGGGGTGGACAACCCTTATCACTTGGGGGTATGAAAAATAAATAGTAGCCGATTCTCAGCCTACATAAAAATCGGTCAAGCCGATTCGGAGAAGTATGGTAATTTTATATATAAGACTAGCTGTACCCGCGACTTCGTCCGCGTGGAATTTAACTTTATTTTTCTAAAATAAAAGTAGCCTAAATTACTCCTTATTACATCAGCTACCTGCCAATAAAAGTCCGTCAAAATCGATTCAGCTATTTCAGAGATTAACCGGAACAACAAGACAGACAGACAAAAATTTAAAAAAAAATTATTTTAGTGTATCGGCCGTATTTATATTCGTATGCATGTAGTAAAAAACGGTTATTTCAATATTTCAAACAGATCCTCCAATTTTATTTATATGTATAGATGTATAGATAAGATATTTACCCATAGACAAGTGACTCCCACGTTCCATAATTGATGGTACCACTCTTGACCGCCTCCTTGCTGTACTCCGGTGACACGTACGTACTCAAGTACGACTCCACGGAGTTCAAAGTACCTAAAGACCATGTACAGACAACGTCAATAAATATACAAATTCAAATTAAAAAATCATTTGTACAAGAAGGTTATTTTAGTCGCTTATGAAGGTCAAATTTATTTGTATTATAATTTCCCAACCATCCACTTCAGTATACAAATTCAATTATAATTATACGAGAATTCACACAGTGCCATCTAGTCCCAAACTAAGCAGAGCTTGTGTAATGGGTACTAGGCAATTAATATAAATACAGTGGACCCCCGGTAGTCCGACAATCATTTTGCAGGGCAGTGTCGGACTATCGAATTTGTCGGATTATAGAGTACTGCCTAAGACCCCTTATAGTCCGAATTCTTTAGATCCAATGATGATTCTTTATATTATATACATATACAGTGGACCCCCGGTTATCCGACAATCGTTTTGCAGGGCAGTGTCGGACCATCGTATTTGTCAGATTATAGAGTGCTGCTAAGGGTCCTCTGCTTATAGTCCGGAATTTTTTACAAAAGAGTATCTTGTAATCCGACAAATTACAGATCCAGTGATAAGATTCTATTTTATATATGTATGTATGTATATGCACTCTGAAGTATATTGTCAAAGTAATATTCAATAACAAATAATAGACAATGTCGGATTACAAGGGGGGCCGAATTAGACAGGGGCCGGATTACCGCGGGTCCACTGTAGACAGACTTTTTTAGTATTTTATTCATACATAATCTACATAGAGAATACCCAGACCAAAAAAAACAACCAAACAATCATGAATACAAAAGATTGTACCGCGCGAGGAATCGAAAAACACCCAGATCGATACAATCGAATCGCAGGAATCGAACCCGCAACCTTGGGAAATAAAGCGGTATGCTATACCGCTATACCATTGAGGTCGTTAAGGGATCAAACATTTACCTTCCCAGTTCTGTTGCAGGTACACGACCCCCATATCGTTGGGTATACTGTCGAAGCCACACGCGCTGATTATGTACACACCAGCATCCTGAGCTTGGGCGTTGTATTCCAACTGCATCGTCTCTATAAACTGGAAACAGATAAATAAAAAGATTTTTATATCATTGGAAGATTTAAAAGAGCAACACGCAAGTTTTTGCTCATTCTTCTTGTGATGAGACAGCTTTCCGAATGAGTTGTAGTTTAAAAAAAGGATAACTATGTATTTTAAATAAAGGATAACCGTGGGCACTTTAATTAAAATAAATCTAAGGGTTAAATAATGTCTACCTCAAACTATGGTACTAAAAACATTTTGGAGACGTATCTTTATAAAGACTGCAAATCTGATGTCTAAGATCAAAACATAGTCTATATACAAACAGCATCACCGACAATGCGTTGTCATCCCTGAGGACCAGGGTACCACGTCTTCATACCCTATAATTTCCCCCTCAGATTACAAATTACATCGGTCTGAGCCAAGGTTCGAACCCCTAGCGGTGTCCTCAGACTAAAGACTTATCCGTCAGACAGTCCGGGAGTCCTTCAGCCGCTCCATAAGTCCTTCCGCGGGTTTGAAGTATCATCTGCACTCGCCCCCTATCGTCCGGTGAAGCTGTGGACCTGTGGAGCCTGTGGTCAACAGCTTTAGAATAGTTCGAAAAAAAACTGTAATTTCAATGCCAGAATCAATTGCAATCGTCAATTGCATTCTAAGTTTTTAAATATTGGCTGATGTCATTCGTTCACCAACACTACGCTTAGTCGAGACTCGATAAACTTAATTATATTCTTAAACTAGTTACTCGCCACGACCTCGCATGGGTGTACACGTATTATATATATAAACCTTCCTCTTGAATCACTCTATATATTAAAAAAAAACGCTTCAAAATGCGTTGCGAAGTTTTAAAGATTTACATAGGGACGGGCAGACAGCGACAGCGACTTTGTTTTATACTATGTAGTGACGATGTTTATAGGTTGGTGATTGTTAGTAATGTGGACTAATAACTTCATTACTGGTAATGTGAAAAACATGCCAGTACTGGGGTTTAGTCCACATTACTGGTCAAGTTGACCTCCACGTGGTTCTCCCTGGAAACTACCGTGATAAATTCATGGTGCATTTACCACGCTGGGCTAACTGACCTGACCAGTCTGACCTCCCCATATTATATAGAAAACAGCCAGACTGATACAAACAATCGCACTCATAAATACAAATATTTGTGTCGTGCGAGGAATCGAATCCGCGACCATCGGAAATAAGGCGGTGTGCTTAACCGCTAAACCACTGAGGCCGTTATGTAACGTTGCAAGTTTGATGTTTTCTGTGTGTTTACAAACTACTAAACAGTACGAAATTACAAAAATGAGGTTAATTGACAATAATATAATTATATATAATAGATTGCTAAATGCGGTGACGCGGTTGCGGAATTTATAGTGTGGGCTGATAAACTTATTGAAGGTCAATATATATACCAAACATAGCAAACACGAAGGCAATTTCGTTGTAAGTATTAAAAAGTTAAATAATATTGATCTTTTTAATAATTACATAACATATATTTAAATTTAAATCATTAATGAAATTATTAAAAAGTACTTTTATATTAAACTTCAACAAATGTATAGAATTTTGTAAAAACTGTGTTACCTACATAAAATTTATTTGCATATACCTAATAATAATAATTTATGTACATGTATACACAAGACATACATATGTATATAATTTATATAAATATGGTATAAATAGTTGAAAATACTGCATGGTGTTAATGTACTGTTACATTTTGTACTTTTTTTTCGGACTACTCTAACGCTGTTGGCCGCAGCTGGCCTTTACAGCTTCACCGGACGATAGGAGGCGAGTGCAGATGGCACTCCAAACGAAAGGAAGGACTTATAAAGCGGCTGAAGGCGAACTCCTGCCTGATGGGTACTACATTAGTCTGAGGGCACCGCTAGAGGTTCGAACCTCAGCTCAGGCCGTCGTAACATCGGTCCCCGTTTGAATTGCATTAAAGTTATATCAATTAAATTAATATGTAACATAAACAGTATAATAATAATAATCTTTATTTGTGTGTAACTGCCACGTCTGCTACTTGTCTTGACAATGTTTTTTGTAACTGTGAGTATACAGAAAAATTCATAATAAATAAACTTCCTTCAGATCACTGTGGTCAAGTTGTTAAGTTTAACAGTCAGATCAATAAAGTCAACAATAATAAAAAATCAAAAAGACAAATAAATGTTTACAATATTAACAAATACAAAAGCGCGATTAAAAATAAATTGGATTTGCTGTTACAATATAGTAATAATCCTGATTATCTTTACACCAAGCTAATTACTATTCTATCAGGAGAATATGAGCAATTTTTCAAGAAAAAAGAAGTTTATGTTAAATCTAAATTCACAGAATGGGCAACAGTAGGTATACTTAAAAGTAGAAATATTTTGTTTGATTTATACGATCAAAAAAAATATCGATTTGATGACAAATTCACCACTTATGTGAAAAATTATTCAAAAATTTTTAAAAAAGTTTGTATTACGGCTAAATCTAATTATATTAATAAACAAATTAACCAGTCTTCTGACAAAATTAAAACCATCTGGGGCATTATAAATAAAGAAACCGGAAGATCTAAATTAGCCTATAATCAATTTGCATTAAATTATGATAATAAATTAATAACAGCAACAAAAGATGTAGTTAATGTTTTTGAAGATTTTTTTGCTAATATTCCGATTAATATTACATCTTCTCTGGACTCATCTCCATCTCGAGCAAAAATATTACTAGAGTCTAATATCGGTTGTTGTGCTTTAAGATTTAAATTTTCACATGTTAGCCCCGTTCATATCATAAAAATATTCAAACATCTAAATTTAAAAAATACAGAAGACCTTTGGGGCATGTCTGTAAAAGTAGTTAGTTCTTTCATAGATATTGTTGCTCCATATCTAGCTACTATTTTTAATAAATGTATTGATAATGGGACTTTTCCACAATTAATGAAATTTAGCAAATTAATCCCACTATTTAAATCAGGAGATAAATTTGAGCCAGGGAACTATAGACCTATATCTATTTTGCCAGTTCTAAGTAAGGTGTTTGAAAAGATAATGTTAAATCAAATGTTACAACACTTCAGGGATAACCGACTGCTTCACAGTCAACAATATGGTTTCACCGCCGGCAAGTCTACCACTGACGCAGGTGTAGCGCTGATAACACATATTTTCCAATCATGGGAGAAGTCACAGGATGCACTCGGAGTTTTTTGTGACCTATCAAAGGCATTTGATTGCGTGGATCATAAAACACTTTTGTACAAGCTCGAACATTATGGTATAAAAGATAATGATCTAAAATTAATGAGAACTTATTTAGAGGATAGGGTCCAAACTGTAGATATTGACGGTATAAAATCTAAGGGAGCTAATATTGGGATGGGCGTTCCACAAGGGTCAATCTTAGGCCCCTTTCTCTTTTTAATTTACATAAATGACCTTCCCTTTATGGTAGAGAAAATTGCAGATATAGTGCTGTTTGCGGATGATACTTCGTTAGTGTTTAAAATTGGACGTCAAACTAATCAATTAGACGATGTAAATTGTGCTATGTCTGCTATATTAAATTGGTTTACATGTAATAACCTATTATTAAATTCCAGCAAAACAAAGTGTATAAAATTTACACTTCCTAATGTAAGACCAATAAATACACAGTTATTGCTTAATGACGAAATAGTAAATTTTGTTAATGATACAGTTTTTTTAGGTATAACAGTGGACTCGAAATTACAATGGGGGCCCCATATTTCAAAATTGGCCAATAGACTCAGTTCAGCTGCATATGCAATTAGAAGAATTAGGCAATTAACAGACGTGGCGACGGCTAAACTTGTATACTTTAGTTATTTCCATAGCATTATGTCATATGGTATACTACTATGGGGTAAAGCAGCCGATATAAATACTATATTTATTTTACAAAAGAGAGCCATACGTTCTATTTATGGTATGGGTTCAAGAGAGTCATTACGTCAGTGTTTTAAAGATTCAAATATCCTCACCGTTACTTCACAATACATTTATGAGAATATCATGTATACACGAAAGAATTTAGACAGTTTTAGAAAACTTAAAGACTGTACAAATAGAAACTTACGCAATAAAAATAAGCTAATTTTACCTAAATGCCGCCTGCACAAAGTCAGTAATTCATTCTATGGTAATTGCGTAAGATTTTATAATAAACTGCCAGAATCTGCACTAAATCTGACAGAGAGGCAATTCAAATCTTATATTAAACAATTTTTATGTAAGAAAGCCTATTACAGGATAGACGAATTCATAGAAGACAACATATCAAGTAAATAATTAGTTTATTAGCATACAACGTTATAATTTGTTTATCTCATTGCTTTCTTGATTCAATTATTTTAGAAATATGAAAGCGTAGCGGGTTTTGTATTAATTGCCGCATGCATTCTTATGTGAAATGTGAATACTATAAACATCAGATGGCAATTGTGAGTAGCTATGACGTGGTCTGGTGTTTTGAGTAGTCATGCTCACTAAAATGTCCAGACTTGTGGCGGCGTGGTGGGCCGGGTCATTGGGCTCCCTAAAATATGGTCGAGCGCAGTGATGGCTGGCTCATCCGTCATACTCGTGAACGGGTGCTGCTTGTAGGGACTGGTCTGCTCTAATCACTATGACTGATTTCCTCTTATTAATTGTTTAACCAGTTGGTTATGTATTCAATATTTTTTTCTTTGAGTATTTAATTGAATTAGTGCTAATCGGTGGTTTGTATTCACACACTTAAACTTAAATTGTAAGTAAGAATAAATTATTTAAAAGAGCAACACACAAGTTTCTTGCTTGTTCTTCTTGTGATGAGACAGCATTCCGAATGAGCGGTAGATTAAAAAAAAAAAATGTTATGACTATTCAAAAGTGCTTCAATGTAAGTTTATTTGAATAAATGATTTTCTATTCTATTCTATTCTATTCTATTTACTGCTCACAAGGAAACTTACAATATTGAACAAAGTGACAAAAGTATGTATTTAATCTTACAAGCTATTCCTTGTGAGAGTCTGGAGTCTGAACTAAGTCGAATAGAATAGAATAGAATAGAAAATCATTTATTCAAATAAACTTAATTTAAGCACTTTTGAATAGTCATAACAATTTGTTTTTTATCTACCACTCAAACCCTGTACTGCAGATCTCTAGGCTCTCTCCGAGAACTTGGAGGAGTATGTAATTTTCAAACAGAATAAAAATTTTAAAACGATCAAAATTTTAAATATTACATTTGTAAAATGAATTTGAACTATTGTGTATCTTATGTATAAGAGTTGATTCATTTTTTTTTTAATATAAATTTCTCGATTATATAATTGAATGACAATAATTGGTTACTTGTTTATTGTGATTATCGTAAACTGTATTTGTTATCAATGTTATTTTAAGATTTTTCAATACCTAACCCACTGTATAATGGAGTATTGTAGGTCAAGCTGTATTTATATCTATATAATTATCCACCAATTTTGTCGAGTACTACTTAAGAAGAAGCAGAAGAATATTACCTCAGGTTCTCCACTGACGTCCACATAGTGAGTCTTCGCATCGATGGCGGCGCGGACCACAGGCTCGCCGTACAGCCGGTACGGCCCGCAGCAGTTCACCAGCACCTTCGTCTGCGAGCACATCTCCTTCAGCGACTTTTCATCCTTAACATCAGCCACTATCAACTTCACTTTGGACAGGTCTCGATCTGCAACAGATAATCGACACCAAACCTAATTTTGCAGCCCTGTAGTGTGAAAATCCGATTGGCATGAGAGATATATTTATATTATAAAAAAATACTATTAGATCACTCCCCGGGGGAAGGGGATTGATATCCGTCATACTCGTGAACAGGTGCTGTTTGTGGCGACGGGGCTGTTTAGGTTACGGCACTATTTCCTTTTGACAAAATTGCAATAGCATATGATGGTGGTTATATATTACTGTACTCTACTAATGTAAATTTAAAAAAATAATCTGTATTATTGTAAACATGCAACCTCATTTGAAAAGAATAAGTGTTGAGTTTCAGTTCTTCTCATCTAGAAAGCACTCCGAACTGACGGTAGATTGGACATATCATAAGAGTCTATGATAGAGATGAAACTTAGCGGCCTTAATACTATCCGGTTGAATACAGGATAACTACTATTGGGCCGGATAGACATTCCGACGAATTAAAATCTGGATAAAAAAATATATTTTTTAAGTAATTATTTGCTTAATTTAATTAGTCTTAGTATCACTTAAGAAATACAATTAATTTTAGCTTTAAATTTAATCACACATTAGTAAATGACTGTAATAGAAAGAAAATTAATTAATTACTACTCATACTGCACTAAGGGCAAGGCCGGATATCCGGCTATTAGACCATATGGTTGGCCGAGTATCCGGTATCCGGCCAAAATGCTATCCGTTTTATCTCTAGTCTATAATACACCTACATGAATAATGAACTAACAATCCCATTGCTAGCAATGTATCATCTCAGGTTGACCTCCAGGTGGTTCCTTTTGGACACCATCATGATAAATTCCTAGAGAATTTGTCACGATGGCAACTGACCTGACCTCATTTTATCATCTTCCACTGATACCCCGAAAGCGTAAACCGTGATGCATTTGTCACACCAATCCATTATTATCCATTAAAAATAAAAATGTACCATGTCGACCAGGTTGACCACCACGTGATTCCCCTTGGAAATCATCGTGAGAAATTCCTGGTGACTTCGTCATTATGACTCATTTTATCATCCTCCACTGGTGCCCCAATAGTGGAATAACAAACGTGATGGTATTTTATAGAAGTATCGGATTGAATTTTGCGTTACATGCTTTCACACAGTCCATCCATCTCTTTTTCGGTCTCCCTCTGTCGTTATCCATATTCATATGATATACAACATGAAAAATGTGTAATATGATAATATGAAATAATTTGTAAGTTTTTATATAAATAGCTTGAAATATAGGAGCAAAACGTGGGCGGGTGGTTAGTTAAATATAGTTAAAATGATATACAGCTTGACAACACAACAATAGATGACTATATAGACACCAGAAATAAAAACTGTATATATAAACATATATGTTAATTAACATGCTAATATATGCATTGAATATTGTCTGTATTTCTACAGGACCATTGTTTTAGAGCTTGAAATTAAATATTCATAAGTTTTACTCTATATTGTATTCAACATGTCTACAATTTTTTACTTATTTTCTTTATAAAACCTCTTTTTAAATATATATTTAATGCTACTAACTGTGCAATATGTTTATTGTATGTATATGTCTTTTTCAATTACCTATATACTACTTAATCAATTGAAGGAAGGAGGAGGCAGAGTACTCAGTTATATTGCATTTTTATATTAACTCTAAACTGGGTGAAATAAACCAATTTAATAAATGAAATGTAAGGATAGATCATATTACGATGTATGTCAGCAAAGGAACCCTTAAACCTATGACCGGGTCCTGGAACTGCTCGGAGTCTCCCTCACAGCTGCGCAATGGACTCAACACATACAAAGAATTCATAAAATGAAGTTCCTGTCCACAATAAGTGATGACAATGATTGTCACAGAATCATGAAAATATAATTTTATGTAACTGGAATTTATGGAAGAATTTAAGAAAGTAATTTGTAGATAGTCAGCTGCATAACCGTCACAAACGTCCATGTTTTTTTTTTATGGATTAACTGACCCACACAACTTTGTTTGCATCAAACTTACTCAATTTACATAATATTATTTTAAATTATAGCCTGTGTTATTCTGATGTATGAACTATATTACTGTAAAGATTTATCAAAATCCGTTCAGTAGTTTTTGAGGGAAAGAGTAACAACCATCCATCCATACTTACAAACTTTCGCATTTTTATTATTATTAAGATAATGGGGTGCACCTAACTAGTGCCTATGCTAACAATTTATGCTGGTGGAGCACCAGTGGAAGATGTCAAGATGAGCAAGTTGTAAGTCCATCCCAGTAAATTCACCAGGAATTTATCATGACAGTTTCCAGGAGAAACTGCCTGGAGGTCAACCTGACATAGATTATTGCTTGTAATAAAGTCTTAAATTAAAAAAGATCATACCTGTTTTCTTGGAAACCTCTTTAATTAGAGACTCAAGCTTGTCCTGTGACCGTCCAGCGACGCCCCACGTCAGGGTGTCATAGTCCTTCCCCCCACGAGCCACCTCCTCCACTGCTTTCTGGCCTGTGAAGCCGGTCGCACCAAAGATGACTATATCCAAACGCGACATCTGGAAAAATAACAGACCACATTGGCTTATAGGTCTTCCGGACAGAGTGAATCTGAGGAGATATATCCTGTCCCTTAAAGAAGACAGCAGCAATTTTTAATATTGGTAAGCTTAGATAGATCACTGAAGTTTGTAATGCTGCAGGTCTACAAAGCTAGACCAAAATGGGAGGATATTATTCTAAAAACTATTGTTTTAATTTCTACTAAATTTGCCATAATTAATTCAACAGACTTTATGCATATCTCATCAACCTCTATTGGTGTCCTGCCTGAGCAAGCAGGTGCACCTACAATTTATTTATTACATACTAAAAAGCATTGCATTAAATAAAACTAAATTTGTTGATGGTCAGACCTGAAAAATTCAATAAAAAAATATTATAATTTCGCCATAAATCAAATCCTGACCGCAAAATATTTACTCTTATCTACCCCCCACAGAGAATATTTGTGTAATATCTATGAGAGTTTTACATCTAATTAATAATTAGCATATTCACATTAAGTGAATGATTTCTTAAATAATATTTATAATTTGATAAAAAAACGTACATTCAAGAGTTTTCTCGCCGACGAACGAACGAAATGCACACAGAAGCGATTTCCGCCCAGTCAGGATATCGGTTTTTAAATTTAGAATAATCTAAACATGACGTAATGCAACCAACAGTATGGTTTTATAGCCAATAGTTACAAAAACAATCTGGATGACTCATACGATTAATTCAATTTATTATACTGAGATACACCGGTATTATTAGTAAACCTTGAAAATATTGATATATATTGTGTAATACGGCTGATTATGGTATTAATATGTCTAGAACTTACGATTTACAATAGAAATCCCACTGCGTATTTGTTTAATTACTCCACATTTATCAGTTAACGATTTTATGCATGAGCTATTCAAAATGACTTGACAGCGTTTAAAAAGGTGCAGTAACAATGTAACAATGACAGATTACTTTTCAATTCAAACAATTAAGCACAAATTAAATTTGAAATGATGAATCGCGAAATAACGTAAACAATGTAATGTCATTGTCTTAGTGACAAACACAGAGTAAAGAGGTAAACTTGAATTAAAAACTGGTATTGTACCCAAATATAAATAAAATGGAAGTGACTAACAAACCTAAACTAAAATTAGTTTAGGTCATACAAAATTATTGTCATTAAAACGTTTTTGTTTTAAATAACATAATATTTTGTTGCAATTTGTGCCTACAAAAATTCTATAGAAAATAAAAGATAGTTGGTGTCAAAAATGATTACATATGGAAAACTGAATACTTTTTATTATTTTATATCACGCCGTCAATATAAACATATTTGTACAATTAAATGACCAAAAAGCACTTTCAGCTGTGTTATATTAAATCAATGTACCATTTTTTTATTTTTAGCTTGACAATTTTATATCCGTACAACTTTATCGAATTGTGCGATGGTAACAATGAATATTTTTACCATCGCACAATTTGTGATAAATATGTATCGAATAGTATAAAAATGTATCGATAAAAATTATTTATTTAATTCATGAACTAAATGAGAACTATATGGGTATGAAGCAGTGCGGAATTTATATTTCTTATGACTGTAGGCCACTTTATTTCAGCCACCCCATCTATATACCTTTCTAAAATAATAATTTTAACATTTGTAGTAAAGCACGCCTTAAAGTTAAATAAACTGCTCATCTATAACTTACGCAAATAATATAGGTTTCGATAGGAATGAGTTTATATAGGGATTTATTTAAAATATAAGAAATCTTGAGAAAAGAAGTGAACGAGTTTGACTTTTATCCTCAAAAATCGAGTGACCGTTCTCCCTCTGAAATATGCTATATAGCTTATATGGCCTATTTATAAATTCAGGACTGGTATGAGGTAATATTAAAATTTCTTTTACATGTTAGATTTATAAGACTTCTAGCTATGGTGTACATAAATTCCCTGAGATCTTTAAAAATCCTAATGTACTCTGTCCAGAAGTGACAGCGATGCTGACAGTGACAGTGACATTCGCAGATTACGAGTCACTTGATTGAATGAAATTGTTTGACTGACGTTTTGAGAATGACTGTATGACGACACAAAACCAAAACTTAAGAAAATTTAATTTTATTTAACTCTTGCTTCGTTGGTATTATAGTGTATAACCTAAAAGGCCGATTTTTAAAAATGGAATTGAACGAGAAAATTTTACATTACCTAGAAAAAAGTGATAATATAGATACTTTAAAATTAGCAAATGAATTTAGTGAGGACCATCAGAAAATAGTGGGAGCAGTGAAGAGTTTAGAAGCTCTTGAAATGGTCACTTCGGAGCCTGTAAAAAGTACACAGTGGGAACTGACTGATGAAGGGCACCTCGTAGCTAACAACGGCAGCCATGAGGCTGTTCTCTTCAGAAGTATACCTGACGATGGTATACCACAAGCAGAGTTAATGAAGGTAAAGTCTTTATTAAAATGAAATAGACAATGTTTTTTTTTAATTTTCTGTGTAAATATGCGATTTTCCAAGAACAATGAATTTTAATATAAGACTCCAAACTTGTTAATTCTTATTGTTTACTAGCTGCTCCCGCGACTTCGTCCGCGTGAAGTTTAACTTTATTTTTCTAAAGTAAAAGTAGCCTAAGTTACTCCTTGTTACATCACCTACCTGCCAATAAAAGTCCCATCAAAATAGGTCCAGCCATTTCAAAGATTAGCTGAAACAAACTGACAGACAGACAAAAATTGTAAAAAAAATATTTTTGTGTATGTACAGTAGGTATTTATATTTATATGCATGTAGTAAATAACAGTTATTTCAATATTAAAACAGACACTCCAATTTTATATATATGTATAGATAAATGGAAATGGAAAAGCAAGAATTGTATAAATTTATGTGTAAATAAAAGAGAGTGCTAACACTAAATTCTCTCTGCATATCCCATTAAAAAAAATATATAATTATCTGTTTCATTTATAAGTTTTTCTGTTTAAGTATGTATAGTTATCATTTGAAAAAATTATACTAGATTTTAAAAGTTACCTTATAAATCAAAAAGGAGTGGGCTATTCAATATTAATATTTAAAAAAATATAATTTTGACTTAACTTGTAGATCATTATTATTATTATTATAATGATAAATATAATTGTCTTATTCAACACCAGATCATACTTTTATTACAGATTTATACATAAATTATATAATTATTCCTGCATCCTTTTAATTTAAGTATATATTATGTTTTGACTGTCTTAATCGTATAAGCTTTATTTATGTAATATATGTATGTTTATATAACAGCACCATGGACTTTATCATCATGTAACACCAATGATAAGTCACTTGTATTGACATTTCTGAGGACTAAGGTGTCAATTCTGGATATCTTAGAATGCAACTACAAAGTTTCTAATGATTATAATAATAATATTAACATAACAAGTCTCTCACAAGTTCTGCTTTGCTTGTACTATGAATGGCCATAGATAACTGATATAAATACTCATAATTTTTTTTTATGATTACATACATAATATATATAGAAAACACACAGACTGTTACAAACAATCATATTCATGAATACAAATGTTTGCACTGTTTGAGGAATCAAACCCTTTGTCTGACAAAATGTTTATCTGTGCGACAAATTGAACCCACAACCAACAAAAGTGAAGGTTTGCTAAACTCCTAAACCACCAAGGCTAACAATCCTACTTTTGAAATCCAATTTTTGCATTGTTTGAGGAATCAAACCCCTTGAGTGTCAAATTGTCAGTTGTGTTTATCTGTGCGACAAATTGAACCCACAACTTACAGAAGTGAAGGTTTGCTAAACTGATAAACCACTGAGACTATCTATTTCCTACAACTTTGAAATTCAGTTTCTGAGATATTTATTTAATTCATAATCTCTATTACAGATTGTCCCAAATGCAAAGGTGGGCTTCAGCAAAGCTATGTCATCGGGTTGGATATTTCTAGATAAATCTAGCAACCCACCGTTAGTAAAGAAGAAAGTGGATAGCATAATTGACATAGTGCAGGACCATTTAAACGAGATGAATAAGGGCATAGACAATTTAGCAAATAACATACGGAACGATTATAAAAAAAGGAAATTGCTGCATGAGGTCACAGTGAAAAGTTTCCTGCTTTCTAAAGGGGCTAAATTTGCTACAACAATAACTAAATTAGAAACGGACTTAACAAGTGAAATGTTGTTAACTGGATCCTGGAAGATGTTGGAGTTCAAGCCATATAACTTTGATGCATTAGGTAATGAATTTAACAAGTATAGATTTTACCAACAAACTTAAAAGTAACTGATTAGCAGGGATGTTAGGTAGCTCCGTAACCGTAACCGAAACTATCGGATATCCGATATAAAAAAATATTCGTAACCGTAACCGAATCCGAAATAAAAGTTTCGGACAATATCGGATAGGGGCGGAGCCTAATTGAGACACGTTATGTAACCAGTTTAATTAGTTATTTGTATTTTACTTTTGGAATTCCTTAAAAAATCAATATCCGTAAATCCGAAATTATCCGAAACTTACGGATAATCCGAAATAATTTCATATCCGCATCTGTATCCGTATCCGATATAATAATCATTCCTGTATCCGAAACCTATCCGTATCCGAAATTTCATATCCATAACATCCTTGCTGATTAGTTGAATTAACAGGTAATGAAAATATTATCAAAACTTTACTAACAGATAAAAGGGTTAACATAAAAAAAAGTATTTTTGCTTTTGTTTCGTGTTTAGTCAACGTCAAAATTAATGCAAATATACACAATGAATCAAACCCTGATTCATAAAAACCAAAACATTAAAATATTCATTTAAACTATCACAATATATTATCACGATAAAATGAAAAATATAGTTTCTAAGTATAATAGTTTTAGCTTTAAAGATGCTTAAGAAATAGAAATTAAATTAATTTTATTACATTATAATAATAAATACATCAAAATCTTTTATAAAATTGTACAGAGGTTACGGTTTCGAGTCGGTCGAGGTGGGAGCGAGAGTTATCTGTTATACTTCTCGCTCTCACCTAGACATGCATATAAATGAATCACACAGCCATTTTTCGATAATCCGTTTATTAGTTTGTAATAATTATTTGTTTTTATTGGCATTGGATGCGAGCAGCGCAGGACCGATCGTCGTGGAGATCTTTGGGCCTATGTCCAGCAGTGGACGTCTTCCGGACTGCGATGATGATGATGATGATGATTTATTTGTTTTTATTGCATAGTCTTTAGGTATATTTGTATAACACTTATACTTATTTTAGTTATTTTTTACCGAATTGTACATCAAATTGTAACTCTCTGACAATAACAATATAAATAAACACTCAATCAGTGATAGATTATACCTGACAATCTAGATAAGAGTATCTGTTTTGTTTGTTATAGCAGATTAATTGATTTTCTTTGCATCGTGTTGCATGGATTTGATAAAAGATAATCCTTTATTTTTTTTTCGGACTACTCTAATTCTGTTGGCCGCATCTGGCCTTTACAGCTTTATCGAACGATTGGGTGCAAGTGCCGATGGCACTACAAACCAAAGGAAGGACTGATCCGGATACGATTTTACTAGGAGGGCACTACTAGGAGTTCGAATGATGATGATTATATGTATCGATCTGTGTGTTTTCTATGTATATTATGTATGTATTTTATTGTATTTATGTATTTCTATCAGTTGTCTAGTACCGTAACAAACCTTAGATATAGATATACTCTATGCTAATGCATAGAGTATATCTAGAATATTAATTCGAAAAGATAAAAATGTCCCGGTGTATCTTTTTGTTTGCTTTTCAAGACAAATAAGAAAATAAATTTATTTGACATAAAGTTAACCAGGAAGAACGGAATGGGAGAGGATGACTTAAAAAGTGTGAAAGGTGATGTGTATAAAAGGAGACTGAGCACAAATATGACGTTCGATAGGTTTCGGATAGAATACTCCGAAAAAAAAGTCACGTGACTTTTAATTGGACATTCCGTCAAACTTAGGGACATAAAGAAAATATTTCATGATACAATTATCTCTCGTAAAACCCATTTTCAAAGAAATCGTAAACTTACCCAATAAGTATAGCAGATATGATTATCTGCTTTGTATAACGATTTTGTTGTATTATAATAGATAAGCTACGGATAACTGTGGATTCAAAGAAAATGAATGACCTATTTTTTATTATAGGTAAACAAACTATTTTTATGTGACATATTTATTTGTTTTCATGTTATCTTATATATAAAATTCTCGTGTCACAGTTTTCGTTCCCATACTCCTCCGAAACGGCTTGACCGATTCTCATGAAATTGTGAGCGTATTGAGAAGGTCTGAGAATCGGCCAACATCTATTTTTCATACCCCTAAATGTTAGGGGTAATCCACCCCTAGTTTTTTATTTTATTTTAAGGCAAAACAACGTTTGCCGGGACATCTAGTTATTGTATAATATTATAGATGCGTTATTGAATAGGAAAATGATCGTTATTAATGTGGACTAATAATACCATTGCTAGTAATGTACCAGGCTAGGTTGTCCTCAATGCAGTTCCCCCTGGAAACCATCGTGATAAACTCATGGTGGATTTGGAACAATTGGCTAACTAAACTGACCTCATGCTCATCTTATCCCCCAACCTGCATCATTCACCATATTCGTCCATTAAAACAAAATAGAAGCTGTTAGTTCCGTTCTTTTTGTATTATTTTATCTGTCTCCACGCGAAATTTCATTAATATCAGTTTAGTCATATTGCCGTCTTCTCGCCATTTTTTTATTTTATTTTTTTTGTATATTTGTACATAAAAATTTGTCGGTGACAATCTCATCGTACCTATACTAAATAATAAAAAAAATCTAATTAAATCAATGCGATACCAGCCAGAACAATAAATTGGTTGAAAATAAAAATCAACTCAAACTAATGTAGTACCAGCCAGAATAATAACTTGGCTACATTAGATACAAATTCAAATTCAAAAATCATTTATCCATGTAGGACATTTTATTCGCTTATGAACGTCAAATTTTTCTCATTATATTTTTTTCCCTACCGTCCTGTTCAGTATATTGATCCAATTGAGAAGAACTGGCAGAAAACTCAATTGAATTACTTATTTATTCATCAGAAGCTGTCTGTGCTAATATTCCATGGAATACATCTATATCTAACCTATTTAACTTCAGTGCTTGGATCTTTGAGCTCTTTTAAATGCATTACAAAAACATTCCAGTCCCCAATGCTATAAAAAAATATAAACTTCCAGGTCAACCCCCTGACTGCGGCCACCTCCATCCGCTTCTAAAAGTCCGTTCAGAATTCCGAGAGATCTTCTTAGAAATGGGCTTCAGTGAGATGCCAACGAACGTGTATGTAGAAAACTCGTTCTGGAACTTCGACGCGCTGTTCCAGCCTCAACAGCATCCGGCGAGAGACGCTCACGACACATTCTTCATGTCTTCACCGGCCACCAGTACTGACTTCCCTATGGATTATCTGGAAAGGGTGAAGAAGGTGCATAGCGAAGGTGGATATGGATCACAGGTATGTAATTTTTTTTTATTGTTAGTGGCTGTCCGTCCTTATTAAATTCTATATGATACCTCCTATCCTCTCATCCGTCCTATTCAATCCTCTATATGATTATCATCCGGCCACTGCAGTCCACTACTGGACATAGGCCATCTCCCAAGGCAAAAGCAAATCTCAAAGGGCATAGCCACTGGGCACGATCTTTAGCCCTTCTCATCCAGTTACTACCCGCAACCCTACGTATGCCATCGCTCCAACTCAATTCTATATGTATCGATAAATAATGTGAAATTTCATTACGATCGGTTCAACCATATATACTACGATGTTAACAAATAAGCTTACAGCCTATGGACTCCTGAAACACCAGTAGTTGTCACCCCGTCCGCGCTGCCCACTCGGGAAACCTTAAAAATCTTACTAATAAGAAACCTTAAAAAACTTATAGCGAAAGTTTGTGAATGTGGGCGGATGGAAGGTTCTTACTCTTTCGCGCAAAAACTACTGAATGGATTTTAATGCAACTTTACAATAATATATCTTATACATCAGAATAACACAGGCTTAAGAGGCCTTTCACATTTTTTGGCCTAAAAGCAGTGTCTTTGGGGTTCTGGTTCTAAGAAATTAAGAGTCGGATATACATTTTTATTCCTGAATTATATAGATAGATATCTAATCTTAAAAACTACATCTTTGAAATGTTAATTTTCTCTTTGTTAGTCTTCCTAATTTCTAAAATAGTTTATTCAAAAACGCTAAATGACAGAAGTTTGGGGTCGTCGTTCATTAATAAACAAACATAAATTGATATGATATCTTTACTAAAACTTGATAATTACTTTATACATTGAGACAGCATCGTCCTTTTTTTCATTTTCAACTTAAATATCTAAAAAATTGATCATAATTAAACCCGAAATTTCAACAAAACTTTGCCATAATCATTTCTAATTTTCTCATAAATACAACGAAATTTTTGCATAAAAAAAACATAATAATAAAGTTAATATACTTATAAATTAGAAATATGAAAAAAAAATATAAGTTTCTAAGACAAAAATAAACAATAATAATAATATAAAGTTGTATAAATTCCGTTGCGCCAAAAGTAAATTCTCAGTGCTGCGCTAGCGCTCGTCGAGGTAGCACCTATGCCATTTTTTACAACACCGCTAAGATAGACATTGCTCAGTAAACATTAGTATAGAGCGACTAAACAATTTTGATAATTTAAGTAATATTTAATTAATTTTGCTAATATATACTTATTTCTACGAATATTAATTTAAAGTTGTTGTTAAATATATATATATATAATATTTATTTTAGCATGCCAAGACAAAAGTACAGTTATGCTACAAATAAAACCTACCTACCCTGCTGGACTATGAAAAGCACAAGAGCATGGTATTTCGTCACACTAATGGCAATTAATTGTTAAAATTAAAAAAGAGAACATTTTAGTATTTTTTAAAATAACGCTTATCTGAGAGAAAAATGTAAGAAAATGTAAACCAATTTTACTCTATGTTTATTTTGTAGTTTTTTTTTCTAAATTAAAATAGGGTTATTGTTTATAAAAATACCATTATTATTTTTACGTACATTTGTCTTGTATTATATAGTGTATATCATCTAGTATGCAATGTGGATTGTAAATAAATTACCAAATTATATATAAATTATATTCCTTAATGTTTAGAGATATTTTATCCAATTTTATTTTATTTTACACAATACAGATATTTCTAAATTGCAGCTATTCTGTTATTATACTCGTTGGACTTTCATTACTGTACAGTTATGTCAAATAATTATGCGTGTTTGGGTGAAAAGTCAACAACATTATAAATGTTTTTATTTAGAGACTAGCTTTTAGCTCGCGGCTTCGCCCGCGTGAATATGGGATATATAGGTTATCGCGCGTTTAAAGATCCGTGTACAGTATTGGGACGTTATATATAAACCTTCCTCTTGAGTCTATCTATTCTGTCTATTAAATAACAACGAATCAAAATCTGCGTAGTTTTTTAAGATCAAAACATGCATAGATCTATTACATGTGTAGATGATATTTTAACCGGAAATTGAAGCCGTTAAAATGGTATTGGCAGATCCGTTGGAATCATCGGTATTCTTGGTATATAAGCTGGTTGCCCAGCTAACGTACCGGTTATAATGGTCTACAATTAAATTGTCTTTCAATTCTTTAGTAAGCAATATATCCAATGGGACGCCATTGCACATATTCGGCGGGCTTAAATTTCATGACTGGATCATGCTTTTGAGAAATTCCTTCCTCAAGTTTGAGCATTTAGTGTGGGAAATCACTATCTGTGCTTCCATAAAAATGAGCTCTCAAATTTGTCAGTAGTTTTAAACTTTCAATTAAAGTCCATAAGGGAGACGATGTTAATGACACAGAGAGTCTTTCAGAAATCTCCAGCAAAAGTATAAAAGTAATCCCGCCAATGAGAGCAGAGGTGTTTCTAAGGTCTTTTAAGGTTCTGTCCAAAATCTCTATAGCTCATGGTGATTTCATTACATATAATCAATGAGGCGTCTTATAATAATTTATAAAAAGGTTTGACATTAACAATTAATTATTTATCAAGAATCAAGAATCGGCCAACCAAGAACGAGAAGCTGCAATATCAGCCAATATCATGCGGCGACGTCAATGATGCAGGAACAGCAATGATAGCAGTTGAAGCTTTTTTTTTACAACTTAGAATGGCAAACAAGCTGACGGCTCTCCTGATGGAAAGGGGTAACCGTCGCCTATATACATGAGCAGTACCTGACATGTTCATATCAGCACATTGTTTCCCTCATGCGTTGCCATTCCTGAAAACTCGGGTGTTATTCCCCTGTACCTTGTAAATTCACTACCATATATATACACAGGTAGTCTATATAGATAGATATACATATACACAGATAGTATACCCTGAGAAAGGTCATAGACTACTTTATAGTGCGAAAAAAGTATTGTAAGGGATTAAAAGCGGAGATGAAAGGTTGTATAAAAGTATCGTCATTGTTTAATTGAAACAAAGAAACTTTTTTAGGTTATAATCTAAATATATTTCCTTTATTTGGTCAATTTCATTATACCACGCTGACGAAGTCGCGGACACACCTAATATACATATAAGGATGGGACCTTTAAATCAAAACAAAGCCTTGAAAACACAACTATTATATATAAATAAAATAATTATTTGCTAAGTATAATATTTAGAACAAGTGAATATGGCAATAATGTATCCGACTCTTATAATAAATTATATTGTATCTATTAATAAATAAACTGAATTAATACGTAAGAAGAATTAATTAGTAAATTTATGTTATAGTAATTTCGTCTTCCTGTCCCAATTATTTGTTACTCATATTACTTAAGGTTTTGGCTTTTAGTTGTACAATCGGCCAGCATCCTGACATCAACCCTCTAGGAATAATATAATAAAAAAATATGGTCATTATTAGCACTTTGATAATTAAGATAAATCACGTTATTTAAAAAAATCCAATAAGTAGTTTATGTTACTCAGTTAAGTAGAAACATATCACATTATTAATTAAAATATTACAAGGATCAAAATGGTTCATACTAAATCCACACCGATTGAGCTACACGGTTATTTGCGTCTGTGTGCGTGTATTACTGTATGTGTGCGTAAATCCATGCGATTATACCTAAAGTTGAGCGGCATCATTTTGTAATAGGCCTCTTAATACCTAATAAATTACCAACTACAATTACAAATCTTTGTTTAAAATGGTTCAAAGACAAATTAATGAAATGGCTGATAAATAAGTGTTTTTACTCAGTGATTATTTTACATGCAAAATAGATGACATTATGTAATTTTTATTAATAACTATAAATATTGACATTAATTAATTAATATAGATATTTAAATATATTTGTGGGTATTCGTAATGTAATGACATAATTTTATATTAAATTGAATATGATTTAATTTGAATATTTGCATACCTCTAAGGGGTGCTGCGTGTCATGTACTTTTATTAGTTAATAAGATCCGAAACTACCATGTAGCAAGCAAATCAATAAATTATTATTATTACATATATATATATATTATATCTCCCTTTTTACGGGGGTAAATATTCAACACGCGGGCCTTAGCCAAGCATGGATGAGTTATGTGATGAAGATAGAAATTTTCTGACTATTCGGCATGTGTTTAGTATGACGGCTTTTTGTAATAGGTCTATTGTAAAGGAGGGGATATGCAACGTGTCTAGGTGTTTGTTCAGACTTTTTGGTATAACTCCTGTGGATGACAAAACTATGGGTACTACGTGGATGGTGTGTGCTTTCCATTGTTTTTTTAATTCTATTGCTAGATCTGTGTACTTTGTTAGTTTTTCATTGACTGTGCTTTGTATATTGTGTGTGTTTGGGATGGCTTATTATTATTATTATTATTATTAAATTACACGAGGGTGAAACTGCGGGCACAGCTAGTTAAACAATATGAATTATATACAAAATTAGATTTTATTATCTTATCACGTAGAGTTATTTTATCTTGCGAGCGTGCGCCGGAAGCTGATGCAATGACAATAAAATTAACAATAACAAAACCATGATTTACGATTACTAGAGAGACATTCAAAATTCAAAATATCTTTATTCATGTAGGTGTATTATAGACTCTTATGATATGTCAAATCTACTGTCAGTTCGGAATGATTTCGAGATGAGAAGAACTAAAAAGAAACTCAACTCGAATTCTTTTCAAATAAATGTTGTACATGTTTACAATAATACAGATTCATTTTTAAATTCAAATTTGGTAGTATAGAGTGACCACCAGCATATGCTATTGCAAAAGCAAATAGTCTAATCAGTGTACGTAACAAGAACAGACCTATCCCCAAAAGCAGTACCTTGTTACAAGTGTCGTATAAAATCAACAAGTTTTTTATAGCGTCATTAGAATTTACTGTGTTTAGTCCGTAAGTCGATAGTAAAACACTCGTTTTGTAATCATTTGTCCCAATATATACGTGACATATTGGTTGTAATGTTTTATTTTATTTATTTTACGAAACTCGGCCCATATTATAAATAACTTATAGACTAACACACATATGAATTAATGTTATAATACTAAGATATTGAAATTGTCTGTGTGGTCACGGCACTGACGGTAGCGCCGATACACCACACCCTTCGGCCAGTAGACCTCCATCATAAAAGTGGGCAGCATGTTGGCGGGGACCCGCGCCACAAACGCCTTGAAACGTTGTAACTTGACTTCAGCTGCGTCACCCCCAATGTCAGGTGACTCTTGGTTCGTATATAATCGACAATGTCCTGTTTTGTTACAGGGTTACAAGTACGAGTGGAAGATAGAGGAGGCACAGAAGAACTTGCTGCGCACCCATACGACTGCAGTCAGCGCGCGCATGCTGCACAAACTGGCGCAGCAGGAGCAGTTCACACCGCAAAAGTATTTTAGTATTGATAAGGTACGTATTCTGATGTAGTAAAAGAGGAGATACTCAATTCCAAAACAAAATGTAAAAAGCGCCTTTGTAACCACCCAAATCGACTGGCTGGTCTGCTATTGGAAGACTATCCCAAACGCCCAAAAGATATTCAGAGCAGATGTTCCCTCTTGTCCTCTCAGATCGATCCATTGTCTAATTCAAACATGGCTTGAAATTACGACGAAGGTTCGAAGCCCTAGCGGTGCCCTCAGACTAAAGTCGTATCCGTCAGCCGAGAGTGGGCCTTCAGCCGCTCCATAAGTCCTTCCACGTGTTTGGAGTGCCATCTGCACTCGCCCCCTATCGTCCGGTGAAGCTGTAAAGGCCAGCTGCGGCCAACAGCTTTAGAGTATTCCGAAAAAAAAATCCTTCCGTTGGGGTGGTCACTTCCGTTATAAGTACACTCAAAACATCTGCTTATAATTCCAGGACTGATAGCAAAAGAAATCCATTACAAATACGAAGGGCCATTATCTCTGTATCTAATTGTCAATTGGAAACAAATTATGTATGTATGTAATCGTTTGTGGCAGGTATTCCGCAACGAGACTCTGGACGCGACCCACCTGGCGGAGTTCCACCAGGTGGAGGGCGTGGTGGCCGACCGCGGGCTGGGCCTGGCCGACCTCATCAGCGTGCTCGACGACTTCTTCCAGCGGCTTGGGTTCGCCAGGCTGCAGTTCAAACCCGCCTACAACCCCTACACAGAGCCCAGTATGGAGATCTTCGCATACCATAATGGTTGGTTTTTTTTGTATGAATGAAAATTATAACAATAATTAGTGGTGACATTATTATATGGAAAAGGTATTTGTTAATTATTTAAATTATTAACCGGGTCTTAACACGAATAATTTTATGGCAAATAAAGACCTCTCTTAAGACCCGGTTAATAATTTAAATAGTAATTGTTAATAATGTGAATTGATGACCCCATTGCTAGCAATGTAGGGTCAGGTTGACCTCCATGCGGTTCTCCCTGGAAACCATCCTGATAAATTCCTGGTGAATTTGTCACGATATGCCAACTGACCTGACCTCATGTTCATCATATCATCCTATATCACTGGTGGATCGCCAGCGTAAACTGTTAGCACAAGCGGGTGCACCATTCCATAATCATCCACTAAAAAAATGTCCCTGCAAAATTTACACAGCGCCATCTAGTCCCAAGCTAAGCCGAGCTTGTGTTATGGGTACACTACTGATAGATATACTAAGACATTTTTTTTAATACTTAAGTAACATATATAAAAACTCCCAGATCGCTACAAACAATGTTACTCAATAATACAAACGTTTGTACTGTGCGAGGAATCGAAGCTGCGACCATCGGAATTAAAGCGGTGTGCTAAACCTCTAGACCAACGCCGTATTTTACATCATGACGCCTATAGTACCTTTAACAGGCTGCTGTTACTGAGGACCGGATTGGCTGCATACCCTGTAATGTCTCTGTCATGTCTCATTTTTATCAGGTCTTGGGAAATGGATAGAAATCGGCAATTCAGGCGTGTTCCGTCCAGAGATGTTGCTGCCCATGGGGCTCCCAGAAGACGTGAACGTTATCGCGTGGGGGCTCTCGTTGGAGCGCCCCACCATGATCAAGTACAAGCTCAACAACATCAGGGACCTCGTGGGGCCCAAGGTCGATCTCCAGATGGTCCAGTCGAACCCCATCTGTAGACTGGACAAATAAATTAATTTTACATGTCTATTTATTTCAAATATATAATAAGCACGTAAACTTGTTTTATTTTATTTATTTACTAGCTACTCGTCCCGACTTCGCCCGGGTGTACATGTATTATACATATAAACCTTCCTCTTGTATCACTCTATGTATTAAAAAAACCGCTTCAAAATCCGTTGCGTAGTTATAAATATTTAAGCATACATAGGGATGGACAGACAGCGACAGCTACTTTGTTTTATACTATGTAATAGTTTCAGGCTACTAAGCCCATATTTATATATATCTTATAGACTAACATACATATGAATTAATATTATAATACTAATATATAGAAATTATCTTTGTGGTCACGACACTGACGACGGCAATACGTCTCCTTCATGAAGGTCAGCATGTTGGTTAACATCAACATGCTGACCATGCTACCATTGAGTAGGCATACACCTAATTCGTCAATATATATTTATATATATATAAAAAGACTAGCTGTCCCGGCAAACGTTGTTTTTCCTTAAAATAAAAAAAAAAATTAGGGATAGACTACCCCTAACATTTAGGGGGATGAAAAATAGACGTTGGCCGATTCTCAGACCTACTAAATACGCTCACAAAAATTCATGAGAATCAGTCAAGCCGTTTCGGAGGAGTATGGGAACGAAAACTGTGACACGAGAATTTTATATATACCTAAGATAAAAAAGAGAAAATATATAAATAAAAAGGCGACTAAAATGGTGTTTCCTTATTTGCCCTCTGTATAAATAAAATCCCAATATAATTTATTTTATATAAATATTTATTTTTTATAACATTTATTTTATATAATTTCAATTGGAACGCAGAGTCATTGTACGGTGCTTCATCGTACAGCCAGCATTTTACACTGCTCCGCGTTCATATAACGCCCACACATACCGTTTCCCCTTCAGTACAACAAATACTCACAAGCAAGCATCAGTCCACACTCAATCATCGTGTACTCAATATATCAAGTTGGAAAGCAGCCTGGACTTATCATATATACATAGCATCCAGATTGTGTGGGTCACAGCAGACTCATACACTCATCAGAAGAAGAACGAGACAGAAACTTGCATGTCGCTCTTTTAAATAAATGTTCAGAATTTCATATTTCAATTAACTAACACTTAACATATTCCAAAATTCATGAATAAAAGAATTTTCATAAGCAATCTTTTTTCTTACATTTCAAAGAACAAAAACGCAACGGTCTCGTCGTATAAAACATTTATACGTCAATCGGATTTCGATTCACCCTTTTTATTTTTTTATATCGAAAATGTTCTCTTTACCGTGTAGAAATATAAGAAAGATATCTCCAAAGAAGCATACGGTGTCCTTTGTGAGATTTTACGACATACCCAAACATCTAGAAAAGGTCGCCACAGACACAGATCCCAGTTTCTACAGGATGGTGGAGTATTTTTATCATTCAGCCGTAAAAGTGTGCGAGCCGTCCTTAGTGGAATATTTGAAGAAACACACACATTTTTCTGATAAAAAGAGGACTAATCGTGTTGCTGGGATATTGAAGGTAACATTTTAAATGTGCCATAGATATTCCAAATAGATAATACCTAATGATAATCGTTATTTCCAAATATATCAGTACAATTTAATATATTCGAGATAGGTAATCTCGAGCCTCGAGAAACCGGTTCCTTCCAGCCTACTATAAACAGATCTGAGTGCTTTTGAGCTAAGAATCACTGATCAAGTACCAATAACACAAGCTCCGATTAGTTTGGGTTGACTAGATGGCGCAGTGTATATGCCCAGGGTTAATAATATTATTTCAAGGAAAGATGATTGTTAATAATGTGGAGTAACATTGCTAGCAATGTACAATGTCAGATTGCCTCCACGCGGGTCTGGAAACCATCGTGATAAATTCTTAGTGATGCCACGACGTGCTGACTGACCTGACCTCATCCTATCATCCATGGGTGCTCAGCCAGCGTAAACCGTTAGCGAAGGGTGAACTATTCCATCTTCATCAATTAAAACAATATTTGTGCTTTGCTTGTGTGGACTGGTCTGCTCTAATCACTATGACTTATTTTCTCTTATTAATTGTTTAACCAGTTGTTGTATATTGAATGTTTTTTTCTATTTTATTATTTTATTGAATTAGTGCTAATCGGTGGATTATATTCACACACTTAAACTTAAATTGTAAGAATAAATTATTTAAAAGAGCAACACACAAGTTTCTTGCTTGTTCTTCTTGTGATGAGACAGCATTCCGAATGAGCGGTAGATTAAAAAAAAAAATTAATGACTATTCAAAAGTGCTTCAATGTAAGTTTATTTGAATAAATGATTTTCTATTCTATTTATTATCAGGTTATGGGTTCGTGTAACAGTTCACTACAGTTCGAGTTCCCGTTACAACGCAAGAGTGGCGAGTACGAGATCATTCACGGCTACCGGTCACAGCACAGTGTGCACCGACTGCCATGCAAAGGAGGTGACTCCAGTGCCTAGGCTATGTATAATAATAATATTTCAGGACAATCACACAGCGCCATCTAGTTCCAAGATAAGCCGAGCTTGGAGAACCCCCCTTTTATCTACTATCTACACCTCACTATCGTGTAATAGGTATGCTCCGATAAGCCTGTGACAAATAAATGATAAGTACATTATTTATAGAAACGTGTACCTAAGAACGAATACGAAATAATAAATCTTGTTTGTTTTATTAAAACTACAGGGTACCTTTAACTTCGGAAAAATAACTGTAAAACTAAAATAAATAAGAATATAATCTATGCATCCGATATATGCTATCCGAATATATGCATCTAATACTGAGGCCCTTACTGGGCACTGCAAATTAAAAAAAACACGTGGTAAACTTAGGTTTGCACTCAAAAAAATCTAGAAAAAAATCAGATTTAGCCAAGCTGAAGAAAAAACGCTACTACATATAGTAGTGTTTCTTCTTTCTTGAAATGTATGTGGTACCTACGTATATATTAGTGATGTTACGGAGCTCCGTAACCGAAACTATCGGATATCCGTTATGAAAAAATATCCGTAACCGTAACCGAAACTATCGGATATCCGATATGAAAAAATATCCGTAACCGTAAACGAAACTATCGGATATCCGTTATGAAAAAATATCCGTAACCGTAACCGAATCCGAAATAAAAGTGTCGGATAATATCGGATAGGAGTGGAGCCTAATTGAGACACATCATGTAACCATTTTATTAGCTATTTGTATATTACTTTTGAAGTTCCTTAAAAAATTAATATCTGTAACTAAAATTATCTGAAACTAACGGATAATCCGAAATAATTTCATATCCCCATCCGTATCCGTATCCGGCATAATAATCGTTCCTAAATCCGAAACTAATCCGAAATTTCATATCCATAACATCCCTGCTATTGCATAAACGAAATATCTCCAGTTGGAAAGTATACACATTGTCCTGAGAAGATAAAAGGAAGAATACCTTTCTATTCTTGTTCCTGGCGAATGTAGATAGCTAACTTAGAAAAATCAGGACCACAATAAATCGATGTAAGTCTCAGAGTTACAGGTCTAAAGCACCTGACCCCTGAATAAAAAAAAAAAATAAACAATTGACGTTTTCCAGGCATTAGATTTTCGGACGAAGTAGATCTGGAGGAAGTGAAAGCGCTAGCTGCTCTTATGACCTACAAGTGCGCTTGCTCCAACATACCATTTGGTGGTTCCAAAGGAGGTATAAATTGGATCATAACGATAGAATAGAATAGAAATAATCTTTATTCAAATACTTAAACTTAATATAAGCATATTTGAATAGTCATTTTTAATAGTCTACACTCATTCGGAACGCAGACTCATCACAAGAAGAAAGAGCCAGAAATTAGTGTTGCTCTTTTAAATAACTGTTGTACTAAGTAAATACACATTAGCAAGGAAACAAGTACACATCTTAAAATTTGTTTGGTTGCTAAAATAGGTGAAGTAGAGGAAGATGACTAGGTATAGTCTCGTCTTATTCTAATGTTGGCCGCAGCTGCACCGAACAATAGAGGGCTAGTGCAGATGGCACTCCAAACCCGTAAAAGGACATATGGAGGTCAACTCTTGCCTGGCTGATACGACGAAATGGATGTTGAGGGTTGACAGAAAATGATTTAAGTACATATAAGTACCAGCAATAGTGACAGAGTAATTTAAAAAGCCGTCCATTTTCTTTAAGGAGTGGCAATTAATCCGAAGAAGTATACGGTAGCCGAATTGCAGAGGATCACCAGGCGGTACACACTGGAACTTGCAAAGAAAAATTATATAGGTTTGTATAGAGGGTTGTCTGTATAGTGAGGTTTTCCTGGTCCATCTGCTTCTTAGTATTGTTCCACCAAGTGGCGCGTGGCCTGCCCCTACCTCTGGTCAAGTTTGGTATCTTGAGAACTTTTTTCAGCATTTAACATGTAAGTCGAGAGTTTTTTGAGACATATATAGAGGTTTGTATATATATCTAACAGAATTCTCGTATTACAGTATTTGTAACAAAACTCCTCCGAAATGGCTTGATCGATTCTTATTCAATATTCTGTATATTCAGTACGTCTAAGAATAGGAGGAATATTTTCTTACTCCTAAGTGGTAAGGAGGCCTATGTCCAGCAGTGGACGTCTTCCGGGCTGCGATGATGATGATGATGATGAAGTGGTAAGGACGGTCCACGCTAAACTTATTTTTTGACATTATTATTTATTTTGTATGTATTACGATTCCGTATTCAAAAAATTGATAACTAGCTGGCCCTGTAACTTAGCATCCATGCTGTTAGCAGAACAAGTCCTTGTAAAACCCGGTTAACACCTGGTGAATTCGCCAGCCATAGACTGAGTGACCTAAATTTATTACGTAATGATCTACTAAAAAAATAAGTAACCGTTCTTATGTATAACTTTGAATTGTTTCCAGGTGCAGGAATAGACGTGCCGGCTCCCGATGTAAACACCTCTGGCAGAGAAATGTCATGGATAGTAGACACTTATATAAAAACTCTAGGTACGAGACAATAGCAATAATGCAAACGTATTTGGTATTGTAACATCCCTACTTTAGATTCTAGCAGCATAACCTTCTAAAGGCAGAACGAGTACGCTGATCAACAACTAAGATATCTTCCTAGGTGTCGATCACCGCACTCGTTCGAAATGAAGTGTCTGTAATATGTTGATAGACAATAATGATATTCCTTTCTAAGAAAAACTCGCCGATAGCCGAAAATGAGGATTTGTGAGGAAGGAATGTCCCCTTCCTCAGTAATAGCACTCTCAACAATACACATGGCCGCTAGTTAATTCTTTTTGTAGTTGAAAATGATTGTGAAAATTAGGTGATTTCCTTTACCCTGACAACAGCCCTTTATCTGTACGAAAACTGTAATAATAATATAATTTATTTTGTCAAATATGATACATAACAAGTCGTATTAAATATATATAAAGATGATCGCACATTCGGCATATACAGCAGACATACAACACATTCACCAACAATTGAAAATTTAGATTAAAATTGGAGTTTTAAATAATGTAAATTCGTTGACTTTATAATAACATTTTTTCAAAAGTACATTATAACTTCCGTGTCATATCAACCTTTTCTGTACCCCAAAATACGTATAACTACATCTTTTCTTCTTACTCAGCCGTACTATACTGTTAAGGGTCCTGTAGGTCCCGGCGCTAGTAAGTAGGTATCATGAAAGAGGGTTGTTTATCAAAAGTGAAAAACAAAGATGGTTTCTCCAGGATATAAAGACCTAAATGCAGCAGAATATATGTAACTAAATGTTTTCTTCTTACTCAGCCGTACTATACTGTTAAGGGTCCTTTAGATCTCGGCGCTAGTTTGTAGGTATGACGAAAGAGTTGTTTATCAAAATTGAAAAACAAAGATGGTTTCTCCAGGATATAAAGACCTAAATGCAGCAGCTTGTGTGACCGGGAAGCCCATTCACGGCGGCGGCATCCACGGACGAGTGGAGGCGACCGGGCGCGGAGTCTTCATGACCATCAACAACTTCATACATGAGCCCAAATATATGCAGATGATCAACGTCGAACCAGGGTTCAAAGTAAGTACCTGTTTACCTGTACTTTGAAAGAAAAATAGAATAGAATAGAAAATCTTTTATTCAAATAAACTTCATTTCAGCATTTTAAATAGTCATAACATTTTTTTTTAATCTACCACTCATTTGGAAAATTGTCTTATCACAAGAAGAACGAGCAAGAAACTTGTGTGTTGCTTTTTTAAATAATCCTTATAAGTTTACATTTTTCAAGTCGAAATGTGTGAATACAAACTACCAACTAGCACTAATTTATAACGGTCAAAAAAAGGAGTGAAAGAATATACATTTATTGGAAAACAAAAAAGGATTATTTTAAATACAATTGTGGCACCGAAAAGATCTCCGCTGACGGCACTTCGACTAAGTCACGTTCTGCGGATATATTAACATTTACACATTTTTTCAACAATTTAGAATCATTTTATTTCTAAAAACTGTCGTAATTAGAACACTTTTAAGCCGCATTGGGAGTAGAGGTACCGTCTAATGTTTTTTCCTAGCTCGGATTATTCCTAATTCCAGAGTGACTAGAGATGTTACGAAAATTATCCAGCAATCTTTAGTAAATTTGATGATCGTGATGCAGTTCATGACTATAAGCGACAATTATCAGTTTCCATTATGATGGGTCAAATATTTCAGTCCTGGAAAGCTAAAAAGGGTGTTTCACCTTCAACCTTAATTAATTAATTATAAAACTTTGCAGGGGAAAACGGCTATAATCCAAGGTTTCGGGAACGTGGGCAGTTACGCAGCCATGTACCTGGAGCAGCATGGTGTCAAGATCATCGGCGTCCTCGAGTTCGACTGCAACCTCGGCAGCAGTGACGGTATCAAAGCAAAGGTAAATCCTTCAAAGAACAACGTCAAAATGCTTTAACTCTACTTGCATTTTTTTTTTTAATTTATTTAGGTCAACAAACAGTTACACATTATATATATGACTTATGGCTATTTACTAATAAATTTTAACAAATGTGTCACCCACTACGTTAACCACTGATTACTATAATTATACAATACTGCCTAAGGCATGTTACAGAGATTATGTTACTTATTAATTAACTACCACTACCAACTCTTAACAAAACTATTTTATATTATTATTCCTGATAAAGGTAAGCATTTTAAATAAAACATCTTTAAAAGGGCTTATTCACTAAAATATAGGTATTTAAAAAGGTTTTCTCGAGAGACTACAGCATGGGGTTTATCAAGAAAGGTATAGTAAGGTTTCTTAAGGGTCTGCAACGCGCACTTGTTTCAGGCGTCTATTAAGATCGCGCACGTGACACCCCTGGTGTTTCAGGCGTCCATATATGCACCATCTAATGGCAAACGGTTAATGTAGCGGTAACCGTTTGCCATTAGATGTGGTATACCTATGCCTGTTTGGCATAATCGTAGTATAAAAAATGTGGGATCACTGACTCAACGGTGGCTCATTTAGCACACCGTCTTACTTCCAAGCGTTCATGGGTTCCATTCTATGCACAATAGAAACATTAGATGTTTTGACAGCCTCGGTGGTCTAGTGGTTTAGCACACCGCTTTACTATCCGATGGTCGTGGATTCGATTCCTCGCACGGTACAAACATTTGTATTCATGAGTACAATTGTTTGTATTGGTCTGGGTGTTTTCTATGTATAATATGTATTTATTTACAAAAAAAAAATGTATCCATGTATTTATATCATAATGTCTAGTATCCATAAAAAAAGCTCTGCTTATTCTGATGGCGCTGTGTGAATTGTTCTGAGATATTATTATTAAGTATATTATTATTATTAGATATTATTTCCATTAGGTCTTTAGTATGCACTACACATGCTCTGATTGAGACTGAATGGCGTCTGAGTGAATTGTCTTGGATTAAAAATAAAACAATATTACAGATAGCAGATGGATGCAAGTGAATGGAGTGTTGTGAAACGTCCATGTTCACTGCGGGTAATTTAAAATATGAAGCTGATGATGATGCAATACTAACAATAATAATAATAATCATCATCATAGCCTGAAACAATTATATATACAAAAAAACACTTTACATCACCCTTCAAAAGGCTGCCATCTTAAATACCTGTCGTACAGTCCGAAAATTTCTCGAAATCGATGAAAAGGATATAACACCAGTCCCACCAGGCACACAATAAGTACACACACATTCACACATACATACACGCGCACACACACATACACACACTCTGCACTTTATTGGTTTCGGCCCGTAAGTGTGAAGAAAACCAGCAAAAGCTGAGAAAAATAATAATAATAATAATAACACACATAATCTTTTACAAACACATACAGAAAAATTGCTAAATATACTGATTTGGCAATAGAACTAAAAATACAATGGCGGGTAGAAACAGTGAAAACTCTCCTAATTATTATCTCGTCCACAGGTATCATCCCAACATCCCTACACACTAGCCTCAAGATATTACAACTTCTACCCTTTTTTTTTTTTTTACTTTCATCCTTCTCCAAAACAGCTGTAATATTATATACACTTGTATTTAAATAAATTTTAACAAATTTTGTCTTCCACTTAAAAATTATCCATCCTCATCATTCATAATTTATACTGTCATTGTTTGGTGATTTTTACCCGCAATGATCAGTCTATTACCCCATAAAAGGGAGATATATAACATATATATTAAGAAATAGTAATAATACTAGTCACCAGCTTAAGCTGCGAAAAAAGAATATAATAATAAAAATCTCAGAACAATTCACACAGCGCCATCTAGACCCAAGTTAAGTTACCTAAAGCTTGTGGTATGGGTCCTAGATTACTGATACAAATACATAGATAATTTTTTTTCGTAAATACATACATATTGTACATAGAAAATACCCAGACCGATACAAACAATCATATACATGAATACAAATGTTTGTGCCGTGCGAGGAATCGAACCCGCGACCATCGGACGTAAAGCGGTGTGCTAGACCGCTAGACCACCGAGGTCGTCAAACAATACATTATATATTTTATTATATATATATATATATATATATATATATATATAACAAAACAATATATGAAATTCTTGTCTCGAATAGAAATATAGATATTTTCCATTCAACGCTGGTCCAGTTCCGGAGACAATTAAATTTCCACCGTAAAGAGACAAATTATATTTAACATTGTACCAATTTTCTTTTCTTTAATATAAATAAAATTCTATTAACATGATAATTCATTGCATTACGTAGTTATAGATTATTTTCTATTTAGTTTACTTTTCATTATATATCCTTATCTAGCTATCTAGCGTATATTGAATGCGTCTATATAATTTAGCTCTTAGGCATACATAGTGTTGGATTACAATCCAGTTTTGTACCGAACTACACGCTCCTAGTTATATTATTATATTGACTGTAATCTGTTTTGTATGCTAATAAATAAATAAATATATATTTGGATTCCACTAGGACCTTCACGACTATAAAATGAAGAATAAAGGCAGCGCCAAGGGTTTCCCAGGTGCTAAGGAAGTCGGGCCGGAACTATTGTTTGAGAAGTGCGACATCCTGGTCGTGGCCGCTAAGGAGAAGACCATCACTGTGGACGTTGCTAGGAAACTGAATTGTAAGGTCGGTGTACTTCACCTCTTTTTAACTAATAATGGAAGTTTTATAATAATAACCTCTCAGGACAATTTACACAACGCCATCTAGTCCCAAGGTAGGCAGAGCTTGTGTTATGGGTACTAGACAACTGATATAAATACATAAATATTTTTTTTTTTAATTCATAATATACAAACACCCAGACCGATAGAAAATCGTACTCATGAATACAAATGTTTGTACTGTGGAGAAATTTAACACGCGACATGGGAAGTAAATCTGTGTGCTAAACCGCTATATTTATAAAGTATAGATAACAAAGGTACAAATAAATATTAATATCAGTTGTGTAGTACCCATAACACAAGCTCTGCTTGCCTAGGAACTAGATGGCGTTGTGTGACTCGTCCAGGCGTATTATCTATACATATAATAAAACTGTAGAGTTCGAATGTCTGTACATAGGAAAAATCGTCATAAACCAAGTGAGGGGTGATTAGATTTTTTCAAATTTATTGTATACTAGCTATACGCGCGACTTCGTCCGCGTGGAATTTAACTTTATATTTCTAAAATAAAGGATTTTTTCTAAAACAAAATTAGCATAAGTTACTTCTTAGTATATCAGCTTTACGACGGGAAATGCTTTAGCTAGAATAGCTTTAGCTTTAGCTTTTAACTTTATGAAAAATAAAATCGGTCCAGCCATTTCAGAGATTAGCCGGAACAAACAGACAGACAGACAGACAAAAATTGTAAAAATGTTATTTTTGTGTATGTACCGTATTTGTATTCATATGCATGTAGTAAAAAGCGGTTATTTCTATATTACAAACAGACACTCCAATTTTATTTATATGTATAGACTAGCTGTACCGCGACTTCGTCCGCGTGGATTTTAACTTTTTTTTAATAAAGGATTTTTTCTAAAATAAAAGTATCCTAAGTTACTCCTTAGTACATCAGCTACCTGCTAATAAAAGTCCCGTCAAAATAAAAGTCCGGTCCAGCCATTTCAGAGATTAGCCGGAACAATGTTATTGAAAATGTTATTTTTGTGTATGTATCGTATTTATATTCATATGCATGTAGTAAAAGACAGTTATTTCAATATTACAAATAGACACTCCCAATTTTATTTATATGTGTTGCGGATAAATGATACTATGTTGTTGGCCGAGACGATGTATATTACAGATGATAATAAACTGACAATATGTACATAGAAATAATGATCTTATATACTAAATAACAATAGGAAAATGTAAGGTGGGGTGACACAGTTTAGACACAGCAGTGCTTAGTACACAATATTGAATTTGTCTTACTAGATATTATTAAATGCAATTATTATTTTGATGTATCTATGTGACTGTGTCCCATAATATGTATAGATGTATAGATAAATAAAAAGAAATATAGTGCCTTTTTAAATTGACTCCGGTAGCATCGCTGTGAATGTTTCGCGCCTTTTTCATTTCCACAGATAATCGGCGAAGGTGCAAACGGTCCAACGCTGCCGGCAGCTGACGTGGTACTTCGCGAGAAGAAAATCCTGGTGCTGCCAGATCTGCTGGCCAACGCTGGGGGTGTCACCGTCTCCTACTTCGAGTTCCTCAAGAACCTCAATCATGTCAGCTTTGGGAAGTTGAGCATAAAGTTTTGGAGGGATTCCAATACAGCTCTTCTAGGTAATTATCACTCTAATATATGCAAAACAGTTTATAAATATTAATATCTTATATATAAAGTTTTCGTTCCCATACTCCTCCGAAACGGCTTGACCGATTCTCATGAAATTTTGTGAGCGTATTGAGTAGGTCTGAGAATCGGCCAACATCTATTTTTCATCCCCCTAAATGTTAGGGGTAGTCCACCCTAATTTTTTTTTCTTTTTTTATAATAAGTTTATTTTTTAAGGCAAAACAACGTTTGCCGGAACAGCTAGTTTATGTATATTACTTTTGTATTATATTTTACAACTAGCTGTACACGCGACTTCGTCCGCGTTATTTAACTTTATTGTTCTAAAATAAAACTAGCCTAAGATACTCCTTATTACATCAGCTACCTGCCAAAAAAAGTCTCGTCAAAATCGGTCCAGCCATATCAGAAATCAGCCAAAACAGACAAAAATTGTAAAAAAAAATTTGGTGTACCGTATTTATATTCATATGCATGTAGTAAAAACCGGTTATTTCAATATTACAAACAGACACTCCAATTTTATTTATATGTATAGATTTGTAATTCATATTTTATTTAGTAGTTTTTGACTATGTAGGTATTCTGCACGAATTTTTACTCACTCCTATGACACTGTTTTGCGTTGATTGGAAGAGATCTCTTTTAGGGTTGATCTTTGCTCACATTGCCTCTTAAATTATTTTATTACTGTATTATCTGTGCAATAAAGTAAATATAATATATCTACATATATTTTGTAAGATTGTATTAATTAAACAATATTGTATTTAGTTGACTTATTCAGTTTAAAAATTCAAATTATATCAGTATAAAATTGGATGGATTTAAAATCGATAAATTATTAACCAAATAACAATTTGTATATGTATTATGGGTGCTAAACAACTGATAGAAATAAAAAAAATTTGACGCAGTCTTTATTTATACGTACGATTAGAAACAATCACGAGATCCTAACTGTTAGAAATTCATAAACATTATTCTAAATACATAAAAAAAAACACAAAATAATATAATCATACTTGTAAACTTATTTTTCTATGGATGCTATAACCAATGACGTCATCATTTTTAACTATTAAGCCTATTTTTAGATTCTGTGGAAAAATCGTTAAAAAAGGCTAATGTGGACGCAAAAGTGGTACCAACGGAGTTGTTCCAGACAATGATGTCGGGCGCCAGCGAGAAACACATCGTAAACTCTGGTCTCGAGTACTCAATGACAAACGCTTGTTTGGTTAGACTTGCTATTTTTATTCTGACTAGCTGACACGGCCACGTGTTACTGTGTCCCGGTCACACGTTGCTCTGTCCCGGTCACACGTTACTGTGTCTCAATCACACGTTGCTCTGTCCCGGTCACACATTACTGTGTCTCATTCACACGTCGCTGTGCCCCGGACACACGTTACTGTATCTCAGTTACGCGTCGCTGTGTCTCAGTCACGCGTTACTGTGTTCCGGTCACACGTTACTGTGTCTCAGTCACACGTCGCCGTGCCTCGGTTACACGTTATTGTGTCTTAGTCACACGTCGCTGTGCCCCGATCACACGTTATTGTCTCAGTCACGTGTCGCTGTACTCCGGTCACACGTTACGATGTCTCAGTCACGCATCACTGTAACTCGGTCACACTTTACCGTGTCAGAACCACGCGTTAATGTGTCCGTGCCACGAGTTAGTGTGTCCCGTTCACGAGTTGTCGTCACTCGGTTATGCGCTGCTGGGGCACAGTAATTGTTGACAATATTTGGGCAAAACTAAAATTGTTCGCAGCTTAATCTCTTAAAAATTACTTGAACGATGCTAACATAAATAACATAATTAATAAAATATCGCTTCCTTACGACTTGGCCCTATATCATCTGAGCAACGAGCTGTACATATTATTAATCTGTTTTCAGAATGTAATGAGAGCGGCAACGGAACACAATCTAGGTATCGACCTGCGTACAGCTGCATACATTACAGCAATAAAAAAGATTTTCGTTACCTACGACGAACAAGGACTCGCCATCTAAGTTAATGTAATAATTAAACATTATTAGAACATTGCCATTCGAAAGGATTGAACCACAGCACACTTATCGTTCTGTGGACTGGACTAGACATTTGACTAAATAAAGCAATTGCTAACAATTCTAAAGTGTAATTAAAATCTACGGTTTCTTGACTAGTGTTTTAGTCAAATCTTCATTTTTACAGATTCACTGTCTCTCGAAATTTGGACTTAAAATGCTTGTACTAAGGTTTATATTAAATCGTAAACCTATCGATTTGCAACTGTTACAAATGTACGAGTGTTAGCAACTGCGTTTCATAAGAAAGCATTACGGGTTGATTATTAAGTATCGCCGCAGCATTTGATATTTATATTAAACAGATTTCTATTCTCAGTTCTGTTATTATGTATTTAACGAGATTGCAGTACTATTATAGCTGCGAAGTAGGTTGAAGGGTGATATGCAAATTTCGGTGGCATAATATCTGATCTTTCAGAATAGCAACGCATCAGTACCATGGGTATCACATAATGATGTTATGTTCGTAGAGCTGTTCATATGTTTTGGCGATAGTGACCACTTACCATCAGGTGGACCGTCAGTGTTTGTCCAGTAATATAAAAAAATAACCAATGTCAGTTTCAATAGGATAAAATAGTGTTTATATTTACAATTTTATAATTGACTAGCTGTTCCCGCGACTTCGTCCACGTGGAATTTAACTTTTTCTAAAATACAAGTAGCCTAAGTTACCCCTTATTACATCAGCTATCTGACAAAAAAAGTCCCATCAAAATCGGTCCAGCCCTTTCAGAGATTAGCCGGAACAAACAGACAGACAGACAAAAATTGTAAAAATTGTTATTTTGGTGTATGTACCGTATTTATATTCATATGCATGTAGTAGAAAACGGTTATTTCAATATTACAAACAGACAGTCCAATTTTATTTATATGTATAGATCGCAACCCGGTTCCATAATCACCAGGATAATAACAAACGACTCATTTACTTGTTGTTTATTTTTCAATTAGAAATGATTTTAATGATTCTAAATTGAAAATGATATGACACTTATTTTTATACAATATTGTTTATTAAGTATTTAAAATAAATACAATTTTTATTTTATTAATAATTTTATTTTTAAATATAGCTTTTTATAATACACAATTGTTGATAAGTATCACCTACCCGATATCAAACCCCATACAATTCAAACGGAGATCGAAATTACGACAGTCCGAGCCGAGGTTCAAACCCTTAGTTCCTAGACTAAAGTTGTATCTGTTAGGCGGGAGTTCATAGGGGATTTCATTTCTTCCGCGGGTTTGGAGTGCCATCTGCACTCGCCCCCTATCGCCCGGTGAAGCTGTAAAGGCCAGCTGCGGCCAACAGCATTAGGATAGTTAAAAAAGGTATCATCCAAGGATGGTTACAATATGCGAATGTATGCATCTAACCTATATTTTTATCTATTCTCTAATTGAGCGAATTGAGGAGATCGAGAGTGACCGACATCTGGTCAATAAGGTTATCTGGTCAAGTTCGCTGGAAGCAGGATGGGAGCAGCGCAGGACCGATTTACAATACATCAAAATATATTAAAAAAATAGTGTGTCACCAAATAGGTTTGTCATATTTGATGTTATTCCACAAAATCTATGTAAATATTTATAACAATTATAATATATACAAAACAAAAATGGGTATTGCATTATCAAATGAAATCCTACACCTTTCAAGTCAAAAATCAAAATATCTTTATTCATGTAGGTCCAATACTGAGTCTTATGATATTATTATGTCAAATCTTATCTGCTTTCGGGCTAAGTACAGAAACTCAGCTCTTATTCTTCTCAAATGGGCTTGTACATCATTATAAATATACAGATTCATCTTTAAATACAGTTAGGGAGACATACAATAATATAGGCTGTATACAATTGCAAGGTAATAATTTAATTAGTGACCGTTATCCGTACAGGCCAGTTCCCTCAAGCAGCGCACGTTCACGAGTGTGATGGATGAGCCATCCGTCATTCTACATTATAAATCTATATAACTCAAAGGTGACTAATATAGTGATCTACCAACGCACAGCCCATATCACTGGACGGATCGGGCTGAAATTTGGCATGCAGGTAGATGTTATGACGTAGGCAAGAAAGGATTTTGATTAATTCTACCCCCACGGGGATGAAAGTTTGTATGAAACTTTGTCAATTTTAAACTGATCGGGCTGAGACTTTGCATGCATAAAGCTACTATGACGTAGGCATCCTCTACGAAAGGATTTTGACAAATTTCACCCCTAAGGGTTATCCCCTTAATTAATTAACGAGAGCGAAGCCGCGGGCAAAGCTAGTGCAAAGATTGCCCTAAGTAATTTCTAACCTATAGTTCCCTTACATAGATTCCCTCTCTTTTGAACCAGGCACAAGATTACGACAGCTTTAGCCGAGGTTTGAATTTGGTTGAGTCAACTGAAGTAGCTATCCGAATTGGTCGGTGGAGATAGTGAAAAAAAAATTACTTTCACAAGAGGCCGAAAGGTCCTTAGGTATTAAATAATTTTGGATTTCAGTTCCAGTGTAGACGAACACATTATTACCTTAACAGCCATAAAAATCTATTAATTTATTAATGTTGTAATATATCACGTTTAGTAATAAATGCAGTGATTAAAAAAAAACATTTGGGAAGTATTTACTTTAAAAGTAAGTACTTTAAAGTTCCGTGCGATTCTGACTCGGATCCTGCCACTTTTTGTGCCGAGTGCATTCTCTTGCCTTTTTTTAAGAGCAAACCATAAGACTGTGGTGTTTGGTTTTCATTCGTTTCACGTGTGGTAGGTTAGGGCTTCTAGAATATTCTTTTTTTTACATCACCATTAATGGTCAATGAATTGGTTTATTCAGTTGTGTTAACACCTCAAAGTCGGTTTACAATTGTTTATTTGTATTCATCATGCGAAACGTACCTATATCATATCGTACCCATATCATATAACATTTAATAATGTAATATAAACCTTATATATATTTACAATTAGGTTCAATATTTATTTTACCTCTAAGCTTATGTTCTAGCGGTCTCTCTGTTGCTTTTGAACCACGCCACAGTATCATTTATGGCAGTCTCGAAAGGTGTAAACTTGAAGTCTTTGACAATATCATATCAAATGCATCATCAGATTAAAAAATTGAAGAAAATTCTAAATTAAATATTTGATAATGTAATACAAACCTTATATGTATTTACAATTAGGTTCAATATTTATTTCACCTCTAAGCTTATGTTCTAGCGGTCTCTCGGTTGCTTTTGAACCACGCCACAGTATCATTTATGGCAGTCTCGAAAGGTGTAAACTTGAAGTCTTTGTATAGGGAACGTAGTTTTTTGTTCGAGGCAGTCTTCTTGTATTGGCCGTCTGCCTTTGTTGTATCATATACTATGTCACCTTGGTAGCCGTGTGCTTTCTTTATATATTCTGCTACTGCGCCGATTGTAACTTCATCCTCTTCGTTAACTGGAATTAAGATATAAATATTTATTATATCATGGATATAAAATCTTCAAATATAAAATTCTCGTGTCACTGGTTTCGTGTTTATACTCCGAAACGGCTTGGCCGATTTTGATTTATATGTATATTCAATAGGTCTGAGAATAGGTTTATAACTAATTTTCATACCCCTAAATGTCAAGGGTGGCTCATCCAAATAAAAAAACATTTTTTCGACAATTTTCTTTTATTCTTTATTTAGCATTGAAAAATACATACAACCCTAAATTTTCACCCTTCTATCACCAACCTATATTTTTTAATACCGATTTATAAGGCAAAACGTTTACCGGGTCAGCTAGTGATATATATATGTAATTCTCCTATCACAGTATTTGTAACAGAACTCCAAAACGCAGTGACCGATTCTAATGATTTTTTGTGTAGATATTCAGCCGGTCTAAGAATATGACGTAAGCTGTTCTTCATACCCCTAAGCGATAAGCATGGCCCGTCCAAAAAAATTTTTTCAATATTTAACAAAAAAAAAATTAATAAACTTTTTAATGATAAAAAAATACACACAAACTTCTACACTACTATCAACCATACGCATAGTAAACAGTCATGCAGTATACACACCTGATAGTATAATGGGTTCGATGCTGTCATAATGCCTGAGTACCCAGACGAACAGCCTCGCGAGGTCCAGGGAGTATATGAACTGCCGGAGTGGCTTCCCGCTGCCCATCACAGTGAAGGTGGGCTCACCTGGTCATTTAAATACAAAAATAATATTATTACCTTGAAAATGTAACCTTCAAACAACAAATGTCGTAAAGTTAGTCCACGTTACAACTCCGCGTCGAATGTACGCGTTACTAATAAGCCATGTAGCACACTATCAAATAAACTTAATGTACAATAAATAGTACAATTATTACACCTGTATACTCACTACTTACATACTAAAATAAACAATATATTATATAGCGACACCTCATCACATCATATATGTAAGATATATCAACTCTGTGTATTAGTAAAAGTATGTGTCTCTAACACAATTCACTTTAGCATTTAAAATACAACCAGCACATCCTGTGCTCAATGACCGAATGCCGTGGCTTACAGTAAACTTCCCTTTTATACAGAGAAGATACGAAACTACCCTCATTTAATATTTTTAAAATATTAGATTTTTCGACAATAATTTTCAGAATTTTCGATGTGAACCCTAACATATATAACACTACAGTGGTGAGGTGATAACCACTGCGCTTCAAGTTTATTTTAGTAATGGAGGCGTCAGGGAGTGAAAGAGTGGACTGTTATAGATTCTCCAATGCGTTTATTACTAGAACTTTATATTACAACGCTTTAGCCCGACATTAATAATACGGAACGGAAAATAAACTAAAGATGCGCGTGCGGTTGATACGGCGTTAAAAATCAGTGTGTCGCTGAGTGCGGCCGGCAGCCCGTTTGTCCGACGCCCCGCGCCCCCGGGTCTCCCCGGGGACATCATCGCGCTCGCTGTTTATGGCTTGACTATTTCCGCGTTGAAGTGCCAAGTTTTTGACAATATGGTATTGTATGCCCGGCGAATGACACCCCTCTTCGTTTGGATGTCTGCAACCCTTGCTACGCCGTCTCTTCCCAAGGACACGTACAACGCGTCCCAAAACATCAAGAATCTTCTCCTTGATAACGACGAACATTCCCTCTTTCAGCTCGCCATAGGACCGGTGCCATTTGGTTTTCTGTTGGAGCCATACAACATACTCATTAGAAAATCGATTCCAGAAGTGTTGCTTGAGTAGCTCGATGCGTTGGAAACGCTGAAGAGAGTTAACTCGGCGATTGACGATATCAGGATGTGGCAAACAGATCAGAGATCGTCCAACAAGGAAGTGAGCAGGAGTAAGAGGATATAAGTCGGATGGATTATCAGATAGAGGTGTGAGGGGGCGAGAATTTAATATTCTATTTGAATAAGAAGAGTATTTCTTCATAGTTTAAGTGAGTCATGTCCAAAACGCGCCTAAGATGATGTTTTACGGATCGCACGAGTAGTCCCATAAACCACCGAAGTGAGGAGTGTAGGCAGGTATGAATGAAAAGTTGATACCTATTTCAAGCTAAACCCGAAGTCAAGGATGATTGTGTGAGAAGTTTGGAATCATGGAAAGTTCCAACAAAGGTCGTGCCGTTGTCCGAGAACAGCGTCTGCGTTATTCGACGTGCTATAAACCTGTGTAGTGCTGCAATAAAAGCTCTCTTTGGTTAAATCAGATCAAGCTCCAGATGCACGGCCTCGTAGACACACAAACACACAAATATATGATTTTATAAGTTTACAGCCTCTACCTTTGCGGTCAGCTATCAGCATTGGTCCAGCATAATCGACACTAAGAAGGGAAATTCTAAATGGACTCACTGGTAGGTTACCCATCAAGGGCTGGACAGTCTTCCCCTTGAATCTACTGCACCTAACACATGAACGAACTTTTCGCTAAAATAGTGCCGCCTATTGGCCAATAATTATGTCTGGCGGTGGCTAGTAGTAATTGTGGACCAGAGTGCATGTGTTTTTTATGCAGCATTTCGAATCTTAAGTCACATTAGCGATGTTTACCTGATAGAAGGATAGGATGTTTGACGTTGTAGTCGTAGTGAGAATCACTAAGCCTGCCACCCACGCGGATGAGGTAGTCAGAACCAACAAACGGCGTCAATGACAGAAGTCTATTTTTATGGGGTAAATGCTTATTGAGTAATAGTAACTCACGTTCCTCAGGGAATGAATCCTGCTGAGCTGTACGTAATAGAACATTTGTGGCATTATTTAATTCTAATAATGACAAATTGTGTAATTTACTTGCATTTTTATGGCAGTATTAATGAACCTTAAGACAAATGCAAGTACACGTTGTAATTTTGTAAGCGATGAAAATTTATTTATTAGTGATGAAATTAAATTGGTGTTATTATTATTTATTGATAGCTTGTTATTAATATGGAATGTTTGAATTGTTTCTGGTAAATTGGAAGTGTATTTATTTGGATTAGTTGGCCATTGAGAGGAATCTAATTTTAAAAAGGCAGGGCCTGTCCACCACAACGAAGAATTACCTAATAAATCTGCTCTAACACCTCGAGACACTAAATCTGCCGGGTTTGATTTAGTAGGTACATACCGCCAATAATGACAATTTTCTTGTATTTCTAAAACTCGGTGACGTACGAATGGTTTAAGATGGTTTGGTGGAGAAGAGAGCCAGCCTAAGACGATGGTAGAATCAGTCCAAAATACACTACGACTAAATTCAAGAGTAACCGACGTCATTACCTTCATGAATAGTCGTGCTCCTAAGAGCGCGCCACATAGTTCAAGTCGTGGAATTGTGGTGGTTTTAATTGGAGCTATCTTATTTTTGGAAGCCAAAAGACGGACATCAATTGATTCATCGCTAGCTATACTTCTTACGTATATGCATGTACCATATGCCTTCTCCGAAGCATCTGTAAATATATGTATTTCTGTTTTATTTGTTTTGTCGTTTTTAATGCACCTAGGAATTTCAAGTTTATTTAACTGTGGTAGAAACTGTATAAACTCTGACCAAATAATTTCTATGTCTTTTGGGACCCTTTCATCCCAAGAGCATTTATGTATCCACAATTTTTGCATTAATATTTTTGCTTCAACAATGCATGGTGATACTAAACCTAGAGGATCAAACACTTGCGATAAAATAAATCTCTTTGTTATTTATCTTGCAATATTAATAGAAAATGATAAATAATCAGTTGTTCCAATAAATACCTAATGTTTTTGCACATTCTTTTGCACTAAGATCTACGCTACCAGATATCTCATTATTTTGGTTTATACTATTTAAAATAAATAAATTATTTGAATGCCACTTTCTTAAATTAAATTTGGCTGAATGAAGTGTATCAATAACACCTTGACATAATGATATACAGCCTTCAATTGTATCATGACCGGACAAAAAATCGTCAACATAAAAATCATGACAAATAGCGCGTTTTACTTGAGAATCACTGGACTCATGACCTAATTGTGTGAGACATCTAGTGGCTAGAAACGGCGCTGATGCCGTGCCGTAAGTAAGTGTATTTAGGGTATATGATTTAATTGGGTGGGAGGGATCGAACCTCCATAATATTTTTTGTAATGGACGTTGTGATTCATGTAATAATATCTGCCGATACATTTTTTCAATGTCGACTGACACAACAAATTTATGTTGTCGAAAGCGTAATAATATAGCTAATAAATCGTCCTGCATATATTGTATGTCATTAAGAGACTTGCCTGAGGACGTAGGGGCAGAACCATCGAATACAACACGTGTTGTGTGGTTGTACTAGTTTTAAGGACGCCATGATGTGGCAAGTAGCATTGAATTGTGTTTTTATTACTACTACATGTATCTTCATTCAAATGTCCCAGATTGGCATATTCATTTATAAATTCTATATATAGACGTTTCAAATGTACGTCTCTTTCTAAGCGACGCTCAAGGGAAAGAAATCTATTTTTTGCAGCATTATATGAATTGCCTAAAACGTCAGGAGGCTCCCTGAGCGGCATATAAACTATCCATCTATGTTACGCTGTGTAGAATTTATAAAATCACGTTCACATGCCTGTTCTTCTGGAGTGAACTCAAATTTGATGTAATTGTATCTAGTTCCCAAAATCGGGTTAAGTCGGTATGGTCGTTTGAAAACATACATATATGTTGTTTGGGACTAGGTTGAAAAATGCTACCAGAAACCAACCAACCGAGTTTGGTTAAAAAGAGTTGCTTGCCTAGTTGGATACGATTTGTACCGATCACATTCCAGAAGACACCTACAAGGATATCTATGGATGACGGCACGTTGAAATTTGGATCGGCTAAGCAAACCCCAGTTTTCTAAGTTATGCACATCTATATATGTATTTGGAAGTAAGGCAGTGATGTTAGGTAAAACGAAACAATTGATATCCGTCCTGTAGACACCACAATAAGACTCCAATGTAAGAGAGCATGACAATGAACTCGTGGATACCTGTTGATTGATGCCTGTTACTCTTGAATTCGTAGCGTTGGTAAGAAATTGATTTGGCACAAAATTCCTTTGTGACAAAGTTTCCTGTGCTTCCATTGTCTAATAAGACTCTAGCGGCATGTGATTTTCCATGGCCGTCGAGCACCTTGACCAGTTTGGATAGCAAAACATGAAATTAAAGACTGAGATGGTTCAGCAGATAACACAACGCTGTCATGTGCGACAGACTTATTATGAATATCGAGATGAAGCTTGTGTTTGTTCCAATATTTAATATTAATTTACAGTATTCGTGGTGACCAGCAATCGATTTAAGCATATTTTGAAGGTCTTAGCCTTTTCAATACGAACAGAAGCTCTGATCACAATTAAATAAATAGATAATAGAGAAAATGATTTATTTTTATAAGAAATTATAAAGCTATTGGATTTGTGAATATGATTAGATTCAGAATTACCTCATTCCAAAAGATCTGCATTTAAAAAATATCTAGAGTAGGTGGATCGTTGCGATTGTTTCTGTATTCCTCCCATTTATTTGTGACAATATCTAATTTAGTTGACATCATATAAATTATTAAATATCCCAACTTTCTGTAGGCTGGTCAAGCGTAGCCAAAGCTTTAAGATTTTTATTTGTGACATCAACTATGTAACGCAAGGCTTTACTAATTCTTTTTTGATAATTTACATTGAAAAGGGCGTGAACATGATTGTTTACAAGCAAGCGTTTATTATCGTATATTCCCATGCGGCAGCATAATTCTCAGCCTTAAAATCTAAGCTTTTGATGACAAGGGCTGCACTATTTGCAAACAAGCACGAAGATAATGAAATTTGTTTATGTCGTCAATGACCGTGCTGGAATGAACTATAGAAATGTAGGTATCGCGGAATTCAAGCCAATGCTGGTAACTGCCATTGTAAAAAGGTAGCTGTATCTTGGGAAGACGTACGAAACTATTGTGTTTGTGCGCACAAGCATCATGAGAGCTTACCTCGTGATTTGAGGAATGTGACGAAATGATGACTGGCACAGGGTTTTACGTCGCGACAGCCGAGTAATACTGGTTCTCGAACACGTCTCGTTCCTGATACCTCTGATCAGATCGTCAACGTAAACCCTGAAGATTATCAAAGTCAGAATATAGTAATTCCATTTTATCATACGCGATTGCAGTTCAAATTGAATGGCTGCATTGCTAACAGAAAATATTAATATAATTGCAAAAATTTGTAAGTTTACTTTTAAATGTTCCAAATTAATTGATTTAGTTGTGTTGATTTAGATTCTGACATTGTAAACGTTAATTAAGATGAGTTGAATGAATACTATATGATGAAGTTGAATTGCAAATAAAAGGAAATAAAAAAGAATAATTGTTATTTTTATTTTGTTATAGGTGATTGTTTTAAATTACTATTTTTATAAAGTAGCAAATAGAAACGATACTAATCTCGTATGCTTCTGCACCACGCTTCGCAGTTTTAAAAAACAGTAGTACAAAGTCGAACTACCGAACGACCTAGGAAAAAAAAACAAAAATTAATACACAGTAATAGAAATATTGTATACTTATTGGTTATTAGTGAAGAAAAACGCAGACTAATGATATTAATTGCATTTCTACTATTTACAAGTTGCAAGATCAATTATTTGTTTTAAGGTTATAATGTTATTAATTACGTTATGATTTTATGAAAGAATGCTATTATGGTTATGAATATGATATTGATTGTGATTAATTCGTTAAATGACTGTGTGTGATTAAAATAATAATAAGATTTGCTAATCAATCACTATCTACGTATTATGCTAAAATAATGTAATAATATATATAATGACTGCAAATATATAAATGGCAATAACCTTTTATGGTTTGTAATGAAAATGATAATTATATGAATGGTAATTATGATGGAATGATTATGATAATGGAGAAGTTAAAGTGAAGATGATATGGGGATGGATGTGTAAAGATAAGATAATGGAACGATCTCACGGTCTTTATGCACTATCCATATAAGTAATCCTCTTCTTGTTCTTCTCGGTGCGTTGTAAGACCCGAAATTCTGGTCGGAAGACTAAACAGCAACGTTGAAGTGCGCAGTTGAAAAAAGCCAGTGCGCAGTTGAATGAAGCCAATGCGCCGTTGAAAGAAGCCAGTGCGCCGTAGATGCTGCTTGCGTCGCAATAAAATTCCAGTCGTCCAAGTAGTGGTTGAAGGACCAATTTGATGGCGTCAGGGAGTGAAAGAGTGGACTGTTATAGATTCTCCAATGCGTTTATTACTAGAACTTTATATTACAACGCTTTAGCCCGACATTAATAATACGGAACGCTATGAAAATAAACTAAAGATGCGCGTGCGGTTGATACGGCGTTAAAAATCAGTGTGTCGCTGAGTGCGGCCGGCAGCCGGCCGCAGCTATATTGTCCGACGCCCCGCGCCCCCGGGTCTCCCCGGGGACATCATCGCGCTCGCTGTTTATGGCTTGACCAGTAAAGATTATTTATATTACATCCGTCATATTCGTGAACGGGCGCTGCTTGTGGGTACTGGTCCGTTTGGGTCCCGAACACTGATTAGACTATTTGCTTTTTCAATAGCATATGCTGGTGGTCACACTATTCTCCCAAATTTAAATTTAAAAATGAATCTGTATTATTGTAAACATGTACAACATTTATTTGAAAACAATACGAGCTGAGTTTTTTGTCGGTTCTTCTCATCTCGAAATCATTCCGAACTGACGATAGATTGACATATCATAAGAGTCTTTAATATACATTAATATAGATATTTTGATTTCTATTTTAATAGTCTTCGACTGATTACAAGATGGACACAAAGAAAATAATCATTGCCTTGCCTTTATTACGTTATTTGTGGTCAGTGCAGTATGTCATTCTCTTCCACTGATCTCTATCGGTCGTCATATCTGAGCATACTCTTCTTTTATTCATATCATCTTTCACACAATTCCTCCATCTTTTTAGGGTGTCCTGTCCCTTTCCATCCATCTACGTTCATATTATATACTTTCTTTAAAACATGACTCTTGCTCCTTCGTATAACAAGCCCATACCAGCTCGATCTGTTACCTCGCAACTTGTCTATAACTGGTGCAACTTTCAAACTTCCTGGTATATAGATATTACTTATTCTATCTTTCCTGGTTACATTTCAACATTCGCATTTATGATGGACACTAAATATATAAATTGTAAACCTTTCTGCATAGCGTCGTCCATTCTCCTGATGAGGGCGGGTATGACGTGACTGGATACCAGGCTGAAGTTGTCCTGTGGCCCGAACACGTTGCACGGGATCACCGACGTGAATACACTACCATGCTGCTCATGGTAGCCTCTACAACAATTGTATATTGATTACTAGCTGTGCTGTGAAATTGAGCTTGTGTTATTCTGATATACATATAAGCTATATTATGGTCAAGTTCATTAAAATCCATTCAGTAGTTTGACGGCTTGATGGTCTAGTGGTTTAGGTTAGGTTAGGCCCTACTTCCGATGGTCGCGGATTCGATTCCTCGCACGGCACAAACATTTATATAACAATCATATTCATGAGTATGATTGTTTGTATCGGTCTGGGTGTTTTCTATGTGAAATATTTGAAATACAATTTAGAACTTGAAAACAAGTAATAATAATAGTAATACTAACAGTGGTCATATCATTACAAAGTCGCTGTCGCTGTCTGTCCGTGTCTATGTATGCTTAAATCATTAAAACTACGCAACGAATTTTGAAGCGGTTTATTTTTTAGGTAGCTAGAATCTATATATGCAAATCTATACATACGTGAACCAAAAACTTTGTACACCTTCTTACGATTGCGCGCACGGAGGAGTATGTGAGTTCTGCTTGTTAACTTTTCTGTAAGTTGTATTAAGACGGAGTATACATACCTATTAAGAACATCAATCATCCTCTTTGCATAACTGTACCCATAGTTGGAGGTGTGCGGTGGACCGTTGTGGACCTGGAATAACAGTCAAGGTGATTTGGTTCATTACCTTTACACGTACGCTCTTTCACGCGTTTGGGTCACGCAGGAAACATGTGCTTGGGTCACGCAGGAAACATGTGCTTGGGTCACGCAGGAAACTATGCGCATGGAAATGTATGTGATGACAGGAGCGGTGGTGACTATATCGCCGATTAAACAGAAAAATGTCATTTTTCTAAACTTTCGGATAGTTAGATTATTACTAAAAAGAACTGTTAACAATATTTTTGTATGGATAAAAGACACTAAGAAATTTAACGTGAAGCTCACTAGATGTCATAAGTGTCATCTCTGCACTCTATGGTCATCTGCCATATTGAGTGTAATTTACAATCAATATGGCGGCAGTATTTAAAGTTTAGTTGCAATAGTAAATAAACTTTATTAATTATTTAAAAGATCAACACGCAAGTTTCTTACTCGTTCTTCTTGTGATGAGACAGCTTTCCGAACGAGCGGTAGATTAAAAAAATGTAATGACTATTCAAAAGTGCTTCAATGTAACTTTATTTGAATAAATGATTTTCTATTCTATTCTATTCTTTAAATGCTTGTCTTGTAAGAAATGTACATTTTGAATACTGACATTTTTCTATTTAACCGACGATATATATTAAGCATTACATGAATACGTGACGTTAGATAAAGTGACTTATCTAACGTTTGCTGGCACAATCTATTATCGTACGGGCTGAAATGCATCACTATATCACAGTATGTGTCAAAAATGAAAATTTTTAAATTCTAATTCGACATCCCGGTGGTCTAGTGGTTCAGCACACTTTACTTCTGATGGTACCAGGTTTTCAAATACAGTACGAACATTCGTATTCATGAATATGATTGTTTGTATTAGTCTGGGTGTTTTCTATGTATATTATGTGTGTATTCATAAAAAAAGTGTATTTAATTGTTTCAGTTGTCTAGTATCTATACTTACATATAAATAAAATTGGAGTGTCTGTTTGTAATATTGAAATAACAGTTTTTTACTACATTTTTATTACATGCATATGAATATAAATATGGTACATACACCAAAATAATATTTTTAACAATTTTTGTCTGTTTGTACCGCCTAATCTCTGAAATGACTGGACCTATTTTGACGGGACTTTTTTTGGCAGGTAGCAGATGTAATAAGGAGTAAGAGAAAAAATCTTATATTTTAGAAAAGCATAGTTAAATTCCCAGTGTACGAAGTCGTGAGTCTGTTATATAAATTTTACTCAATGTATCACTAGATGGCGTTTCGTGTGTAGTAAATAAACACAATTTTTATCAATGTCTCTGTTGTATTTTTACTTTACCGTCTATTTATATATTGGAGATAGCTGTATTTGTTCATGAGCATTTATCATATTTTAATTTTAAATGTAATAATAGATTAAAAAGCCAACTGGCCCTACCAGAACCTAAAATAGAAATGTTTAGGGCGAGTCCGTATTACCGATCCATTGTAATATATAATAAAATCCCGGAAACCATAAAACAAGAAGATAAAATTAATTTATTTAAAAAAAGGCTTAAACAACTACTGACCGACAAAGCTTACTATACAGTAAAAGAATTTTTAACAGACGTACTATAGGAGCTAACTGGACACTACAACAGATCTAAATTTTAAATTTTATTATTGGAATGAGTCATCTACGAAATTGCCATACTCTTTAAACAGAGTCCATGTGTATTGTTAATTTATCTTATGTAAATTTATGTATACGCATGTGCAAATATAAATAAATAAATATGTATTTCCATTTCGCTGAATTTCGAAATCCGAAATCTCCTACCAGAAAACACAACCATCATTAACTTACCATGGTCTCGTCTATCGGATAGGTGGTCTTATCAGGAAATATGCATGTTGACAAACACGACACCACTTTCTTCACACCTCGTTTATGACTTGTGTCTAGAACATTTTCATTTATAGCCATATTTTCCCTCTGTAATTAATAAAACATACAAAAAGAGAGATAAATCATTACATAGTATAAAACAAAGTCGCTATCGCTGTCTGTCCGTCCCTATGTATGCTTAAATCTTTAAAACTACGCAACAGATTTTGATGCGGTTTTTCTTTAATAAATAGAGTGATTCAAGAGGAAGTCAGGGCGAGTATTTTGTAAAAATTTAGATAGACAAATAGATAAGTATGATGAATAAATATTTCTTTATATTTATGCATTTTTTTTTTTCTTTTGTGAGAAATCTTTACCCTGTGTAAGGGCCCCCAAAAAAATCTACACGCACAACGGCCCGAATGAGAGGCCAATTGCGGAAAATGGAGTCCAACCGACATTGGGCCCCCAAAAAAATTTTTATATGGGGCCCCGCCAAGGCATACTTCATTTCTGTTCAGACAGTTGACAATTTACATGTAATGTACCCACATGATAACCTCTGTACAATGCATTTCTCGCAAAATAAACAATTTCGTTTCATTTCAATGCCTCTGACTACTGCAACTAGGACAATGGTTATATCAGTATGTTTCATATATATTATTTTCTATACATTAGAAAAAATCTATCAGAATACTAACAAAGAAATCCAAATTATGTGCCATGTTGTGAAACAGACCCCCCACCATTGCAGCTAAGTGTATCACATGTGTTGGCTGATATTTGTCAAATAATGCCTCAGTTTCTTGTTTATTCCTGAAAACAAGTGAAATTATTATTTTTAACAAACATATTTTATTATATTTAAACTTTCATGTTTAATATATATTATTAACCAGGTCAACAGAGAGGATGGCTCAAAATTATGATCTGCGTGGAATCCAGTCATAAATAAATTCAAGCAAAGTTCAGTAGCATTAATAGTCAATAAGTGTGAGGATCCCGGGAGTGTTGTGTGGCGTGTGTGTATTTCGTTGAATAATCTAGTGATGGTAGATGAAAAAACTGCTGTCTTATATTAATTACTTGAATTTTACTACATATTAATATAACTATTGCAACACTATTACTGCATTCTGTTTTTGAACTGGATAGTCCTGGTTTTTTGAACTTTCAAACCTGGTTTTTTGAATTTGGGCTTGGCAACCATAGTCTAGATTAACTTAAAACATGGAAAAACAGCATAGAAAGAAGTCTAATGGGGGTAAAATTTAAGTTTGAAAAATTCTAGGAAATATAAAGAAAAAAACAATATTAAAGAAATGTAGCAAGTAAAAAATAAAAAATGGAAGAGGACAGGACACATAATGCGGGAGAGGCAAATAGACAATGCTGGTAAGAGAATTGTATCCTAGAGATTTATTTACTAAAAATTGCGAGTTTTTCTTCACCACATTATGGACCCAACATGCTAGTGTTGGGATGTCTATGGAAGTCTATGGAATGTTAAGACTTGTACTTCTCTATGGTTTAAGTGGATTATACAAAATGCAAAGAATATTATTAACTTCGTTAACTTAACTTCTTACCTCAGGTCACCATCCTTTGACCCACAGAAAACCCAAGTTTCATTAGTAGACCTTTCAATTCCCCGTTGTCTTTCTTCTTCTACAATTGTTTTTATTGCTTGCCCAACTAGACCCGAGCCCCCTGTCACCAGTATTACACTCTTGTCTGCACTCATCTGAAAGAAATTCAATGAAAAAGTACAGTAACTTTTTTATGAATTTCAATACACGTCACAAATATAAACTAACCTTATTTATAAGTTATGTGGTAAATTATTTTTGGTTTATAGGTTCTATTTGTTTCCTATTCCCTAAATTGAAACAAATAATAGCATATAATTAGAAAACCGGTATTAAAAATTCATGAAAATTAATATTTATCAATAAAATAAAAAGTAAAAGATAACGAAAACAAAACACAAGTGACATCCTGATTGACATTTAATTTGACATTTGAGTCGTTAAAAGGTCTAGATTGACACAGGTATCAAATTTACCATAGACATTATTGCTCCACGAACGTAATATTTTCAGTGAAATAGAATGTTATCATGTGCAATTTCAACAATAAATGCATTTTTTAAACCGTTTTCAATATAAACTGTATGTTACATTTTTAATGGTTGTATAATGATACATGATACATTTTTATGATGTATAACTACAAATTATAACAAATTATTCGTAATTTTGGAGTCATGTAAGAATACTATTAGTTACTCATAGAGATTAGATTTAATTTATATTTTTCAATATGTTTTAATACATGGTACATTATAAATAAAAATAAATAATTTTAAGAAATTAATAGAAAATTATTTCGCAGTTGCTTATTAGTTCATTTTGGATGAAACTATTATAAAGTGAAATCTAATAGTGCGTAATAAAATACAGAAACTATATTATATATAGAAATACATTTGATATTGTTTCTGTAGAATAACATAAAATTCCGAAGATTTTTAATTTGTCACGTAAATTCGAATCTCGAGATAGTTTTAAAAAAGAGAAAAATGTAGAAGACATTTATTTTTTCTAATCGAACACATATTTGAGTTCTCAATTCATATTAGTTATTCATCTACTTTGTTAATATTTTAAAAATAAAAGAAATAGTCTATGCGAAAATACTTGCAAATGATTGGTCAGTAGATTCTATACTGGCGTTCGCTCGCGTTCCAAAAACGCCAACCAAATACGCTTTCAATTTTCAAACCAAAATGGAGGATTTGTCGGTCGAGGTGTACGGTGAAAATGGTGCTTATTATAAGGTTTGTAAATCGTGAAGTATACCGTAAAATAGTTGAACAAGCAGTATTTTTATTAGTGAAATATATACTCATTTGTTTGCAGCCTTTAATTCCAACAATTATCATATACTTACAAAAATATTTTTCCGGGAAGATCATCGCGGCTGGAATGGACGCCATGTCCGTCTGACAGGGCGTGATTTTTCCATGTGTTGTAAATGCAAGGATTTTTTTGTATTTTCAGCGACAACCAAGAAATAAAATTGGACCCGCACATGTTGTTTTTTATTATATGCGCATTTTCTCATGTCTCACCTACTTATTTATTTGTAGCGCATTACCCCCAAGTTATTGGATCATCAGAATGTTCTGAAATTTTCTTTATTTTTAGGCCATTGTCACCGACGTGCTCGACAACGAGGTTCTTGTAACCTTTGAGAATGAGTGAGTACATTTTTTATCTTTATTTTTGTTGGTTTAGTGTTCGGTTATTTATATTTACATATATTTATTTGTATTGTTCCATTTTAGCTGGCAACCGGAGTCGAAGTTCCCCTTCTCTCAAGTGTTCTTGCCACCGAAAGACACCGGAAAACATACGGAGTTCGTGGAGAACCAGGAGGTGGAGGTTTTCGCTAGGTCAAATGAGAAGGAAGCATGTGGGTGGTGGACAGCTAATATCAAGGTGGGTATTGAATTACATCTCTAGGCCTATATCATATATCATAGGTGCATACTGGTATTTTTTAAGAAGTATCTGATACACAACATTAGTATCTATTGCACTAGTTTATAATTTATTTTTCTATTTAGTTTCCATACACAATATTTGTTTAATTTATTTTTGTTTATAATAATAACAAAGTTAACATTAAGATATTGCCCAAACTAGTTTTATTCCCTTTTATTATTTACATACTGCCATTAATATTATTGATTTCATCTGCACTTGAATACTGCAGTACAAAATTACCTCTACTCTACTAATTTGTTGAATATTGTCACAGATTAAAAATATAGAATATTATTGTTTATGTGTGTTTATTAACAACAAAGTATCTTTTTAAGAATAAATTTATTATAATGTGACTATTATGTTGGGCTTGTCAATTGTTGAATTTATTGATTTAAGTATTTGTAATGGTAATTTAATCTTTCTTTTTTGAGTTTTTTTAAAAATGATCCTAATTATTTAAATCCACTTCTCCACTGGTATAGTATTATATAGTGTTTATTTAAAATTTATTATTAATTAATAGTATTATGATGTTATATAATATAATATACAATACTCCTTACATAATATATTTGGGTTAAAAGTAATATTATTATCTCATGTAGTTCTTAATTTTTTTTATAAAACTTGATATATACAAACAATGTTTATAAATCCAAATATTAACGATATTTAGATTTAAATAAAAAAATGTTATTTTTCAAAATTAGAAGCTGGAATTGCCTCCTTTTATATATTTCAATTAAATTAACCACACCGTCTTAATCATTATCTGAATATTTAAAAAAAATCTTTTAAATTTAAAACTTTAAAAGAAAATTTATTTTATATCAATTTAAAAAATGCTTGTCTTGTATATTTTGAATACTGCCATTTTTCTATTTAACCGATGATATGGCAGACATAACGGAATGGATAGTGATTCAGACTGCAAAATTGCAAGCCAAGGTGGTTACGATTATTCTTTATTAAATATCTTTGTTTTATTATTGTATGGTATTGGAGAGACAACTTCTCAATTATAGTAATGCTTTAATGGTTTACCATCAGATGAGCCATATGCTTTTCCACCATCATAGTATTAAAAAATGCACCATTCCTAACGTTAATTAAAAAAAGAATGCATGAAATTTAAATTCACATCTTAAATAATAATAATAATATGTTTATTTTGGCATCAATGGTCCATTGTTAGTTTTTTTTTCTAATCTGTGGATAGTGAAGTTTTTAACTCTAGTATTACAGTTGCAGTCGTTACAAATTGTTAGAGTTTAAAGTAAGATAGCAAAGTAATAACACTCACGATTTGTGTTAAGGTTTGATATAATGGTGTTGACATATTTGGTAACAAAAACCCAAAAATTGATGGAGATATTCAGTGGATTATAGCTGGATATATAATTTTATATGTTTTTCATCACAGTTGCATGTTACATATGAATATTCTTATTTTAAATGTAATGGATTAAAATCATCTGTCTAATAAAAATCAATAAAAAAAAAGTAAGTTATTTAAACGATAGGCATGGCATTTGAGTGTATACTGACTTATTTATTATAATAATATAATAATAATAATCTCAGGACAATTCACACAGCGCCATCTAGACCCAAGTTAAGCTATCTAAAGCTTGTGTTATGGGTACTAGACAACTGATACATATATACATAGATATTTTTTTTTGTAAATACATACATATTATACATAGAAAACACCCAGACCGATACAAACAATCAACTCATGAATAGAATTGTTTGTGCCGTGCGAGGAATCGAACCCGCGACCATCGGTCGTAAAGCGGTGCACTAGACCGCTAGACCACCGAGGTCGTCAAGTTTGTAGTTAGTATTGTTATAGTCAATACTTATTTATTATTTAATACATACATCCTTACACCCTGTGTTACTTTTTTTGTGCCATTCTTAGTTGCTGTATAACGGCAAAGGTTTACAAAGTATGGTGTAGTAGAATATGTACACACACTATAACACAGTGCATGAATATTTTTAAAAACAGTATCACAATAATATAAAATATATAAAAACTATGGTGAGCAAGCTGCAACATCCCTTCTGTGATATGGTCACATGTTATTCAAAGTCCACTGGCAACTTGACCAGCCTTTTCAGTGGCCATCGGAGTATGCCTCTTGAATAGGTTACTTCTGCAAACTTAACAATATATAGTATAGTACACAGAAAAAAAACAGACACAATGTCTGTTTTTTTTATGGATGATACTGGAATGGATCACCCGTCTAAGCTAATGGTATACCTTACTTATGATGGTAAGATCAGTATGAGGTCATGTCAGTTAGTGAATGCTCATCAGGGCATTCACTAAGAATTTATGGCTATGGTTTCCAGGGGATCCGCACGGAGGTCAACCTGACATGCTGGATTGCTTGTGGGGTTCCACCACATTACTAACAATCCCTTTACCACATAGTAGCTTTTTGTATAAATAAAAATATAAAATTATTCATCTTTTTAAAGTTTGCTGACTGACGACCGACGATATTAATAGGCAATAACTATACATTCTGTGGGGGGGATTGTTAGTAATATGGACTGATGACTCTATTGCTAGCAAAGTACCGTTCTCTCTAAGAACCATCATGATAAATTCCTGGTGATTTTGTCACTGTGTTAACTGACCTGATTTCTTGTTCATGTTATCCTCCGTAGCTGCCCCACCAGCGTACGTACCGTTTGCGCAGGCGTGCATTTCATTATAATCCATTTCAACACTTGTGCATGAACGTACCGTTCATATGGAGTAGAGGCTGGTGTTCGCATTGCTAGCAATGTCGTCTGGCAGGTCCCATCTTCAAACCATCGTCTTTAACTTTTCGAATGTCCATCGTTTCGCAGCGACCGAAAATGAGGAGGTGGTATGTGCGCCAGCTGTATTTTTTCAAATGCGTTTCAATCTTATTTTGTTTTAAATAAGTATAAAATTGGTTAAATCTTTTTAACCAATTTTATACTTAGTCACGGCTTTGCGGGCACAGATCTGTGACAAGACATTCGAAGGGTTAATAGCTGGTGATTTCGCTATGACGCACTAACAAACCTGACTTCATGCTCATTCTGTCATCCATCATATCAGCACTTGTGCTCTGCCATTACAATACATTAAAAAAAAGCGCTACGGATTCTAGAGGATTGAAGTTTTTTCTCTACATATGTCTTCAAATATTTACCATGTTATACACTGTTTTAAATTTGACAAGGTCATTATTTATATGGATAATTATGAAAAATCACGGAATAGTTACCTTTCTTTTTTTTAATTTTGCTGAGTTCCCGATATTTCGGCAATGTTTCAACCGCCATGTTCACGGGTAAACTGAAGAGTAGCGAGTAGATAGTAAATAAAATATTTTATGGGCAGACATATTCGTCTACCTTCACACGTCTTCGCTCGTTTCTACTACTGAAACTCGCTCGATACTCATCTCGACAAACTATACTTACAGTAACTTCACGTGTACATAATATACTTTCTAATCGCGTTTTTTGTTAAATAAAATGTTTTATGGCCAGACATATTATTTTATCTTTTATCGTAATCTTGGGAACTCAATAAAAAAAATGTGCACTAACAACGATTTCTTTCTTTCTCCCATATTCTTACATTCTATAATAGGTGAGACAGTGTTACCCACCCTTATGACTTCATTTATAACTAGCTAAGGTTTTTGAATAAAATAATATTGCGACTATAAATTAGAGATGTAAGATGTATCCTATCTTTCAAGTTGGATCAAATTGCACACAATGTGCAAATCAATTTTGCAATCGATTCAGTAGTTTAGGAGTGCATCGCGGACAAACAACGTGACACGTAATTTTTATATATAAAGATGAGCAGCAATAGTTACGCTAATAAAATCTAAGTAACGATTACTATTTTCTATTCGGTAGCCTGTCAGCGTGTTTGAAATTACTAAATGTAAAAAGAAAATATTTACAGGAAGTTTCAATTTTAACCTTATAGTGGATAGGATAAACGTTATTGTTCTTTGTAAGGTTTTATTGTCTGATTATCAGAGTGCGTTGTCTTCACCAAGATAATGCTAATTCAAAGAAAAGATACACGAAACTAAAAATAAATATATACCTACTTTTATTTCTTCAAGTAAAGATTACTTAGTATAAAACGAAGTCGCTTGCGCTGTATGTTCGCATATATCTTTTAAATTACGCCACGAATATTGATTAAATTTTCAGTAATAGATAGAGTAATTCAAGAGGAAGGTTTATATGTATTACATGTGTTACTATGAAACAAACCGAAAAATTCAAAGACTTGTAATGCACCCACGCGAAGCAGGGACGGTCGCTAGTGTTTTATAACAGTAAAGACAGTAAATCAATATCGAATGTACGTTACACATGCTGTGATCTACGGTTTTGCACGTTTGGTGTTGTAAAATTCAAATTGTCATAAACCTTTCGGTGGATTGGCTAAACTTTATGAAAAAACAAATTTCGAGCTCTTAACTTAATTACTATGATTGATAAGAATGATGCGTTGTGCTGTAATCTATTATAAATCCTGGTCATCACTATGACTAAACAATATATTAAATATTTTTTCTATTTGAGTAAATTATATTATTTTAACACACTTAAATTTAAAAATGTTATTAATCGTCATTCCATCAAATTATTGTTGTGCTGTAATCTATTATAAATCCTGGCTGAATTAACTGTCATCACTAATATATGACTATATAATATACTAGATTTTTTGCCTTAAAATAAAAAAAGAAATTAGAGGTGGACTTATTATTTGTTTAACCAGTTGGTTATATATTCAATATTTTATATATAAGATTTTTAAATGTATTTAATTGAATTACTGTAAAGTTTCTTCAAAATGTTTAGTGGTTTGTATTCAAACACATCTTAAATTTAAAAATGTAAGTTATGGTGCTTTATATAAATTATACTGTATATATTATTAAAAGTGAATACTAACAATATTATACTATATATATTGTTTTAACAATAACATTAAATGTTTGTTTGTCATCGTTATTATCATAATATGAAAAAGTATTGTAAATATTTCATAGTGACAAAGCTATCTCTGTAACAGATAAACATTGGGTTTGCAAACAAGTAGGTACATTAAAGTTGTATTGATCTTAGTGGTGTAGATTAAATAAAAAATAAAATTGTATACTCTCAGATCGGCTACTGGTCCTCAAAATAACTGACAAACACACTATTCAAAAATTGTGTTTCATGATTGTATTCTAAGTTATATCTTTTAATTTGTGTGTTTTTATGATCTTGTTTATATTATACTTCTTTAACAATAGAGCTTCGATATCGTAAACTTACAATTTGAAATTTACATAAACTTTAAAATTTACAAAAACTTTAAAATTAATATAAAATTTTAAATTTTACAAAAACTTTAAAATTAATATAAAATTTTAAAATTAACAAAAACTTTAAAATTATTATAAAATTTTAAAATTTACATAAACGCTGTAAATACAAATACCAGATTTGTATTTTGGACGTTATCTTTTAATTTGTGTGTTTTTGATTTTATGCCACGCTGCGTTAGTTTGACTGGAAGAGATCTCATTAAGAGATAAGTTCTATGTTAACGTTATTTGTAATGAACGTAATTAAAGAATGTAATCAAATTGCAATACAGAATAGTACAATTTGTATATAATTAAGATTACTACTTTTAGAATAGAAATAATTTTTATTCAAATAAACTTATTATAATCACGTTTTTTTTATTCTACCACACTGAACGCAGACTCATCACGATTGTGAATGTTTGTGGATACGGCAATTGCGCTACTGTATTAAAAGTGCAATCTATATATATAAATAACATTGTAGTGTCTGTTTGTAATATTGAAATAACCTTTTTTTACTACATGCATATGAATATAAATACGGTACATGCATCAAAATATTTTTTTTACAATTTTTGACTATCTGTTTGTTCCGGCTAATCTCTGAAATGGCTGGACCGATTTTGAAGAGACTTTTGGTAGATATCTGATGTAATAAGGAGTAACTTAGGCTACTTTTATTACAGAAAAAAATAAAATAAAACTCCACTGCGGACGAAGTCGCGAGTATAGCTAATAAAGAATAGATTGTAATTAATTATGGTTTAATTTCGACTACTGTTTGACCACTAGTTAGTTATAGATATATGTTATTTAATTTCAGATGATAAGGGGTGAATTCCTCGTGATAGAGTATTTAGAATGGGACAACTGCTACACTGAAATCGTGCCAAAGGATCGCCTCAGAGTCAAGACGGCCAAGACACCCATCGATAAAAATACCTTCCACAAGTTTGAAATTACGGTTCCCGATGATCTCAAGGACTAGTGAGTACAATTTTGGATACGGCTATTTTTTTACGGTAATTGGGCTACTGTATTTTGTTAAACTATGGCACTGCGTCTTTAAACATGTATTGTTTACAAACTGCATTAACTCGAAAATAACATACTTTTGAAAATCGACTTTAATGACAAATCATTAAAGGTCGATTTTTCATTTTTTTGTATGTGAGGTAATGCTGTTTAGTATTAAACGGGATGTGTTCGTCCTGTTTAAAGTTTGTTACTCCCGCCTGTCATGTATAGGAATTGTAAGGATTTGGCTAACTTATCCCATAGTATAAATATACTCACAACTAGAACTCAAGTAGAATGTCTACACATTTAGACAAACATGTTTGAAATAAACGTTGGTATCTCCCGTAGTAGGAATTCAATAAAATGTTGGTGCTAAATAAAAAAATTTACGTAATAATATACCTCGATGGTAACTGGTAGCAACCTATCGACTGCTAGATGGGAAACATCCTAGAGGGCGTAGGCCCACAACATGGTTTTACCAAATTCGCTCTTCGCTCGGCTTCACGTTCCATTATGCAAAGGACGTAATTCTGCGGGGCTATAACGACCTTCAGGAACGAGGAAAGCGACTTGATGAGGAGGATTATACCTTTATGACTGTTATTCTGGATAGGGGTAGTCAGACGCTTTGTCAGCTGTCGACGTTATAGTGAATACATTTGACATGTCTAAATTTTGCTGAATATATATAGAATATTATACAACAACTTATCTCTGCACAACTCATGGTTGACTGGTAGAAAATGCCATTAGGTGTTAAGTCCGCCATATGTACTTTTTACCTGTGTATGATGTGCATTAAAGTTATTTAAATAAAAAATAAAAAAAATATTGAATCTGATATGGCAGCGTGTGAGTCTACCGCTCTCTCTCGGATTTATTTGGTTAGCCAGCGGAAATAAAGCGAATAGAATTCTTTTCTTGTCTTAGCCAGATCGGAACAAGTACCAAACCACTACCACGCTCTAAATAAGACTGATAATGTCGATTTAAATACTTCTAGGTTGCGTCAGAACTAGTTGCAAACCACGATCTAAATTAGGCGGAATGATGTCAATTTAAATCCTTTATTATTAGGTCGCCGGTTCGATTCCTCGCACGGTACAAGTATCTGTATTCTTGAATGTAATTGTTTCAGTCTGGGTGTTTTCTACGTATATTATGCATGTATTTACAAAAAATATACATATTGGACAAATATACAAACAGCTCGTTTCTGCGTGTGTTGACAAGATCACATGTCCACTAATGATATCATTGTCCTTATACAATCTGTACAAACAGACGGCGAATCTTTTAGTGAATTGTCTAAATGTATACATCTAACAACTATTTGGTCTGTATACTATATTACGAAAATTCAGAAATGGAAGTAACATTTTTGAACATTTGATATTACTAATATTATAAACGCGAAAGTTTGTGTGTATGGATGGAAGGATACCAGGATACAGAAAAAACTGAGTTATTAATATCACAAAGTAATATTATTATATTTATTTTTAAAATTATTGACAATTAAACATTCAGAAATAGTTTTATTAGAAAAATTTCTATAGATTAATTTTGTAATTCAGAAATAATCGGGTTTATTGTAAACCCGATCACTGTTGACACTAGTCAACTGTTCAATAAACCCGAACATTATTTATGTAAAAATTATTGACGTAATAACATACATATAATTAATAATAATAATAATTTCAGGACAATTCGCACAACGCCATGTAGACCCAAGTTAAGCTTTAGCTACCTTCTGTTATGGGTACTATACAACTGATACAAATACATAGATATATTTTTTCTTCAAAGCATACATAGTATGCAAACACCCAGACCGATCAAAAAAATCATACTCGTGAATATTTGATATTAAAAAAAATTTTTTTTTGTCTTTTGCATAAATGTAAATTTGAGACAATTTGAAATTTTCATTCGACACTTACACTTTTGTATTAATGTTTATTTTTCAAACAATTGGAATTTTACTTATATTTTGGTCATTATTAAAACCAGCCGTTATTATTCAGTAGCAAGTTATTATTACTTTCAAGAATTTGAATTCCATAACATGTTGTATAAGAGTTGTAGAGGAAAGTCGTAATTCAGTTTTCAGTTAAGTAATTTTGTTACACGTTATTCTTGCGATTAAACAACCCACGATTGTATAGATGATAAATATGCCGGTATCGAATCACTTAAGGCGACGAGGCGAGACTTCACATCGTTTGTGTGTTCCACCAAATACACAACGGACCGTGTTCTGATGAATTGTTGGATGATGCCCACGGCGGCTTTTACCATCGCACATATCGACGGAGAATTCATTCCCACACGCTGGAACCTAAGTGGTCTCAAACAGTGCGGTTTCAAAGATGATTTCTCCACTTTACACTTAGATTTTGGAATGAACTACTTGCCGAGGTTTTACTATAGCATGGAATTTTACATAAAGGTTTCTCAAATGTCGGCGACGCGCTCATCACATCCCTGCTGTTCAAGCGTCTATAGGTTACGGTAACCGTTTACCATCAGATGAGCCGTATGCTTATTTGCCTCCATCGTAGCTTTAAAAAAAAATTACTTTAATAAAATTTATTTCTTTAACAAATTACAAAATAAAATTTACAATCTGTTTTGTATCCAGTCAATATACGATGTGATTCTCGTATGACTAGTTGGTAGTCCAGCTTGACAGCCCAGTGAGGATCCGAAGGATATAACACCAATGAGTATATACTCATCACCAGTTTTATAACAAATAGGACCACCCGAATCACCACCACATGGCCCTTTCCCGTACTCACCACTCGTACATATCGACTTATCTGTTATTAATCTACCATACACTTCAGCACACAAATCATTGTTAATAACATTCAAGTAAACGTAACTCAGTTGCTGGTTGATACCTATTGGATTGTCCACACCTGTCTGCCCATATCCGACAGCCTTACATGAAACACCATCGTACGTCTCCCTCGAGTCCTTTGGCAGAACAATCGGTTGAATGTAATCATTAAAATTGACGAAATCAATCGTAATGATGGCAATATCACTTTGAAGGTTGTCGTTAAAACCGACATGCGGTACAACGTCATCAGTAATGATTCTAGTTCCGCCAGAGAATAACTTTATAGACCCAAGAACGACTTCGAACATGATGGCCTGCTTGACACCGTCGAACCAGCAGTGCGCTGCTGTCACTAACTTGGTGTTTGAGAGTAATGATGATCCGCATACTGATATTTCTTCCGATGATAAAGCTATTACCAGGCCACCGAAGAACGGGTGAGCTTCAATGTTTGCGAATTGTCCACCTGCCACTTTTAAGAGACTTTCTGATTCTTCCTTTTTTATTCTACTAGCTTCTGGTATCCCGATGTGTTCATGGTATTTAAAACTATATACGCACACTAATTGTAGGAAATTGAATAAAATAAGTAACTTCATAGTGATATTATTGTATGTAGAGTAATGATTTATAAGATCTCGGTTTATCTGGAACGAATCTCTTATCTATGATTATCGATGTGGTAGTACTTGACTGATTATGTAGTATATCACAATTTACGGAGTGCGATGTCTTTAGTTTAAATTTATAGTCCCAGAGCAAATGTCTAAAAATCGTCTAATCATTTCCTCTCGGCCGAAAACTTCTAAAATGGTTTATAAAGTTGAATTATGAAGGCTATTGAATGGTAGCTGCGGTTATAAGGGTGGGTTGAAGAGCAGACCCTCATAAACTTTAAATTAAATTAAAATTAGACTATCTAAATATATTTAACTTAAAGGTGACTGACATAGTGATCTATCAACGCACAGCCTAAACCACTGGACGGATCGGGCTGAAATTTGGCATGCAGGTAGATGTTATGACGTAGGCATCCGCTAAGAAAGGATTTTGATTAATTCTACCCGTACTTTGTCAATTTTAAACCGATCGGGCTGAGACTTTGCATAAAGCTACATAGTAGTATGACGTAAGCATCTCCTAAGAAAGGATTTTGATAAATTCCACCCCTAAGGGGATAAATTAACGCGAGCGAAGCCGCGGGCAAAAGCTAGTGTAATATAATTTTAAGCTTCATTATAGTTCTTATTATGAAATTTACTGTAACAAGTTGGCTATTATTTAGTAGATAGCGTTGTATAAAATGTAGACGGCGGTATGAACTTGTTCTTTCTGTATCTATTATAGAAGTTTTCAATCTTAACCGATATATAAATTGGGCATGAACTTATTGTTGACTCGCGGCCTATTATTGCTGTTTCTTACTTGATTTTCGTCTATTCTTCAGGGGACTTACCGAGATGTAGATTTCAATCATTCAAATAAATCGGGAATTTCGTTTCACATGACAGTGATTTCGTTTATTTACTTTTATAAAATATATGACTCTTCCGTTTACGGAAGCACCTACATCAAACAAATATAGCCCGAGAGACAGCAGTAAATATCGTCACGTATTCCAATATGCTCAACGAAATGTGGGTATATAAATTATTGCGATCACCAATCTCTGACAATTGATATTTGCTCTGCTCATCCTAATGGCGATAACAGTCGTGAAAGTATAGTATTATTATTAATAATAATAATACCCTTGGACAATTCAATTTCAAATTCAATAAATATTGATCACCTAAATCAATCTTTTGATAATATTAATAAAATTCAATTTACTATATATATTGCATAAGGATTCGCAATATAAAAAAATGTATCGGAGTTTAGTCCTTTCTTTCTTTATCAGTCTGATAAGCGATTAACAAATATGTAATAATATTATTGATAGTGGAATAGTATGTAATATATATATATACGTATATAGATTAAAATACACTATCTATAACATATGTTAGTTACTAGTTAGCTGTCTAGTGTAAATAAATTAGTCACTCATATACTACGAAGAGGTATATTATATACATACAAAGCTCGGGGTTCTAATAGATTTTATATAATAACTAGTTGAGCCCGCGATTTCGTCCGTGTAGAATACCTTGACCAAATAAAGAAAAACATTTAATAATCTAATATAAAAATGCCAATGAAAAAAATTTCATTGTAGCTTTAAAAATGACAAATTTCCATACAAAAGTTCTTCCTCTATTTTATATTTATTTATATGTATAATATATAGTTAGAAGATAAGTTCTAAACTTCTAGCTTTAAAAAATATTTCAAATCCAGTATCGACATCTTACAGCCCTTTTTTCGCATTAAATGCTGTTTATGCCCGTGACATTTCTCAGGGTCTATCTGTGTATCAAATTATTAATCTCATATACTAAATAACAATAGTAAAATGTTATTTGGGTTTACATAATTTAGAGACTTCAGTGCTTAGTAGACAATATGCAGTTTGTAAGTAGCCATAATTAATTGCAAGTTTTACAATGTATCCAGGTAACTGTGTCCCATATGTAATAAACGCGAATATTTAAGAATAAATAAATTAATCTCAATAATAGAGCGAGCGATAGGTTTTTATAGGCATGATCCATTATCACGCCTAAAAAAACCTGTCGTACCTGCACCTGCGCTAACGGTTTACGCTGGCATGGCACCAGTGGAGGATGTTAAGATGAATATGAGGTCAGGTCAGTTAGCCCATCATGATAAATTCATTATGAATTTATCACGACGGTTTCCAGGGGGAACCGCGTGGAGGTCAACCTGACATGGTACACTGCTAACAATGGGGTCCACATTACTAACAATCTCTTGCATCCCCAGAGCGATAGGTTATGCATATCATGCATAATCATCGACAAGATAATGTTTATGATATATGTTTAAGAATAAATAAATTAATAGAGCAGTATGATGTGCATATATATATATATGCATTAGCTGACCCTGCAAATGTTGTGCCATATAAATTAAAATTGCTATTAAAAATAGGCCACATAATAAAAAAATAAAAATCAATAAAATTAAAAAAAAAATTGGGCTGGCCACCCTTAACACTTAGCGTTATATAAAATTAGTTCTAAACCTATTCTCAGACCTACTGAATATATGTACATATATAATTTCATCAATATCGGTCATGCCGTTATGGAGGAGTACAAACACGAAACCTGCGACACTAGAATTTATACATTACTTTATGGTATATGTTTAAGAATAAATAAATAAATCTTTATAATAGAGCGGTATGTTCTGTTATGCATATGGATGCATGATGAGCGACAAGATAATATTTATGGTATATGTGTAGCCTTCACGACATACACAGCGCGAAGGTGGAGAATGCACACAAGGAGTTCCAGAAGGCGATCGGCGCGGCGCTGGTGTGGTACGTGCCCGAGAAGACCGCGTTGGCCGTCATCTCGCGCTGCGACACCTCGCAGAAGCGCGCCCAGATGCTGCAGGAGATGCACTTTAGGTACCTTTGTTTTATATTTCTCCTAAACTACTATATAATATAATCTCAGGACAATTCACACAGCGCCATCTAGACCCAAGTTAAGCTAGCTAAAGCTTGTGTTATGGGTACTAGACAACTGATACAAATACATAGTTTTTTTTGTAAATACATACATATTACACCCAGGCCGATACAAACAATCATACTCTTTAATACAAATGTTTGTGCTGTGCGAGGAATCGCAACGCAAAAACTACTGAACGGATTATATATAGGTTTGATGACCTTGATAGTCTAATGGTTTAGCACACCGCCTTACGTCCCTTGGTCGCGGGTTCGATTCGAATTATGTACATAAAACAGCACACACGTAGGACTCGAGGTGCACAGTTACACTTGGAGTTCTGCATTGCACGGTCGGCCGACTCACTGGTCATGCAGACTTGTGCTGACATAAAGGGAAACTACAGGGCCCGTAGTGCAGAGGCATCACTCGCGTGGTAGTATGGAGTTTCCTACACGTAACATTAAATAAATAACCTTGAATAAATAACACAGCACCATCTAGTCTCACGGTGTATAGTAGTAGACTATATATCTTGTGTTATTACTAGACAACTGATATAAATACTTAGATATATTTTTTTATATAAATACATACATAATATTATATATAGTACGTAGAATACACCCAGACCGATACAATCATATTCATGAATACGAATGTTTGCACCGTGCGAGGTCTCGAAGCCGCGACCATCGGAAGTAACACGGCGTTCCGTAACATTGTATCATTATCATCTTCCTTAATTCATAAATGACCATTGCGATCATTTACTTGATTTAAAGAAAACTTGAAGTTTTTAATCGTTTATTGTTCACAGCGTTTTTTCCAGAGAGATTATGACAATTGACGCAGAAAACAATGACAACACTTTTAGTGTTGCCAACCTTGTCTCCATTTTAGGCGTGAACATCCTCCGGCCATTGAAAGAGTTAACTTTCAATTTCTTCAGTATCTTCCACAGGTAATTTTACAATGTAACGAACGGCTCGCCGTATCGTTCCTCTTGCAGTGTAGATATCAACCACTCGACAAATGTTATCTGCACCATGATGCAGCTTCGTTACACGACCCAGTCGCCAGCTCTGGGGTGGTATGTTTTCATTTCTTAACAGCACCATATCTCCTACTTTAGGATCTCCGGTTCCTGATTTCCACCTTGTTCTCTGCTGCAACTCAGCAACAAATTCTTTGCTCCAGCGTTCCCAAAAATGCAATCGCAGTTTCTCTATCATGTAGAACTTGGAATTAGCTTCTTCTGCAGCAGCATGAGGCAGGGACGCCAGTGGTCGACCGATAAGAAAGTGCCCCGGGGTTAAAGGATTTAGGTCCAACGGGTCGGAAGATAAAGGAGAAAGAGGTCGAGAATTAAGAATAGCTTCTATTTGGGTGAATAGAGTGGACAATTCTTCAAAGGTTAGGGAAATATTACCTGCAACTCTCTTTAAATGATATTTGGCTGCCTTTACGCCCGCCTCCCAGACGCCTCCAAAGTGTGGAGAATAGGCTGGACTAAATTTAAAAGAAATTCCTTCAGAGTTAGCAAAATCTATTACCGAATCACGACTGGAGCGTATAATCTTACCTAGTTCATTGTTTGCCCCCACGAAGTTGGTGCCATTGTCGCAATAAATTGTTTGAGGTTTACCTCTACGCGCAACGAATCTACGTAAACATAGGATAAATGCTTGAGAACTTAGATCGCCTACCACCTCTAAATGAACTGCTCTAGTACTAAGGCAGACAAATAGGCAAAGATAACATTTTGTAATTCTATTCCCACGACCCTTTTTACTCGATATCATGAATGGTCCAGCAAAATCAGTACCGCTTGCATGAAACGGAAATGTGGCGTTAGTTCTAACTGATGGCAAGTTTCCCATTATTGGTCTTATATTAGGCTTACCATTGTACCGTGTGCACACAACGCACTTCTTTGTTATACTTCGGGCCAAGAGCCTACCATTTATTGGCCAATATTCTTCACGAAAGGATGCAAGAAGCTGCTGAGGTCCAGCATGGAATAAACGATTATGTTCGTACCGCATTAACAAAAGGGTAAGTCTATGTTTACTATCTAATATGATAGGATGTTTCTTATTGTAAACGAAGCTAGAGTTTTTAATCCGGCCGCCCACTCTTAATATACCTTCCGAATCAAAAAATGGGTTTAAAGATAAAAGTTTAGATTTATTTGATAATTTAGAATTTTTTCTTAAACATTCCAAATCATTATAAAAGGATTCCTGTTGACTTAATTTAATTAATATGGATCGCGCCTTATCTATTTCATCTTTTTGTAGATTATCGTATAATTTATTACTTTTCCTACAGTTATTCACAAAACGCAATACAAATGCGTACACATGTAACAATCTAGTAAAGTTAGAATAATTCGCAAAATCAATACCGCATTCTACATTAAATTCTGTTTGCAAATGAACTTTTAATTCTGGCAGATCTACTGCCCAGTTATTTTGCTGTGGCCATGCTGAAGACCCCTCCTTCAAGAAGGAGGGTCCTTCCCACCACAAGGATTCGACCTGCAAACGCTGAGGTGTCACACCTCTAGAAGCTAGATCTGCAGGGTTGAGATCACTCGACACATGCCTCCAACAATACCCTTGTGTGAGCATATTAATTTCTACAACACGATTTGCTACAAATGCGTGTAAAATCTTTGGTTGTGTTCTCACCCAACCAAGAACAACTGTTGAATCGGTCCATATAACCTTTCTTGTTATACTATGACCCCGTATAGACTGTACCACTTTATTTGATAAACGAGCACCAAGCAAAGCACCACACAGCTCCAAACGTGGTATAGTCATAGTTTTAAGAGGTGCTACTCTCGCCTTTGCACACAGAAGTCTCACTGTGACATTGTTCTGTGTGTCAGAGGAACGCAGATAGATACAGGCTCCATATGCTTCCTTAGAAGCGTCTACAAAACAGTGCAATTCAACTGAAACAGGAATATCACATAATATATATCTAGGGATTGTAATTTTAGATAAGTTATTTATATTATCCGCTATTTCAATCCAATTTTTTGCAATAGTTGTTTGGTACTGGGTCGTCCCAGCCTAATTTTTCATTCCATAATTGTTGCAAGATCATTTTAGCTTTAATAATACATGCACATAATAGTCCTAAAGGGTCAAAAATTTTACATGTTAATGATATAATTATACGCTTTGTAATTTTTGTATTCATATCCAAATCTATACTGAAATGTAGATTATCAGTAGTTGGTGACCAACTTAGACCCAAAACTGTTGAATGTTTACTTAAATCTAGATTTTTTGCTGTGGTCTCCTTTTGAATTACTTCTGGACAATTTGTGCGTATTTTGTGTAAAGGAAAGCAAGCTGACGATAAAATTTTAGTTATTTCTTCATAAACTTCCTTTATTTCATGTTTAAATTGACATCCTGTATTTAAATCATCCATATATATATCATGTTCTAAAATATTTGAAATAACAGGATTAGGACATTCCCGAGCTAACTGGACTAAACATCTTGTGCTCAAGAAAGGTGCTGATGCAGTGCCATAGGTAACTGTGTTCAGCTGATATACCTTAAGAGATTGAGAACTGTCAGTTCTCCAAAGAATTAACTGCAAATGTCGCTGAGAAGGGTCAATTTCAACTTGTCTATACATTTTTTGAATATCACCTGTAAGTACATATTTAAAACTTCTAAACCTTAACAATATTGAAAATAAATCATCTTGCACTACAGGACCCACATATTGTATGTCGTTTAGAGATTTGCCTGAACTTGTTTTAGCTGAGGCATCAAACACCACCCTAAACTTGGTTGTGTCACTACTTTCTTTCACTACCGCATGATGTGGTAAATAATATCCAAATTGAGGACGTGAAATTTCTTCTAAATGACCCAACTCACGATATTCTTCTATGAATTTAATATAACTTTGTTTTAGTTGAGGTTTTTTGCAAAATTTTTTTTCTAAACTAATGAAACGCTTTTTTGCAGAATAATAGGAATCACCTAATGCCTCCTCTGGAACCTCCCTAAAGGGTATTTTAACAGAAAAACGACCGTTTGCTAGTCGTTTCATATTATCTAAAAAATGCATATGACATAATTTGTCTTCCGGTGAAGTAATGTCATTAAAGTCAATTTCATCAACTTCCCAAAATTTTTTTAGGTTATCATGAATTTCTTGTGTGAAATGACATGTCACGTGGTTTGGGTTCTGCTCCCCTATACGGCCACTGACTAACCATCCAAATTGTGATAGTTGTAAGATTGGTTGTGATTTACCCAGTAAAATACGCTTGGACCCTACAATAGTCCAAAAAACATCAGCCCCTAAGAGAATACTAATTTCAGAGGGATGATGAAATTCTGGATCCGCAAGCTTGATATTTTTGGGTAGATTCACTTCCTGCAGATTCACAGGTTCACTTGGTAACATTCCTGTAATTTGCGGAACAACTAAACAATTGATTTCCATATGAAAGTTATTTATACGTGATTTTATATTTAAATTACAACGTTCAGATATATTAAAATTAAAATTATTAATACCCGAAATTCGTAATGGTTCAACAGTACGAATAGTAAGGTCTAACCTTCTTTTCAGATTTTCCGTGATAAAAGATGACTGGCTTCCTGTATCTAACAGCGCCCGCACAAGGTAAGTCTGTTGAGTACTTTCATTGACTACTTCTACCATAGCAGTACATAACAGAACCTGGTTCACAGAGACAGCGGATAATACCACCGGTGGCTGCTGTGATGTGGATGGTGTAGTGTCAGGTAAGTCTCCTACTACATTGTTATTATTGTTACTTTGTTTATTGACATGTAATAAACTGTTGTGTTTTTGTTTACAGTATCTACAGGAACCCTTAAGGTGACAACGAAAGACATTATGACCTTCACGCAAGCAATTGGAACATAACTTCAATTTGGTTGCTTCCTTTATTCTATCCTGGACATTCATATTTTTAAACTTTGTGCATTCATATATGCGGTGACCCTGCTCACTACATAATAAACATAAATATTCACAGAGATTCTCAATGGAGGACACCAAAGAATTAAATTTATTAAATTGTTTATTATTATTACTAGAATCAAGGTTTTTATTCCCATTATTTTTCCATTTACTGTTTAAATTATTTTTGTTTGAATTTTCTAGCCATTTTAAATACGAACCATTGTAATTTGGTAACTTTATAGTCGGTAATTTTATGGACTGAATGTCGTAAGCTTGAGGAGCCTGACAACCGTTACCTTTACTACATAAATTATTTAATTTTTCTTTATCTTTTTCAGTTATATCTTCAATAATTGCCATAACTAAAAAAAATTTGCTTTCAATTGATTCTCTTAGCTCTAATTGTTCATCAACATTGGTCTCGTTGCAGTGACTTTCAATTAATGTCTGAGTTTCATCAAAATTTTTAAATAATTCTTGGCAGTTTTCTAACCGTTTATTTAAGGGTGGTAGGATGGGCTTTACTTCCCTCGGATTGACCTCCTGACACGTTGCTATTTATAGGTTAGGCTCCGTTGAGAAGTAGGTTCCTTATTTTCCAATCAGTAATGACACTTGTATATGTGTATTTGTTATTTTCACTTTGTCACGGTCGCCAAATGACCATTGCGATCATTTACTTGATTTAAAGAAAACTTCAAGTTTTTAATCGTTTATTGTTCACAGCGTTTTTTCCAGAGAGATTATGACAATTGACGCAGAAAACAATGACAACACTTTTAGTGTTGCCAACCTTGTCTCCATTTTAGGCGTGAACAATAAATGTGGAATTATTTTAATTCGTTTTAATATTATATGCCTTTATCCAACACTAAAAAAGATCCGATGTTTTTTTATTCTAATAGCAAATTATGAATTTATATTCCTCGGGTCTCGGAAGTTGGAGCTATGTGAATTGGTCTGAGTTGTTATAATAATGTTTTATATATAATACTAGCTACCTCCACGGCTTCACACGTGTGTATATGTATTATACGTATAAACCTTCATTTTGAATCACTCTATCAGATAGAGAATTTTAATATAGTTCTTAGCAATAGATTGAGTCATAAAACAGCATTAAAATCCGTTGCGTAGTTTAAAAGATCTAAGCGAACAGACAGCGGAAGAGATTTTTATTTTATACTATGTAAAGATTTTTTCATTATACTATAGATTAAATAATCTAACTGAAATCAGTTATGTAGGTTTGTCGACACATTTCATATTTCGTTTATTAACCAATATAAAAATATTCTTTACAAAAATGTCAAGTCATAATATATACTTATTATTTTATTAATATTAGTATAAATATTAATTATTAATATTATACATAGTTGTATAAATATAAACATTCACTTTGTAACAATAATATTTATTAATATGTATTATAATTAACAAAGTCAATCTAATTATATATTTATACAACTAAAATTAAACAAAACCTTACCATAAAACTGAGGTGTAAATAAATATGGTTGCCACTGTTGTAGTATAAAAAAACGTGTAAATATACCGCGACTCGCTTATAATTCGCTCTGACTTGATCCTCGAATGCGTGTGGGAGGCAGTTTATTTTTATAACAGATTATATTCATATCATAACGATACGAATGTCGCGCTCCAATGATTTCCTGATACTTGTAGTTTTACGACGCGTCGCCAATTTGTAGCGTTTTTAGTTATAGTATATATATACATCTAAAAAATGTCATATTGTCAACCCCCTATATCTTAATACAGGACAAGCTCCTGTATTGAGTAATAGAGGAAGTTGTCAAACATTTAATATTTTTTAAGATAATATATCTATTTTTGAAAGTACCATACAGACAGTATACTAATTGTGAACGTTACGCTATAAATTGAGTAGAAGTCGTGTTTTTTAGCAACAGACCCTTTTTTTTTTATGTAACTGGCTGACAAATAATTTGCCCATCTGATCAGCGTTAACCGTATATACAGCATAAAAATAAATTTTGATGTCTGTGGTATCTTTTGCACGTGACTATTATTGATGGTTAAATTGTAAGGTAGAGATTATATTTTTGGTTTATATTGGCTAAATTAAAAAGGTAGCTAGGTCTTTACTTAACACTACGTTATCAGTAAGTAATATAGTAGAGACTAGTAATATATAATTGTCTACATTAGTTCTTTTCATGCGAAGTCGTCGCGAAACGCTAGTATATTATTTTAAAGGTTTTTAAAGCGGACCATTATTTAATTTGCACTCTTAGTACTACACGTGATATGCCTCTGAACTGATAGACATCATCAGACATTCGAATATTGTTTGGAAGTTTAGTGTTGATTGTTCGGCGACTAAGTCGCAGTTTGGTTGACTCAATGACGTTCGGAATTTGATCACCAATAGAGGTCGTAACCCATCCAGTAGTGGTAGTCAGATTTCTGTACTGAATATTTGCTGTCACACATATGCTAATGATAGCAGAGTTAATTTTAAAAGCAAACTAACAATTCATTTATTGTGTTCCAGGAATCTAACTCAGAAACTGTTATTGCTGAAAAAGACTGAAGAAGCGGCAAGACAATTAGAATCCACCAAAATACACAATCAAGGAGGGTGAGTTGTTAATTAGAATTTATATTATTGTAGGCTTCACGGACGTAAATGGAAATAACCGCCGTAAAAACCACGAATGTATACTAAAACTAGCCCTAATCTTAGCCACTTAGTCCGCGTAGAAATGACTTTTTAATGGCTATTAAATTACAAATTTATAAAAAAAAAGTAGCCTAAGTTATTCCCTATAATATTAGCTATCTGCGAGCGAAAGTCCCGTCGAAATCGGTCCAGCTATTTCTGAGATTAGCAAGAACAAACAAAGACAGTCATACAAAAATTTTATAATTATTTTTTGTTGTAAGTACTGTACTATATACTTTTATATGCATTAAGTGTAATCCTGAATTTTTAAACAGACACTTAAATTTTATTTATTTGTATAGATGTACTATTCATGATGTTGCAAATATATGAGTATTTGTTAATTAGCCAAATACCTTTTTTAAAATACCACGTGACTCCCCTGGTGTTTCAGGCATGCATAGGCTACGGTAAACATTTACCATCAGGTGGGCCGTATGCTTGTTTGCCACCATAGTAGTATAAAAAAATATCAGAAATGAATTTCCATTAATAGTTTTAAACTTATTATTATATTAATTTAATTTTCAAACTCATAAGTTGAAAGGATAATATCAGAATCTACAGATCACGAGTAACTGTGTTATTTTTATAAATTGATCTTATATTTTTAATAATAAAAATAATACTAGAAAGGCAGTCTCCATTTTATTTTACTTCTTTGCTTCATTGTTTCCGATTTTTTGTAACATTAATTATTATAGAAAGAATATTTAGATTATTATATATTGTCTTTATATAACATTGTCGAATATTTTTGGCATATTTGGATATTTTGTTTATCCTAGCGTCTTTTCGGGAACTGAATCAAAATATTTGCACACAAATTGCACGGGAGTTACGGCGTTTATTCAAATTTACGTCTGTGGTAGGCTTATTATCTAATTTACATTTTAACGGTCAGGGAACTCCAGATTTGTCACTACATTCATTGCCATTTCTGAAGTTACAAACTCATTAATTTCTATTACAATAATATTTAGTTCCCAATTGAGAATCCCGCTGCGAGTTCTATATTACCACATAATGCATTGCACATTATTAAAATAATTAGTTTATATAAACCTTGATCTATTTTGTTATAAATTAGTTAAGAAGCCTACTAGGCTATTCCTTAAATATATATTTATTACTTCCTCATTATATTGCACAACCCGGCAGAAATATCCATAAGTCTTTCCTTACAATGCATGATTAAATTTTTATCAAATATAAATATGTTTCTTTGGCATAAAAAGCGCTATCTTAGCGGTATTTGGCTTACGTATATACCACAGAAACAAGGCAGACCAACTATATGCTTGTTACGATAAACATCCAACCGACTTCCTTTGCCTCAAGTTTAAATTTAAAAATACGGAATCTCAATGCAGATATAATTCAAATTTTTTTTTGTGTAAAGTGAGAGAGATAGAAATATAAGTCTTCTTCTAATTGAAATATGTATGAAGTATCACGCATATGGCTTTTATATAGCACGGCTTGGTCTGCCTTGATACATTTCTGTGGTACCTGCAAAATTTCAGCCCAGACCAGTATTCGAGATATTCTCGGCCGGGCAACGAACACGGCACGGGGGATCCCAATTGGTAATTATCATAATCGTCCTACATATTTATGTATTTCGATGAACTCTAGTCACCGCGTTAATAAGCCAGCCCTTTAAATGTAAACAAAGCTAGTCCGATGTGCATGTGGTTTTTTTTTCACTAAAAATGATATTCCGTTTTACTTGGGGCTTGGAGTTTCTTACTTGCGACTTTAATACGTGTAATTAAAGATTGAATTTGTTGGTAAATAATTGCGCTAATCAACATTCGTAATATACATTCCCATCCAATACTTCAGCAGATATATATTCTATTCAGCTTGGATTGATATCTATAGGCTTGCAACGAATATTCGATATTCTGTATATCCATCTGCTTTTATTATACAGTCAGAATACGGAATATCTACATATTATTACGCCGAAAGCCGAATGCTTGTGTAATGTGGTAAAATTGAAAAAAATATATAATGAATATTTTTATTTCTCTTATAATCATAAGTACACAATAATCATATTCAATATTATAATGTAGCCTGGGAAGTTTATGGTGAAAAAAGTAAAAAAAATCTACATTCTTAGGAAATAAACTTGGCAAAAACACGCAATGCGTTGGCTATAGACCGTGCGGGGGAGGGGGATGACTTCATTAGGACAAACTGTTGTAACTAGCTAATCAGATATGTATTTTATATTCTAAATTTGTATTTGATTTTATAGTTCTTTTATATTACATTCTTGTTTTTGATACTTCAATTCCTCTTTTCTATTCCTAATTGTCAGTAGTCTATATTAATATATTTTCTCCGTTTACCTAGTCTTTTTTCTTATTACTACAACCCGTTATCAACACAAACTAGCGCGAAATAATCAATTACTAAACTCGCGAGATCGGATACTTAAATGTAGCCGGCAAAGAACGACACTGGGGTAGTTGACTCTCAGCAGTTTGCCCGGCTAAGAAGGATAAGCTCAAGGCTCGAAACTCATCGGCCCGTAAGGGTCTGCGAACGACCAGAAAGCATATAGAATTAATCGAGTCGATGCAAGTTTTGGCGCCACACTTCGGCTAAATACTTTTGCCTAATATTCGGTTATTCGGTCAGGGAACTAGTCGAATCATCGGTTCCGGGTATGAACGAATATAATATTCGTTGCAAGCCTAATTTATAGTCGATTCTCACTTTAGAATATACAACAGTCTAAGCAGAATTGAATGTATATAATATTAATTCATGTAGATTATCAACGAGATTAACTCGCTACAGCATTAGTATTTTTTCGAATTACAATGCTATTTGTGTCTAGTGAATTGATTTCGTTGCAGTCCTTTGTCAAGAAGGAACTGAGTCGTTCTCACACGATATTTTCTTCACATGTTTCATTCAAACTTAGAGCTAATTGTACATTACATTGATGGCAATATGTATAATTCGTATGTTCACGAACACTAAGATATTATGTCCTAACCCTGACATGGTGAATAGTAATCCAATACAGTCAGCTGCATAAATTGTGGCGTAGTTGATATGTTTGAAATTGTATAGTGAAGAGACAAATTATTCAAATTGTCAGCGACATGTAAATTATGTACATTTCATTAGTATTTGATGTCATGAATTTTGGCGCCATACGAGAATCTTTTTACATTTAGTATAACGCCATGGAACAAGAACAAAAACTAGTTGTATCATTCATTGATGTAAAGTATGTTGAGAATAAATAGTCTGATTAAAACATTGTTTTGAATAAATTGTTTATTGGTGTGTACTAAATCAGCGCAGAAGTAAAATAAAGGTATTATAATTGCTTTTCTCTTTCTAAATAATACAGCATTAGGATTTATACTTTTTTGTTACAAAATGTACAAATTCGTTTATCAATTTACATTATTTTGTCACTTTTTTTCAAACGATGAAACTAACAGGAAATAAAAGACAACAGATCAATGTCTGTGTGTCCATACTTATATGTTGTTCTATGTTTAAATAATGTTGAATGTAAAACCTATTTATTTTACTTACTGCGTTGCCATCGCTTGTTTCCAAAGACAGAAGTCAGACATTTTCATTTCTAAATATTACTGCTTACTGCCATATAGACATCATGCTGATTTAGTTACTCGAAAATGTATTTAGAAATGGAATAGTTCGTATTTTGTCCAAGCCCTCTGGTTTTTTGCATCCATTACACGATACCCTCTATATTTGCGAATGATCTATATTTACCACTAAGATTCGCTAATACTTCATCGTTAACAGTATAACATATATATAAATAAATTATTATATATCTCTTTAATTAAAATTTTTACGCTACCCGCTCGGTTTATTGCTAGGTGTATTAGAGGAAGCTGTGGGGACTAGAAACGTCACGTTAGCTGGAACCTTAAATAAATGTTTATTTTTGAAAACACTTAAAATAACAATATGTATATATGTATATAGCTATACTACGCTTACGAATACTCTGATGAGATCTCTTCTTGTGAAAAGCTTTCCGAATGAGCGGTAGATAAAGAAGAACGTGAAAGAAACTTGGGTGTTGCAATTTTAATTAATTTTGTTGTAGCATACATTATAAACATTGTAACTTCTAAACCAAAATCTAAAATTTCTAATAATCATTGTTTGAGTTCTCTTAAATGTCTTGCCATTACATTCTTTTATATTACATTTTTAGTACAAGTATTTCACTTGCTATTTTCATCCAAAACTTTTCCTGTCAATTACAAGAAGAAGAAATAATTAACTACATAATTGTAGAAGTGATCGGTTATATATAGTCTCATGCGTCCGTAGGCTACGGTAACCATTTACCATCGGCCTGGACGCTTTATTTGCCACCATCATAGTATAAAAAATAAATATATATTTACATTCTCAAATATAATAAAAATAAATTTACCAATAGTAATAATAAAGTTCCAATTTTCATTTACAAATTGTCTCATCTAGCTGTTTTGTTTTACGGTTTAAAACAAACATAAGTAACCGTAAAACAAACCTAACCGTTTGTTTTACGGTTACTTTATATAAACCTATCGTGTAATGGTTGCGTATGAACTATAAGGTTGGCACGTAGACGGAAGCTCGGAGTTGTTTGACTTTGTCCAACAGGTACACAGACGAGTTCAGTGTTCGCGAGGACCTGATGGGGCTGGCCATCGGCACGCACGGCGCCAACATACAGCAGGCGCGCAAGGTCTCCGGCGTCACCAACATCGAGCTGGAGGAGGTCTCCTGCACCTTTAAGATCTGCGGCGAGGTCCATACACTCATTTGTAGCACCTAGTACCTACTGAGCTTATTGGTATGCCGATATCAACATCACGACAAAAGGTAGAGCCTAGTGGTGTAGCATATCTATATATATTATAGGAGACTGACGGACAGGACAATTTAACTGCTGGGATCTAGAAATCTTAAATTTGGGGTCCAATTTCTGAAATTTCATGGGATTGGGAGTTAAGGATCGTTCGGGGATGAAACAACGGGTTAGGGCTGATATTTGCAATTAAAACTCTAGACTACAACTCTTAGCAAGGCAGGTAGTTATGGGATGTAGAATATATAATAAATACATAATCCACAAAGAAATTAAGGTTTTAAAAATCCTTACAAATGGAAGGCTTTTTGTGTGTTATCATACCAGGAAATTAGTAAGGGAATAAATTAAAATGTGATGTTAAAAATGATATTTGGATAAAGAAATGCTAAAGCTTGTAATGAAAATGAAATATTGTACTTTGGTTTCAAAAGAGTAACACAGATTGTTCAGTCTCTCTAACAATAAGATGAAAGTGGTTTATGAATTCTTTGAATGTAAGAAACGAATTACCTTTTTAATCTTTTGTAAGAGTTTCTTTACCGATTGGTTAAACCTTTAAAATGATAATAGACATACATACTTCAGATGTGATACTTACTGCATTTGTTTGATAAAATTATATTTGCCCACTTTTCATGCTCAATGCAACATCAGTGTTTTACTCTTCTGTAGTCAAAGTAATCAGTAGTGTTACTAGATTGCAGTTTGATTTATTTTTTATTATATTTATAATGTAATTAGATCTGGCTGCCTTATATATGTCATGTTTGAGAGCTAAGCGAAGGACAAAATATGAAATTGCAGAGGAAAAGTTATGGTAGGAAGGCATGACATTTTAGTTCACGAACGTCGCAACGCATGAAGGCTAACACGAGTGTAACTAAGTAATATTTACAGTAGAAATAGAAATAATATATATTTTTCTGATTTTACCTCTCATTCAGACGTAGTTTTTATTGCAAGAAGAATGAAGAAAATACTTGCTTGCTACTCATTTAAATAAATGTTTTTAAGAATTAAAATATTAAGTTTGAAGTTGAGTGAATACAAATTGCCAAATAGTAAAGTTGACATAAATTAATGAATAGTTACTTGCGTAACAAAATGAATCAGTCATGGTTATCTGAGCAGACAAGGTTCTCGCAAGTAGCACCCGTTCACGTATAACGGGTGATCTAGTGTTGTTCGTTTATATATCGATGGACACCACTCGGCATGAAACGAGCTGTCGGTTCGTACGCTGACCATATAATAAGTAGAGGAGTGGAGTTGTCGTGTATTGTTGATATAACGAGTGCGGTCCGCAGAGCGTGGAGGCGGTGCGGGCGGCGCGGTCGCTGCTGGAGTACGCGGAGGAGTCCATCAAGGTGCCGCGCGCGCTCGTCGGGAAGGTCATCGGCAAGAACGGGAAGGTCATACAGGAGATCGTCGACAAGAGCGGCGTCGTGCGGGTAACAAACACGCTACTCATACATCTCACTCGGAGATTCTCTTGTCATTATTAAAAAAATACATGCTGTATTACGGCTCAATAGACTAGTGAACTAGTCTAGTGATAATAATACTAATGCCTAAATACGTTCATTTATTTAAACTATTGAATTTTTGTACTATATGTGGGCTTGATAGTATTAGGATACTACACTAGCTAAATTTTGGGATACAGAGATACTCAAATATGCATTGATTGCATAAATAATGTAGATATAAATAATGAAATTTTTTAACATCAACTGATATATCATCACAATCATCGCAAACTAACTTATGTTCCACTGCTGTTCATTGTAATGATTTAATTCGAATCCATTCCCTTGCGGTTATATATCACATGTAATTTCACTGGCCCATTTCTATAATCTATTGAAAATTAAGATTATATACAATGATACTTAATTGTACTGTAACTGTGTAAAGACCTATGTTATATAGTAAAAAAAAAAACCTCATCACTTCGGGTCGACAATGTGTGGAGGAATTGATTAAAATGAAGAATTTGAACTACTATTGAAAATTAAAAGGAAATGTATAAAGTGACTATTCACAAATGTGACCAGCGGTGAAAAGAACGGAATGGAGGGTTAAAAAATGGAATTTATAAGTGGTAATTTAAGAAGGGGGAAATGGTTAAGAATTATAAGGGCATGTTTTTATAGAAGGTGAGAGTATGTAAAATGAGTAGTAATGTAGTTAAGTGTTGGTTTATTGTCGCGTTCAGGTGAAGGTAGAGGGCGACAACGAGCCACAGCCGTCTGCGCCGCGCGAGGAGGGCATGGTCCCGTTCGTGTTCGTGGGCACCAGGGAGAACATCGCCAACGCACAGGTGCTCGTCGAGTACCACGTCGCTCACCTCAAGGTAACCAGACACGCGTACATAATTTATAACATTATTAATACATACAAAATATGGGACCTAAATTACAGCCCTGTGGAACACCTTATCTGATGACAGGTAAATTTGAATGAAAATGATGATTACCGTGCCATTTTATCAATTTTTTATTTTAATATATCATTTTCAAATCCGACAAAGGTAATTACGTGTTTCATAATACGTATTTTACAAATAAATTAGACATGGTCAACTCTGTCAAAAGCTGAACTTAAGTCAATTATTTTTTTTCACTTTTTGAAGTAGTTACGCTGTTTATTTTGAATGTTACTTACGTTTTCCTGAGTACCTTCTGTTATATTTATAACGGTACGATTATTTTCTTGGCATTTTTTAATTTCATAGTATAGTTAGTTTGCTCGGTCGACCGAAGCGTAGCGGGGTAGATCAGTTACACTCGTCGACTACAAGCTGTATACGTGGTTATGGATTGCAGGAAGTGGAACAGCTGCGCGCGGAGAAGCAAGAGATCGACCAGCAGCTGCGCGTGGTGATGGGCGGCGCCATGACGGCCTACCCCCCGCCGCGGGGGGCCCCCGCGCAGCGCGCGCGCCGCCTGCGACCGCCGCCCGCGCGGTACGCGCCCGGTACGTGCACACACACACACACACACGCACACACACGCACACACACACACACACACACACACACAGCGCCCGCGCAGCGCGCGCGCCGCCTGCGACCGCCGCCCGCGCGGTACGCGCCCGGTACGTGCACACACACACACACACACGCACACACACGCACACACACACACACACACACACACACAGCGCCCGCGCAGCGCGCGCGCCGCCTGCGACCGCCGCCCGCGCGGTACGCGCACACGCACACACACACACACACACACACACACACACACACACACACACACACACACACACACACACACACACACAGCGCCCGCGCAGCGCGCGCGCCGCCTGCGACCGCCGCCCGCGCGGTACGCGCCCGGTACGTGCACACACACACACACACACACACACACACACACACACGCATACACACACACACACACACACACACACACACACACACACACACACACACACACACACACACACACACACACACACACACACACACACACACAGCCACACACGCCCCGCCGCGCCGATGTCCGCGCCCAGCACGAGGCGCAGCACCTCCACACACACACACACACACACACACACACACACACACACACACACACACACGCCCGCGCAGCGCGCGCGCCCCTGCGACCGCCGCCCGCGCGGTACGCGCCCGGTACGTGCACACACACACACACACACACACACACACACACACACACACACACACACACACACACAGCGCCCGCGCAGCGCGCGCGCCGCCTGCGACCGCCGCCCGCGCGGTACGCGCCCGGTACGTGCACACACACACACACACACACACACACACACACAGCGCCCGCGCAGCGCGCGCGCCGCCTGCGACCGCCGCCCGCGCGGTACGCGCCCGGTACGTGCACACACACACACACACACACACACACACACACACGCACACACACGCACACACACACACACACACACACACACAGCGCCCGCGCAGCGCGCGCGCCGCCTGCGACCGCCGCCCGCGCGGTACGCGCCCGGTACGTGCACACACACACACACACACGCACACACACGCACACACACACACACACACACACACACACACACACACAGCGCCCGCGCAACGCGCGCGCCGCCTGCGACGGCACACACACACACACACATAAATTATATTAATAACGATGTCTTGCACTGGCAGGCGGGCGGCGTATGACGCCTGAACTCGGCGACGAGCGCGGAGGAGAGCGAGACACCGGCTACCGACCCCGCACCACGCGCCCCCCGCCCCGCACCAACAGGTAACGAAACCACCAACACTGAACTCATTCGTCGCTCTCTGTATAGTAGCAGGCGTAGTGACCGCTGGACTCGGTCGGTTGCAGATCCAGTGAGCGAGGCGAGCGCGGAGAGAGGCCGGAGAGAGGAGAGCAGCGCGGCGAGCGGACGGACACGCGGCGGCCCGCGGCCGGCGGCGACGAGCGACGCCCGCCGCTGGAGAACGGACGGCCGCACCCCGCGCGGCCCGCGCGCCTCCCCGACACGCGGCCCGCCGCGCGGCCCGGCGACACGCGCGCCCCGGTGAGTAGTGTGGCGAGTGTGACGAGTGTGACACGGCCGGCCGCACCCCGCGCGGCCCGCGCGCCTCCCCGACACGCGGCCCGCCGCGCGGCCCGGCGACACGCGCGCCCCGGTGAGTAGTGTGGCGAGTGTGACGAGTGTGACACGGCCGGCCGCACCCCGCGCGGCCCGCGCGCCTCCCCGACACGCGGCCCGCCGCGCGGCCCGGCGACACGCGCGCCCCGGTGAGTAGTGTGGCGAGTGTGACGAGTGTGACACGGCCGGCCGCACCCCGCGCGGCCCGCGCGCCTCCCCGACACGCGGCCCGCCGCGCGGCCCGGCGACACGCGCGCCCCGGTGAGTAGTGTGGCGAGTGTGACGAGTGTGACACGGCCGGCCGCACCCCGCGCGGCCCGCGCGCCTCCCCGACACGCGGCCCGCCGCGCGGCCCGGCGACACGCGCGCCCCGGTGAGTAGTGTGGCGAGTGTGACGAGTGTGACACGGCCGGCCGCACCCCGCGCGGCCCGCGCGCCTCCCCGACACGCGGCCCGCCGCGCGGCCCGGCGACACGCGCGCCCCGGTGAGTAGTGTGGCGAGTGTGACGAGTGTGACACGGCCGGCCGCACCCCGCGCGGCCCGCGCGCCTCCCCGACACGCGGCCCGCCGCGCGGCCCGGCGACACGCGCGCCCCGGTGAGTAGTGTGGCGAGTGTGACGAGTGTGACACGGCCGGCCGCACCCCGCGCGGCCCGCGCGCCTCCCCGACACGCGGCCCGCCGCGCGGCCCGGCGACACGCGCGCCCCGGTGAGTAGTGTGGCGAGTGTGACGAGTGTGTGACACGGCCGGCCGCACCCCGCGCGGCCCGCGCGCCTCCCCGACACGCGGCCCGCCGCGCGGCCCGGCGACACGCGCGCCCCGGTGAGTAGTGTGGCGAGTGTGACGACTGTGACACGGCCGGCCGGACCTCGGTGAGTAGTGTGACGGCTGTAGTCCGCGGGGGCGAGCTACGTGAGTAGTGTGACGAGCGTAAAGAGTGTGGCTAGCAGGAACGAGCTCCGTGAGTAGTGTGGCCCGCAGGGGCGAGGTTTGTGAGTAGTGTGACAATGGGCGTACAGCTGGGACGATCTTCGTGAGTAGTGTGATGACGAGCGGTCTGCACACACATGTTCATAACACGAGAGCAGCACGCCCCGCTACGCCAAACGACTAAAGATTCATCGATGTCTATAGTTATGTTTCTGATACGCATCATAATACCTACACTTCATTACAACCCTAACTGCCGCCCGCACAGCCGTGGCCGGTCCACATGAGTATTTTTGCGGGCAGCCTGACACCCAGTCTAAGCCTACATTATTAACACGCCCCCGGGAGAGACACGACACCCAGCCTTCTTAAATAAATTAACAAAATGAGTACAAAAGTCTACAATTTGAGTGTGATGACTGTTGCAGAGTGGCAGACGACGCGAGGATCGACGGAGGCAAACTGACGACGAGAGCTCCGTGATAGACAGCCAAGATGTTTCCAGCGCCGACAGAGGTCTGTACACGCGTCCACCATAACTGACCGACAGACCGACGACAATATATGTTAATAAATATTAGATATCTCAGTTAGATTATTTATTACATTTAAAATTTTAAGATTTTACCCAATATTGCATGATTTGAGTATTTTGCTGAACTTTAAAAAATCTGAAAATATTACTGAATGTGCTAGTTAAAATGTAGTGAGTAGATGCTGCACAGGTTGACTTTTGAATCGTGATCAGTACGAAGTCATGTTCCATACAATAATATTGATAAACTATATTATATTAATGAAAATGAATAATAATTCAATAATGACACAATTAAACCAATTCAGCGTTCATAGCATAATAATAATCTCTCTGAACAATTTACACAAAGACATTTAGTGCCAAGTTAGGGAGAGCTTGTGTTATGAGTACTAGACAAATATACAAAAAAAATACCCAAACCTATACGATCATACTCAGGAATACAGATATTCGTACTGTGCTAAGAACGAGACCTTCGGAAGTGAAGTGTACATGGCTAGATCACCGAGATGCATAATACAATGATGGTTTATAAAAAAATACTTCTAAAGTCATTAATAATCTGAAATGGTCTACTAGAGGATAGCATTCATGAGACTTGGACTCAAAGACCGTAAGGGGCCGAAACACCGTATTACGGACCTACTTCTAAATGCAGTCCACAACGTAACTGAATGCAAGTAGAATTTTTAAGTTAAAAAATTATTAACTTATATTGAAAGTAAACCAGTTCAGTTCACAAATCATCTGTCTAGACATGGAGATAGTTTTTATAAATTAATATAACATTATATTAATTTTTGTAACACTTCATTTCATTATAATAAAACAGCGTATATTTTCGACTGGATCACGCACAAAAGTCAGCCTCCCGTTCAGTTTATATTATATCTATTGCATTATTTATATGTTCATGTTTGTGCACCCTGTTTTTATTACATTTTAATTAGTACATATTGATGGCGTATGCAGTAGACAGATGTACAGAATGGGATGTTTTCCTTTTATTTACGTATAAGTATATATACTCGGGACGAATGGTCGTTTGCTATCTCGATGGCGGGGCTCTTCTAACGGTAATAATTTCTTCCTGATCGTATAATGCGTGGTTTGGTGAAGGTTCTAATCAAATAGTTAATATATATTGATATTAGTTAAGTCGTGCCAACGTTTATAGTAATTAACACTAGATTAGTTACGTGTAATTGGTAAATTAATATAGATACTACCATTTCGTTGTCGTAAATGTGTTTGAAGTTTTAATTTAATATTTATTTACTTATATAATTTTTAAATTTCGTATAGTGTATAGGTGATAAGTTTTTTTTTTGTAATTAATGTATTTATTAATAAATTAATAGCTTTGTTACTCGTAAATTTTTATAATAATATAGGCTCGTAACTGTTACTAGTCGTATTCCGCGATTTAATTTATATATTTAATTAAAAAGTATCGTATGTAACAAATGTACACCGATGCTTATAAATATTTATGATTTCTAAAGTTAGTAGGATTAAATAATTCCTTCGGGTTTCGATATTTCGGTTTAGTTAATCGATGGATATGCAGTTTAAATTGTAGAATTACTTACATTTCAAATATAGGGGTTGAAAAGTTAAGTAAAATTAATTTAAAAGTTCTTATATTGATTATTCTAATAAATATGGAGCATTCATATTTGTGTGACGTGAGAATAGCATATCGGGTAGCAAACGGGCCGTGTAGTGTGCGAGGCGGGGCGGGTCGGCGTAGAGTAGAGTAGCGGTAGAGGTCGGCATGAGATGTGTTGGTGTCCAGACTCGGCCACGTCGGAGGAGGGACGCGCACTACACCACGCCGCCAGGCGACGACGGCGACGCCGGCAAGGTACACCTACACCTACACACACACACCGCCACACTACTCACTCACCACACGCATACCGGACGAGCACCGCACTCACACTACGCTCACACCGCACTCACACTACGCTCATACCGCACTCAACTGCACTCACACCACTCTCAACCACGTTCAAACTGTACTTACACCCTACTCACAATGCCGTCATACTATACTTACATCGCGCGAGTACTACACTAATACCACACTTACTATCGTTCACGCTATACTCACACCGCGCCCACACCGTGCATTTCTAGTTTTCTTGTAGTTACAATGAGGTGCATCATTGTAACTACAAGAAAACTAGAAATGCACCATGCCCCCTACACTTAAACCTCTATACTACCCTGATTCATTTGTAGTGATTCACCACCGTGCTCTGACTGACTCGACTTAGACTTGACCTCTAGGATTTTATCCTACTCCACTTTTAACGCACGACGAATGTCTATTCCGTTATACATTAAAACAGATTGGAAGTGCTACAAATAATTTTCAAATCGTAACTAAAAACAACAGTGAGTCTCTTCTCCCAACATAAAACTGCTGACACTACATGTATAAGTACTACACCTAAGAGTGTCATGGCTTTCGAAGTACACCTAAACATGTATATATGCTGAGGTGTACTTATATACATGATTATATGTACTTGAGTCCACATAACCATATACTTAACTACTTGACAACACGCACTATCTACATTGCAGATCTGATTACCAACCAATAAATACACAAATCAGACCTCAGTAAGTTACCATTTGCTTTATATCATAGTAGTGTGTCGCATGTGTTATGCATATTATATTTATATACAGAATACTAAGATAAGGATGGCAAACAAGCATATTACCCTTCTGATGGTAAATGCAACCATTTACTAGAAAATTTAATTTCTGATTGTAGCCTATAAACGCCTTAAACAACATAAATGTCACGTGCACGTTGCTGATTCTTGAGAAATCTTAATTAATTAAAAGTATCTATTAGTGGCTCAAAAAGTGTTGTGTGACATAAGTTTTTTTTTTTCATTTTCAAAACATAAATTAATGATACTCCTCGCAAACCACCGATCAAATTATTCCATATATTTCAGTCATAACTCTAGCCTGATTACCATTACCAGCATTTGTCAAAATATATAAAATTCAATCATTTTATATCATATTAACATAATTCAGTTTTTGTTAAGAAGTCTATCATGTAATTCAGTGTTCTGCAAAGTGGCTCACAGTCAAAAATAGAGCCTTATTAACGATTAATAAATTAGGAAGGCCCGTATTTGTCAGTAAATAATTGAATTTCTTTGTACCACTAGTAACTTTTTGAATTGACAAAGAGTGTTTGCTGATCACTGGTATAATTGACCGAAAATATATTAATGTAAGAATAAAAGTCTTGATTTTTTGTTTTTCTTTATTAAAATAATCATAGTATGTTGCATGGCACTAAACTTAAATGTAAGAACATTGCACCGGTCTGCTTCTAGTGAGTGGAGGATGCATGCCAGTGTAACCGACATGATGTAACATTTTCAGATTTACTGCTAGATTTATTCACGTACTTTGAGCTAATGACACATCACTGAAATTGGTCACACTTGGTCAACCCATCGTTTGACGTTTCAGTCGACTCCGATTGGTGCATTGGTTGTTAAGCCCCGCCTCTTTGTAACAACGAAGCAACGAAAGCGCCAATCAGAACGGAGTTTTATTAGGGCAACTTGACGCGTGACCAATTGTCTGTGATCATAGATAATCAGGGATTCTCAAGGGTTCAGGCTGATTCATACTTTGTATGAATTCACACATGATGTTTAACAAGCTTACCTATTCTTTAATAAGGTATCTTATTTAGTTGATATCTCGAACTGACAGTAGATTTGATATATCATAAGAATTGAATGGAGATTTCTTGGGAAGGCCTTTGTTTACCAGTGAACGTCTTCCGGCTGAAATGATGAAGAATCTAGTAGACATGCAAATATTTTTATTTTGGTAGTCAGTTCTTTTTAAGGGCTACTTACCGTCTAGAAATATATTAATGTTGCTATGTTAAGTTTGAGAAAGCCACTGTAAATAATATCATAGCACAGCAGCTTGATTACACTGTCATGTGCTTATATCGACCTATATGCTGTCTGTAATTCTATTTAATGGACTTAGAACAATAGTGTTAGGTTTCCGCGTGTGTACTATCCCTTTTAGATTATAATTTAATAAATTTATTCTTTCAATTGTAAATTTAATTTATAACGTAATCAAAGCAAACCTAGGAATGTTGATCTCCATTTGTCGAATAGCAATATTTTTGTTTTTTCAAATATTAAATTCGTAATTTTTTAATATTGATTTTATGAAAGTACAAGTGTAATTTAATTGGTTTGGTCTGTTATTGAATCTCATTATAAATTTATTAAAGTAGTTGGGGATTTGGTTAAGTAAAATAAATATATATTATGTTATACAAACATAATTTTCTGTCGATAAGGAATAGAAGGAACCTGTTTCATTTATGATATATATAATGGGACAGTAATTTCGATGTTTTATTGTTTTTTATGGAGTGTCAAACGATCGATTCCTTTTATGATATATTGATGAATTGATTTTTATTATTTTGATTATCTATATAAATTAATAAGTTTTTTTTAGATGTAGTATCGGTTGTTAAAAGTTTCGTGTTTAATATTCATTATTTCTATTGTTATTCGGGTCTTTATGCGAATAAAATGTATTCACGGCTTGTGACCGCAGCTAGTGCAATCTAGTCGAAGTGCGATTTTGTTATACATAAATTTAGGTTAGTTCATGGGAGGCAGCCTTAATATCCTGTGAGTAGATATTGTAGTGGTGTGTCGGGAATATACCGTGCTAAATTTTGTAGGAGGCGGGTGGAAGAACGGCGTCAGCGGCGGCGGCGGCGCCCCCTCCGTCGCCGGGCCCGCCCCGGCCGCGGGCGGCGCGGGGGGCGCGGGGGCGGCGGGGGCGGGGGCGGGCGCGGCGGGGGGCGCGGGGGAGGGCGCGGCCGCCGCGGACAAGCGCGCGGCGGCCAAGCGACGCTCGCCGCTCGCCAAGGCCAAGCCCGAGCCGCTCGTGAACGGCACCGCGTAGGTGCCCGCGGCCCGCCCCGCCGCCCGCGGCCCGGCCCGGCCCGGCCCGGCCTGGCCCGGCCCGGCCCCGGCCCCGGCCCCCGGCCCGGCCCGGCCCCCCCCCGGCCCGCGCGCGCCCTGACTTGACGCCGACACGAGGATGACTCCGACGTCGCGCCGCCCGCCGGCACGCCGGCGCTAGACTTACTCGTATTATGCTTTTATAAGAGATTCGTGATTTGTATTCCTGATTATTCGATAAATATGAAAATTAAACATGTGTACGTCGCTCCCCGGACGATACGCGCCGATCGCGGCCTTTCGGTACCTTTATGGGAGATCGGACATAGCGCAGTACATACGTGTGTCGTAGCCTGTACTCTGTGGTTATGTGATTTCCTATAAAATAAACATTTCTGTACATATTTTCAATCGTATTTTTATTTACGAACACCTCGACGATCCGTGCGTCTCGACGATGAAATTTATACATTACAAAAATATTACGACTAGTGTCTATGCTTACGGTGGATCCCGAACTACACTAGTAATACTATAGATCGGAAGATTCCCTGGGACCTCGGGAGGGGAGGAAGGCGGGACGCTTAGATTGGTGACGCTAAAAATTTATTAAATCCTACGAGTGATTCTTGACACGTCTAAATTTACTATTTACAACTTATGCACTATAATATCAGTCATTATTGATAACTTAGAAATACTGTGATATGCATTATTGCCGGGAATATCACTAGAGAACGGGAAAGTAGATTATATACAGATATTTTTAATCTATAATGAATTGTAAGTCTGCATTTATCTTGTATAAGTTGATATGTTGTCTTCAAGAAAGTAATAAAGTTACAATAATACATCTAGACCGTAAAAATGTAGCTTGTATTAGATTTATTACAATCTAAATTATCACAATACCAATCTCCGAAATATTATTTTCGTCATCACACAATGATCACAAGTTTCTAGAATTCCGTTTGATCAGCTAAAGAATAATTAGATCTACTCTGGAGAATAATTAGGTCAAAATACCAATATACTTATTCTCTTGAATTATATATAAATAACTTATAATTTCCAAATTTTATAGTCACAAAGAACTGACGTTACATATTTCATATTTTATTACAATTCAAAATATGAAATTGGACTAGATTTAAGTGGATATTGGCATTAGAGGCCAGAGTAGATCTGCTGGTCTCCTACTAACAATTTCAAAATTTTGGCATATCTCAATGAGTTATCAAACCGATTTTCAGCTTTAGGATACAATTAATACTAGAAGAAAATTATAGATGGAATATAAATACAAAATAGGTTTAAACATTTTTAGCATTTCCAATTCGCAAGAATTTAAAATTAACATGTTAGTTTAACGGAAAGTTATATGAAATCAATCCTAAAGCTGTCTAGGTGTGACATTTGCTGATCAAGTCTTTAAAGAGCATTTATCAAATTGTAACATTGTCAAACCGAGTCAAAAGTTGTTTTACAATATAAAATATAATTCAGAAACCAAGGCCCAGAATACGCGAGAGAAAATAGGAACGCAGAAGATGAGAACAGTAGTAAGTATATACAACAAACTGTAAATAATAGCTCCTAAAAGTGTCTGCTAGCCTGGTGTCGTGACTTAATAATTAGTTGGCCATTACAGTAAACAACCAGTAATCAACGCCTTCAAGCTTCTGCTAGCCTGGTACCTTCACAGAAACGTGACCTCCAGTGCCACGATCAATTTTATAATCTAGTAGTACCACTGGTTTTATGATCGGCTAGTACACCGGGATAGTTTATTTACTAGGAGAATATGAATTAACAATACCAAATGATTCTCTTATATAAATAAGAGAAAGAGAGAACGCTATGTCAATAGAATTTCCAGGAAGATATCCTCGCCATTATCAACAATTCAGTCAAAGGAAACTCTAATTACAGTGAGGAAAAGATTTCTTTTCCTGTAATTACCGACCGAAATAAGAGAAATATAATACATGTTGTATATATAATATCGTAAAAGAAAATATTTCCCTTTTGCAAAGATATGTTACCCGTTGGGTTAGGTTGAAGGGCCTCTGACTATTGATCTGGTTTTCTGGGCCTTGGTTCATATAGATAATATTGAGTTTTAATTGTTACCACGGAAACAAGTACGACCAAATCCATGCCATTAGTTCTAAATGAAGCAGAGGCATATTCAGAAATTGACAATATTTTTTACTATTCTACATACAAATTGTGAGGTCAGTGGACAATACAGCGCTATCTAGTCCCTAGCTAAGCAGAGCTTGTGGTATGGGTGCTAGAGAACTGTAGATATAGGTACTTTTTTTGCCAATACATATATAATATACACATAAATCACCCGGAGGAAATCGGAGATGCTCTGTTTGAGCACTTGATACTCTTATGACATCTTAAGAGTAAGGTCGTGTTATTTCCGTGATATATAACGGTTGATTTACATGTTTAGCACTTGTAGCCAACTTCGAGCCACAAAGGATCACGCAAAACCACGCGGTCCTACCAACTATGATTAATCTCATAAAATTCGTCATAATGGCTTAACTGACCTGATTGATCTCCCGCCGTATGCCACTACCAAGGCGAAAGAAACTATTATTTTTAATTTGCATATTCATTCCACGATCTATAAGAAATTCCAGGTAACTCATGAACGCATACGTAAAATATTAATAAATAAATAGGCCAGTATTAGTTCGACAGATCTTGGCTAACCATGTAAATCCCAATTCAAGAGTTCAAACAAAAGTGCCCAATTTGGAGGGCCTATCCCCGGCAATAATGAGATGATGGCATTATAGCAGTCGATGCCGGTCCTCATGGCACGCCTCCAGCTCGCTGTCTTCCGAATCAGAGTGGGAGCAGTACGATGAGTCGCTCCAGTGCTGGAACTCCTCTTTGTGGTGCTCCAACGCCATCAATGAGGGGAAGAGACTGTCGCACGCGCCACATCTGTGGTAGAACAAAGTTTTTATATAAATAATAATAATATCTCTTGATAATTCACACAGTGTCATGTAGTCCAAAGTTAAGGAGAGCTCGGGTTTTGTGTACTGATAGAACTGAATCATGTGTTCATAAGTTTGTGTGTTTTGTATCTAATACAATATATCGGGAGAAATGAGATTGTTAGTAATGTAGATTAATAACCCCATTGCTACCAACGTAGGTTAATGTCATGTCAGGTTAATCTCCACGCGATTCCTGCTGGAAACCATCAGGTTGAATTCCTGGTGAATTTCCCACGATGGACTAACTGACCTGATCTCATACTCATTTTATCATCCTCCACTAGGGCTTCGCCAGTGTATACTGTATATTATCTTAAAAAACAACATTATACAAAAGGTCTCAGGAAATAGTGGTTTCGGAGTTTATTTTCTCCTATAATATTTTTCACCCTCTATAATATTAGCATAGATTATAATAAAACTAAATCTAACTAGTTAAGTACGACTACGACTCATGGTCTTAATATTATTGCTCATGTTATTGAGTTAAGATTATTACTATTTCTACTTTTAATGGATTTATATTATTCTGTTTAATTTCCTTCTACCATTAGCATGTACGAAATCACAAATATTCAGTGAGACACAGCTACTGGAAGGGTTACCACCTTTGTTAGTACTGGCACGGTACACTCGATGGAAAGTTATGTGTCAACGATATTGCTTTGTTTGCTGTCTTTTATTATTCCTCTTAGATTGCTTTTGTAGACATATATCAAATAAAATTATATTCAACTTAGATGCTGTTTTACCCAAAAACCCTCACAACCTTTCTTTTTAGCGATCAAATTTCGACCGTTATTTAGACTACACCCATATTGCGACATGAGTTTCGACTATGAACGAGGCTGGTATTGAATAGAGTTTTGATATAGCGTGGACGCTTAGTGTTGACTGTTCGGCGACCAAACTGCGACTGACCAAATGGCTTCCACAAAACACCTAATTCGATAAAATATATTTCTGTTTTGTTAATTGTCTTACCCGAAGTGTCGCTTCTTCTGTTGGTGGTCGGCCAGCTGCCGGCGCGTGGGGAACGATCGGTCACACACGTTGCATGTTAGCGCCTCGTCTGCAATGTTAACATTGACAATAATTAATTATAATGTACGCCGGTTTCTCTCCCTGGGGCCCTGAACCCCGGCCGACTGAGCTTCTGCCGGGGGTGTGCTGCCATCTCCTCTCCTTAAGAGGGGAGATGAGAATATTTGGAAAAAAAAAAAAATCTTTATTGCGTACAGAAAAAAATTACAAAATAGAACTTTGCATAAATGTGCTGAATAAAAAGCTTAGTCTTATCGCTTAAAGCAATTTCTCACAGACAATTATTAATTAATCTTTGATTTTAACGAAGAGTAGGTAATCAGCTACTTTATTTCTATAATTTTTTCACCTTCATTCATATTTCATAACCCATAAGTTCGAACTATTGTATTGCTGTTAGCCTTTACATCTCCACTGAACAATAGGGGGCGAGTGCAGATGGCACTCCAAATCAAAGGAAGGACATATGTAGCGGTACTACTTTCTCCGCGAGTCCGAGTCATGGCATCGCTAGGGGTTCGAAGCTCGGCTGAGGCCATCATAATTTTGATCCCCGTTAAAATTGGCTGGGGGACATTCAAACCCTAATTTGTGTTTCGCTGACTGCTCTGTCATAGAAGTTTTTTTTATATAACTAGGGTGGCAATCAAAAATATGGTCTTTTACAATTAATTATTCAAGGAAAAATCCAGGGCCGCCGAAGCCGAGGCAGGCGCCGCATTTCATGGCTAAAGAATTTAAGGCAGTAGTTTGGGATTAGCACCAGATCCTTGTTCAAATCTAAGATCAGAATTAAGATCGCCAACCTCTGGTAGGAGACGGCACATAAAAGAGAAAGAAGGCAATCGAGCATACGACCCATCTTATGGTAAACGGTTATCGTAGCTTATGGACGCTTGAAATACCAGGGGTGAAATTGATACATATGTCACGTGCGCAATATCGACTCTTTAAGAAACCCTAATATGTTCTTCTTTCCAGTCTTAATGTACGCGGGAGGCACTGTTCAAGCCCACTTAGGTTCCAGCATGATGCCGATGGAGAGCGGTGCTATGGTAAAAGGTATCCAAAATAATAATACTTGAAATAAAACAAACATTACATATTTATAATTTATTGAATTTAAATACAATATAAAAGGGCGTAAGGGGTAAATCTATACAATTTTAGAATAAGGTCGATTTAGTAGAAAATAATATTTGGCAGCTATTTTATACTAGCTATGATCGTGGTTTCACCTGAGTGATATTTATAGCCTATGTGTTATTCTGATGCATAAACTGTATTACTGTGAAGTTTCCATCTAATTTCGTTCAGTAGTTTTTGCGTGAAAGAGTAACAAACATCTATCCATACTAACAAACTTTCGCATTTATAATATTACTAACAGTCCCGGCAGACGTTGTTTTGGTTTAAATTAAAAAAAAATTAGGGGTGGACTACCCCTAACATTTAGGGGGATGTAAAATAGATGTTGGTCGATTCTCAGACCTACTCAATACGCTCCCAAAATTTCATTTGAATCGGTCAAGCCGTTTCGGAGGTGTATGGGAACGAAAACTGTGACACGAGAATTTTATATATAAGATTTAATATGATAATAATAAATGATTTGTACATATGTATTTACGTTAAGGCACTATAAGTTATATGGTGCTGGTTGGTAATTTTATTTATATTATAGATGGATAAACGTACATACACAAGCACGTATTGTGTTTCCTTTTTTTTATGATTTTGTTATCATATTTATGGTATTAATAATTGTATATATTATTTAGGTCTCTATATTATGCATCGCATTATTCTTAATATAAATAAAAATATTTTAAACTTAAGTGTTGTTTAAGTACCTTAAAAAAGTATATATATATATTTTTGGTCTTACGAGCCTTTTCTGATTGAAAAAAAATCATACTTTTAAAAAGTCATTACATTAAAAACAACACTTTAGTTCATAAAGATCCAAAGGAGTTGAGTAACACTACTTGTGTTAGACATAAATTAAAATAAAACATTAAATTACATAAAAAATATATTTTATTACAAATTATTGAGCTTTATTGATATAAATAGAGTTACAGAAAGAGTACACCAGGCTCAATAGCCAGGTAGAAGACTCACGAAACTGAATCATTTTCATCAAGAATTAAGGGACAATTTTTTCAACTAACCTATCTACTAACTCACACTGCCACCACTGTAGGAACAGTCCGACCAATCCGGGGCACTTGCGGCCGAACGCCCGCTTTCTATATTATATCAACTGTACCAATAGGACAAATAATAGGTTCCTTGCAGATAGTTAAGACATACATAATTTAGCCGACGTAAAGTTGACCGTTCAGTTTTGTATATTTTAAGATATAAAACAGCTTTCCATAAGGGCCCTTTAACTCACACCATACAAATCCTAAAATATTCATGCCCATAAAATTATTTCAAATTTGTCTCCTCTTGGATACAGTGATTCAGTTGTATTACTGGCTTTTAGTTCGACATAGCCTTTGCAATTGTGTATTTTATGACATAAAACAGCTTTGCATAAGGGCCCTTCAACTCACACCATACAGACCCTACAATCTTCATGCCCATAAAATTATTTCAAATTTGTCTCGTCTTAGATACAGTGATTCAGTTGTATTACTGGCTTTTAGTTCGACATAGCCTTTGCAATTGTGTATTTTATGACATAAAACAGCTTTGCATAAGGGCCCTTTAACTCACACCATACAAATCCTAAAATATTCATGTCCATAAAATTATTTCAATTTGTCTCGTCTTGGATACAGTGATTCAGTTGTATTACTGACTTTTAGTTTGACCACAGATAACCATAATATTACATAGTTTGACATAGCCTTCGCAATTGTGTATTTTATGACATAAAACAGCTTTGCATAAGGGCCCTTTAACTCACACCATACAGACCCTAAAATCTTCATGCCCATAAAATTATTTCAATTTGTCTCGTCTTGGATACAGTGATTCAGTTGTATTACTGACTTTTAGTTTGACCACAGATAACCATAATATTACATAGTTTGACATAGCCTTTGCAATTGTGTATTTTATAACATAAAACAGCTTTCCATAAGGGCCCTTTAACTCACACCATACAAACCCTGAAAATTTGTCTCGTCTTGGAGTTAGGTTCACTGTACACTGACTTTTTGCATGGCATATCCCTCATATAACCCTGTTTAAATTTTCTAAATATAATGTAAATTACAATAAATAGTTACGTTTCATAAATATAGTCAATTCAGTTGATTATAGTCTACTAATGATCGTCCATCGAGATATATTTAGCGAGGTAGGCTTTGTGTTTCGAAGGCGAGTGAGATAAATCATTTATGAGTGTGGGAGAAAATACCTTAATTATAAATGTTCAATTAGTATTTTTCTGTTAACCTATTACCCCCAAAAATACTTACTTTAATTTCAGTACTAGTCTATAGTACTAAATTTAATAAGTATTTTTGGGGGTTGGAATGAGGGGTGTCGCAAAAAAATAGCAAATAAGGGCGTCACAATACGAATACATTTGCGTAGTCCTGCCATAGGGTGTTATGTACGCCATATCTATATTTGTGTATTTGTGCATTAAAGTTTTAATTAATAAATAAATAAGGCAGTTAATTTACAAGGTGTCAACCGACATCAAAGGTTTGACTGGACCTTTGAATGGTAGCGTACAAGGTACTACGGGCACATATGAGTCTGTTTACCATTACAATAATATAAAAAATACATCATCTCACTCTCCATTTCACGATGACCTCGGTGGTCTAGCTATTTAATACATTGCTTCACATTCCAATAAATGTCGGTTCGATTCCCTTACAATATAAACATTTGTATTCATGACTGTTGTATTTATGTCTATTATATGTTCAACATATGTTATATTAAAGTTGAAAAAGTATAGGATATGTTAATTATTTACATTAAATGCTAAGATAAAATTATATTGTAACATTAGGTATTTCTAACACACCTACACGAATACAAACAAACATACCTATGAATACAAACATTTAGATCATGGCCTCAAACCCGCGACCATCGGTAGTAAATCGGCGTGCTAAACCGCTAGACAACCGACGCCAACTAGTTACTGTCTTGTTAAAAATAATTATGCTAACTGTTCGATAATTACAATTTATATAAAAATTCGGCAAGTTCATATAATAATAGTTGTAAAATTTTCCAAACCACTTCCACAAATGTCATTATCACTAAGTTATTTTACAAATTAACCGTTATATGGGTAGTGTATTCGAAACTGAGGACTTGAACATGCTTCCGAAGAACCTGGTGCCCAAAGATCCGCCAGGGAGCGCGTCCATCATCATCCAAATGAGAGCTATGACTTGTGCCACCGCGCACACCACCGTAAGGATCGTACTTTGCAGATGCATCGCGCAGTACAGCGTTGCTATCAATGTCACACAGTACAACACTGTTGAAAGAGCTCGCTCCTTTGAGAACATCGATTTCAGATGCGCCCATGGTCCGTATAGGAAAATCCGTTGCTAAAAGATTTAAGTATACATGAAACAATTAACAAAATATTAATAAACTACTAATCGCTTCAAAATCCGGCGTAGTTTTAAAGCCATAGGGACGGACAGACAGCGACTCTACATGTATTATATATATAAACCTTCCTCTAGAATCACTCCATCTATTAAAAAAATCGCTTCAAAATCCGTTGCGTAGTTTTAAAGATTTAAGTATACATAGGGACGGACAGACAGCGACTTTATTTTATACTAGCTACTCGCCCCGGCTTCGCCCGGGTCTACATGTATTATATATATAAACCTTCCTCTAGAATCACTCCATCTATTAAAAAAAAACCGATTCAAAATCCGTTGCGTAGTTTTAAAGATTTAAGCATACACAAGGACGGACAGACGGCGAGTTTATTTTATACTATGTAATGACTAGCACGGGTCCAATGTCTGATTTTCTTCTTTTATTAAAACTAAGATATCTCCCAAAATGTTCGTTGAAATCAAACGATGTAAAGGAGAATTGTGCTCAAAATTAAATACTTGTAGTAAATAACATAGTTATTAGTAAGAGGCTCAATATCATGTTTCTGAAATCACGTTCGCAAATAATGCATTTTTTTAGAAGAAATTTGATTACCATAAAACAAATAATAAACTATTATTTTTTTAATTTTAAATAAAGCAACACGTGAGATTCTTGATCCACGTTCTTGTCGTCTGCTTTTCGAACGAGTGGTAGAATTTTAATAAATATACTATACTTATAGTTTTTTGAGTAAATATTATTTTTATTATAATTCATAAATTAAAAAATAAAATATACTGAAATAAACAGCCGGTGTATATTGTAGTATATATAGTCTTTGGCATAATTGATATTGTTCATAACGTACTCTGTGCAGTTGACAGAGCCTGGTTGTAAAAATGGCGGGAACGGCCTAATTAAATGTGAAGCGCAATTTAGCGTTTTATTTATTTAAATATTTAAATACAAATTGGCGACGAGTCATAATTCACGTGTGTAATTAAGTCTGCATTAATAAAATTGTAGTCGTACAGCCTATAAGAGAAGAACCATGATAAAATTATTGATCTCTCAAATACCTTGCAATCAATCGGAATTAGGCCGTAAATATTTATTTACGTTCCGCTCTACTCAGCTCACTCTATTATTATATTAAATATAAAGGTATATTATTTTCGTTATTTTGAAAATTCATTATAATTCAGTAAATATTTATTTACAATCCGCTCTACTCAGCTCACTTTATTATTCAAAAGTCGTACAGCCAACAAGACAAGAATCATGATAAAATTATTGATCTCTCAAATACCTTGCAATCAATCGAAATTAGGCCGTAAATATTTATTTACGTTCCGCTCTACTCACTCTATTATTATATTAAATATAAAGGTATATTATTTTCTCATTATAATTCAGTAAATATTTATTTACGATATTATTATATTATTAAATATAATTTTGAAAATTCATTTTAATTCAGTATATTATTTTTCGTTATTTTGAATTATTTTCGTTATTCATTATAATTCAGTAAATATTTATTTACAATCCACTCTACTCAGCTCACTTTATTATTACAGTCAACAACATTTGCATTCATTATAATTACAATGTTTCACACATTTTTCAAACTTATATGCTATCTTGTATTGTTAATAGAATAGAATAGAATAGAAAATCATTTATTCAAATAAACTTAATTTAAGCACTTTTGAATAGTTAACAGTGTAGTTTTTTTAAATCTACAGCTTATTCGGAAAGCTGTCTTATCACAAGAAGAATAAGCAAGAAACTTGTGTGTTGCTCTTTTAAACAATCCTTGAAGTTCACATTTTACAAGTCGAAACGTGTGAATACAAACTACCAACCAGCACTAATTTATTTAGGCTTAAATAAAAACTAAAATAAAAACACAATAAGATTAAATCAGTCGTAGTGATAATAATAATAAGCTAAAGATAAGTTTTCTTTTGGTGAAAATCGAGTTTTTCACTTATGTGTAATGGTAGAACAAATTTGTTGAAAGAATATCTAAATTTGTTCATCTACCTATTTGTATGTTAGTACAATAAAGTATAATAAAAAAACACATGTGAAACGTCGATTTTAGTTGCCTTATCCTATAGACGAAATTTCATCGAATTTAATTAGGTATTGTAGATATTTTTCATAGTAGCACGTAAGCCACAAGTCACTGTTGGTTACAGCCTACAGACGTGTGTCAGAGATTCTTATCTACGCTGTAATATATCATTCTAAATGAGATTATATCAAACATAGACAACGGTTACGAGACAGGTGTAATAGATAACAAATATTTTTTATTTGGATATTTTTTCATCAAGCATTTTTTGTCTATAGGTAAAGTCTGAACTGGATGATTCTTTTTTAATCAAATCAAACTAAAAAACATTTATTCATGTTGGACATTTTAGTCGCTTATGAAGGTCAATTTTTTTTGCTGCCGCCCAAAACAGTCAATTAAGCAGAACTGGCAAGTAGCTCAACAAAATTTATTTCCTTTAAATGCCAGTTTATTTTACATTGTGAACTTAATGATATAGGTGTCTATGACTAACATTTGATGAAAATGGCGTACATGAACAACTATTGCTATGCACGTTTGTCATTTAAGTAATATTTTAGTGTGCAATAGGGTTTGCTCAATAAATATGATTTACCAATGATTCAAATACATTTTAAATTTAAATAAACGCAATTCCAGTCTATCCTTTGGTATCTTATTGTAAAATTGTATACTCATTCCCCTAAAAGACTCATTGACTTTTTCTAAACGATATTTAGAAACAGCACTCTAATAGAGTTTATTTTTATAATAGCAGTAACTATATTCACGCCATATCCATTGTGGAGTAGACAGCGAGTACCAACTGAGTATTAAAATATACTATATATATATAATATAATTTTATACATATAGGAGTGGGTGCCGCGAGATAGTTAAGTGTCAATATGTTACGGTACTCCCCCTAACATACATGTCCTAATCAATCTTTGTATTTGCTAATTGCAAGACATTAGATAATTAGCGGCTGCCACTGACCTAAATATACCAATTTGCGAGTCAACGAACAAAAGAAATAATAGAAGTAGAAATCATCACACTTTCGTGTTTAATATACATTATTTATTATGTTAATCCGAATTTAATCAATAGATAAGTTTCTTGTCAATAAATTTTGACTGAAGATGTATTTCGAAAGGGCCAATAGAATTTTTTTTTTCGGACTACTCTAATGCTGTTGGCCGCAGCTGTCCTTTACAGCTTCACCGGACGATAGGGGGCGAGTGCAGATAGCACTCCAAACCTGCGGAAGGACTTATGCAGCGGCTGAAGACCACCTGACGAATATGACTTTAGAGTTAGACTGAGGTCACCGCTAAGGTTTCGAACCTCAGCTCAGGCCGTCGTAATTTCGATTCACGTTTGAATTGTATGGCCGCTCGTACAAGTTTATTTGGAGTAAGATTATTTGTATGTATAAATTTTACATGATTAATATTATAGTGAATGAAGATATTTATCTCTCTCAATGTTTCAAATAGGTTGCACTGTGGTCATAAACTGACTGGAGTAACAGAAGTGTCAAAGTCGATAGGTGCCAGCAGTTTTTCCATTACCATCACTAGATACATTTATATTGTTAAACTGAATAAATAAACTGTGGTAGTCTGTAGTTTTATTCTAAACTGTGGTATTCGTAAACCACAAAAGGATAAACCTAAAATAGAACTTTATGACTAGCTCTATGGTCACACACACATTGAATTTATAAATTAATTAGTATTTTTAATATTATGTACATGCTCATTTGAAAAGAATAAGAGCAGAATTCTTAACTCAAAAGCACTCCGAACTGACGGTAGATTTGACATATCATAAGAGTCTGTAATAGACCTACATGAATAGAGATATTTTGATTCAATTGATTTTAGTTTAATATTTAATACAATACAGAGTTTTGTTCCATTAATCTGGGATATGATTATTTGTGTACATCATTCTAATTTATGTGTATTCTATATTGAGCCCCAAGTTGTCATTAGAACTAGACTTACAAATTGGTGTGACTGCAGGATATTTGTTAATATAAGTTACTTACCTAAGTATGAAGAAGAAGCTTCCCAATGTAAACAACATGGAGAATTTCCTCGCTTTTAGTAACAAAACTGGTATCAAAGCGAATGATATTATAAAACAAACCACTCCAAGAAATATGCATGCTCCAAACGCTATAAACCTCTGTGAGCGACTCTGAAATGATAAACAAACGCAAAGATTACCATATTCTAATTATGACTCATCCGCGCATCATTTCGAGACAATACATGTTCATTTATAACAGTTAACTTGTCAAAATACTTACCAATGTACAATACTCCTTTTGAACTTCCTGGAACCAACTTTCATTGGTACTACTACTTGGCGTTTGTTCACCACTAGGACTCCGCGACATAAAACTTGGTGTTGAAAATGTAGGTAAATTGAATTTGTAACTTCGACTTTTATCATTTTGTAGTAAATACTCATCTAAATCTGATTTCAAAGTGGCCATTATGACTTTCTATCGAGTTCACCAATTCTTTAGCGTACTATAATATTCAACATGGAATTACAAATAATTGCCAAATATTTCGTCACGATTCAAGAAATCCAAATCACAAAAATAATACATTTAACATTTTACGTTCACTTCGCACTTCGCAGCTGAAAACCAATGGATTGGGAAAATAAAAACAACTTGACAGTAGTCTGACGTCAAACTATGACAGCTAAGTGGCGGTAACTGACATTCGATTCATTTTTTTTCATTTTTGCGAACTGGAAGCAAAGTGCAGTTTAGTGTAAAAGACAAGAAATTGTAATAACCGAGAATAAACTTTAATTTTTTAGAACGTAGTACCGCATATAGCAAGACTCTACGGTTGAAGCCATTGAAATATTCAATAACTTTATTAGAAGTGCGCATGTGCCGTAACAGACCGTTGTTAATCGATTTTTACAGGACATTTTTAAAATGAATCTTTAAATAAAAAAATTGAAAATTATTTAAATATTAATATCATAATCTGTAACTTACCATAATCTGTGTCATCACTAAAGTCATCGTGGACGTGCCGACGGATGTTGTTGTTGTAGCGGTCATGCGCACAAGGGGGACAAACGCCGCGAGTTTCACGGTCGTCTAGGTCAGTACTACTCGCATCTGAATCTATTTCTGCGTCTTCGATATGAACGTCTTCAGTTTGTCTATTATCAAGTTTCTCATTCGATGACAACTGGTTGTAGTTTTTCCGAGGCGGCCGCGATTCTGTAAAAGAACAATAAATTTCATGAATAAAATGAATATGATTTTATTATTAGCTTCGAACTTGATATTGTGCTGTTCAGTTAATTATATTAACCACATTTAAACTTTTAATGTTATTTCCTTTGATTCAAAAGAGCTAGGGCTGATTTTTTTCCTTGAGTAAGATGTATCATACACAATTCTGTAAAACATTTTTTTAAAAGAGCAAGACTCAAGATCCTTTATTGTTCTACTAAGAATAGAGTAACATTTAATAATTATACTTTGATTATCTGAGGCTATATACATCCTTTGACAATTCACATAACGCCATCTAGTGTAAATACAATAATAATATGAGCTTGTGTTATAGTAGATTACTGTTATAAATACATGATACTTTATTGTAAATAAAATAATAATATACATAGAAAACACTCAGACCGATACAAACAATCTTGCTCATGAATACAGAAGTTTGTACCGGCGACTATCGGAACTAAAGCGATGTGCTAAACCGCTAGACCTAGGTTGTTAATTATAGATGTATAGATGTATATATGTATAGATGAGATCTAGAACTCTTTGTACAAAGCCTATATACATATATATAGGCATCCATGCATAAAAAAAGGTTATCTAGATTTTATCTCAGTCCTCATTCATCCACAGACAACCGAATTGTTGTCAAACGTAGGTAACTAAATGATAAAACATGATATGGCAGAGGTCGCATTGTGGCAATCACTATGACTACTTATAATTGATACATCAACAACCAACTCATCAGTAGACTCGGACTGCTTTGACGCAACACGTATGTAATCTTATATATCATACGCAATATGTCTGTTTAAATGCTACTTACTGCTATGTTTGCTAGGTCATCCCAACAATGTTATTGTAATTGTTTTTTTTTTATTACAGTTGAGTAATTTTGATTTTTTTATCTGCTATATTATTCACTTGTTTAACCCGATTCTCTTAACTGCGTTACAAGCGAGTGTGTTATAATGCTGGGGAAATGTTTACATGTTCATAATGAGTATGTAAGTTACATTTTCAGTTTAGGGCCCGTGCCATTTTGTAAGAAGTTACGAATTTTGCCCAGTTTTTACTATCCTTCAGTGGCAGGTATATAATATATAAGTTTCAAATCAAAAATAATTTATCATGTAGGACATTTTAGCTGCTTATGAACGTAATTTTTTTTTGTATTAATATATTTTCCTGCATATATCGTATACGATATATCTGACATGTAAAATTGTCGAGTCACAGTGTTTATAACAAGTCCTGCGAAACGAATTGACCGATTTGTAAGAAATTATATATTCAGTAGGTCTGAGAATAGGACTTTAATTATTTTCCATATTCCTAACTGATAAGGGTAGTTCACTCCAATGTTTTATTTTTAATTTGGTAACAATATTTCCTATTTTAAATTTGATGTGATTCTGAATTAAAAAACTCATACAATAGGATTGTTGATATTTTCATCCATACAGCCATATTTTTTAAATATCGATATTAATTGATCTCTAATTTATATAGCAAAACAACGTTTGCCATGTCAGCTAGTATTTAAACATTATTTTTAATTAACTTTCTGTACTTTTCCAGTGAATAAGGATGGACAGAAGCGCTCCAAAGATAGCTATACTCGGAGCTGGAGTAGTTGGGCTCACAGTTGCTGATATTTTACAGAATCACCTCAATAAAGCCAATATAACCATTATAGCTGACAGATTCAAAGAGGACACCACAAGCTCCGTTGCCGCTGGTATTTTTAGACCGGGGACAAGTTTTAGAGGTGCTACAAGAGAAATTACACAGAAATGGGTAGACGACTCGTGGCTCTATTGGCAAGATATATTAAAATCAGCTGAATCTTCAAATGCTGGAGTCATGGCGTTGTCTAGTTATATATTTTCCAAAGAAAACTATCATGTAACTAGAAATCCTTTGATTGAAAATCTAGTTCCAATTTATAGACCAGTAGAGGATGAGGAGTTGAAAATTTGTGGTTCAGACTGGAAATATGGATCATATTTTTCGACGGTAAAGACTGGATGCGACAGATATTTGCCGTGGGTCGAAAAGAGATTCATTGCTAAAGGTGGCAAGATTGTGAACCGAAAGATCGACAGTTTCACGGATACATCACTACGCCAGTACGATTTGGTTTTCAACTGCACCGGTTTGGGCGCGAAATATTTGTGTAACGATTACGATTTAGTTCCACTACGTGGCCAGATTATTAAAGTCAAGGCGCCGTGGTTGAAGACGGCGTTTTATGGTGATTACGACACTTATATCATACCTGGCTTGGATGGCGTAGCTACATTAGGAGGGGTGAGGCAGTATGATAGTTATAGTTTAGAAGTTTGCAAGCACGATGCGGCGGCCATTTGGGAACGGTGTTGCCAGCTGCTGCCAGCTTTAAGGAAAGCTGAAATTGTTGCCCATAAAGTAGGGTTGAGACCGCATAGAGTGCCTGTTCGGGTGGAGCCTGAATTAATTGGCGGTCTGAAGGTAGTTCATTGTTATGGACACGGCGGATATGGAGTGATGTGTGCTCCAGGGACGGCTCTACACGCCGTGAAGATCGGACAAGATATTTTGAAAAGTAATGTCAGAAATAAATTGTAAAACAATTATACTCTGGATAATTGTTTTACATTATTTAAGAAGATTTTTTTAAGAACTAATAATTTTAACGAATACCATGCATACTCTTATTTCGTGACAGATTGCATCGTTCTCACCTACACCTTGAATCTGTAATGAGAATTTTTTGTCGAATAATTTATTTAATTAAATAACTTTAATGCAAATTATTTCAAAGTAAGCCGAACTTAACACCATGCAGCAATACCTACAAGTGTAAAGAATAATTGTTGGCGATGCGAACATAAATAAATACAAATATATATGAATAAATAGCTAAGTACATAAATAATCTGCGAGTCTAGACATGTTGTAATTGAACTTATCGATAAACAACTACATATAAAGACAAATAAATCACGCGGACGGTAGCTATTGAATTGTCTTCGATAGCTTCAATTGCCATGTCAAATAGATTGTAGATAACTAGATAAATATAACAAAAAAATCTTTATTTATCTCAAATATAAAACTATTACAATTGCTGCTTGTAATTTAGAAGTAATAATCGAGACAGAACGGTCTATAACTCAGAGGAGGCAATGAGTCTGCCTTCTCTGCTATTCTGTTGCAGCCTTTATTAGTATATTAATACAATAGAAAATTTATGACGATGATAGTATGACACTTACGTTCTATACTGTCCCATACTAATAGAGTAAACATAAAGATTTGAAAATCTTGTATATGTATACAATATTAATTTGAAATATACGATCTGTGAATATTGTTTATTTTATTGTATTACTTTCTAATAATCTGAAATGAAATAAAGGTAATGTAATAATATTTAAACCAATATCTATGTAAAAATTGTTAAAATAACTTATCTTTCGACGGTTGCGGGTTCAATTCCCGAATAATATAAATATGTGCACGTATGAGTATGTATTTATCAGGATGGTCTTATAGGTACTCAAATAGATTGTGTATAATAAAATTTGAATATATAAAGCATCTTTTTAAGTAAGTTTATAAATGACTATTATGAGTTCTATATATAAAATGTGTGCTTAAAAAATGCATAATTAAAAATATTTAAGAAAAATCAACGTTTCATTTATTTCTTATTTTAATACAAAAAAAAATATTGAGGTCAATCAGAAAAAACCAAATTCAAATTAAAAAATCGTTTATTCAAATTTAGCCGCTTATGAACATCAAATTTTTTATTTTAATATTTTTCCCTACTGTCCAGTTCAGTATATAGATTCAATTGAGAAAAACTGTCAAGAAACTCACATGAATTACTTTTTTTTAAAAGCCTGTTTATTTACAACGTATTTTTATATAGGTGTCTATGTCTAACATCAAATAAAATTCCCGTGCATGACCAATTAAAAATACAAATAAAATACTTAATTATAAAGTTGCGTTCATTCAAACATAAAATAGAAACTGTAATCGCGTTCAATATTTGTGTAAACTAATATTCTCAACAAAGTACATTAATTAAATAGTATTTTTTGTAAGTTACTATTTCATTACAATATCAACGCTGATATATATTAGGTAAATACCATCAAATCATCGTTATCTTGACGCTATCTCAATTTCTCCCGCTATTGTCTACATGATAAAGTTAATGTTTGTTACGCCATACCAGAGTAAACACAATATAAATTTGATTGGTTCGGCATCAGTATTCGTATCAACAGCTCACAGACTGGAGTACTTGACGAATCACGTATGTACTCGTAATATCATATTTATTCCAAACAATCGATTTTTTTTGTTCTATTTTTAATCAAACCTCGTTTATTATAACAATAGTAATAATATTTATTTTACTGCTCACAAGGATCACAAGGAATTTTACAATGTAAGTAAATATTTTTAATGAACCCTCGTTTATTATACCAATAGTAATAATATTTATTTTCCTGCTCACAAGGATCACAAGGAATTTTACAATGTAAGTAAATATTTTTAATCAAACCTCGTTTATTATAACAATAGTAATAATATTTATTTTACTGCTCACAAGGATCACAAGGAATTTTACAATGTAAGTAAATTATATTTAAACTTACAAGTTATTCCTTGTGAGAGTCTGGAGTGGAGTGGTGGAGATGGCGCTGTGTTAATTGTTCAGGGTTATAGATATATTATTTACTATAATAATAATAATAATAATGCTGTTAGATTCTGCCCGCATTGTACGCCGGTTTCTCTCCCTGGGGCCCTGAACCCCGGCCGACTGTGCTTCTGCCGGGGGTAAAAAAAAATAATAACCTCAGTACAATTCACACAGCGCCATCTAGACCCAAGTTAAGCTGGCTAATGCTTGTGTTATGGGTACTAGATAACTGATACAAATACATAGGTAAATTTTTTTTTTCGTAAATACATACATATTATACATAGAAAACATCCAGACCGATACAAACAATCATATTTATGAATATAAATATTGGCACCGTGCGAAGAATCGAACCCGCGACCATCGGTCGTAAAGCGGTGTGCTAGACCGCTAGACCACCGAGGTCGTCAAGGTACTAGCAGCGACTTCGTCCATGTGAAATATAACTTTATTTTTCTAGAATGACAGTAGCCTAAGTTACTCCTTATTACATCAGCTACCTGCCAATAAAAGTCCCGTCAAAATCGGTCCCAAAAATTGTAAAAAATGTTAAGTTGGTGTATGTACCATATTTATATTCATATGCATGTAGTAAAAAATTACAAACAGACACTCCAATTTTATTTATATGTATAGAATTATAATAATAACAAATTTAATTCAGAATTGTATTTAACTTAAAATTCACAGTGCAGACAATATTATCTGATTGCACTAAGAATGAGTGCGTAGCGATTTCTATGTTGATTATCGTATGCCTCTTACTTATTATTGTGTAATTATTATATTAAAAAATCATCAAATCAAAAGAGCAATACACAAGTTTCTTGCTCATTCTTCTTGTGATGAATCTGCGTTTCGAATGTGTGGTTGAATAAAAAATGACTTATCAAAAGTGCTTGTATTATGTTTATTTGAATAAAGGTTGATTTTATTTCCATTTCAAAACCAATAGGTACTTCAATAAGTATGACAAATATATCTACAATCTTTCACATTAACAATAATTGTAGGATAGTATAGTTAGCATTATTTCTATTTAATAATAATAATAATAATAATAATAATCATTTATTCAGCATAAAAAAGAGTACAGAGTAAAAAAGAAAACTTAAATACTAATAATCGTCTATGCTCAAAAGGCTTTCACTCAGCTGGTGCCGCAGCATGTTACTACAGCGCTGATTTTCAGTGGAGCCACTTGAAGAAAAGAAATAAAGAAGAAATAGCATTCGTGATGAATTTAAATATCTAAAATGAAGAATCAGTTAAATGGATGAATTATAAGTATGTGTGATAAATAGAAGAAAAATATATAAGGATAAAAAAGTGTTGATAGCAAGACTTTTGTGTAATATAATATAGCTTGAATATATTTATTTATTTAATCAATATATATGTATATATGACTACTGTATTTATCTGCCACGTTTAAGATTTTTGTACTTTAAGTAAATATTTTTTAAAATGATGTTTTCAAAGACGAAACTGACTTCACTCTATTGTTTCAGTGAACAATAACGATGGACAAAAACGCTCCCAAGATAGCGATTGTCGGAGCCGGGGTCGTGGGTCTGACAGTTGCTGATATTTTACAGAAGGACCTCAATAAAGCGAACATAACTGTGATAGCCGATAAATTCAAGGAGGACACCACAAGTTCCGTTGCCGCTGGTATTTTTTGCCCGGGATCGAGTTTTAGAGGTGCAACGTTAGAAATTGCACATAGATGGATCGAAGATTCGTGGTATTACTGGCAAGATATATTGAAAACACCTGAAGCATCAACTGCTGGTATCATGGAGTTATCTAGCTATGTATTTTCGAAAGAAGACTACGGCGTTACTAGAAATTCTTTCATTGAAAATCTAGTTCCGATCTACAGATCAGTTCAAGGTGAAGAGTTAAAAATCTGTGGCCCAGACTGGAAATACGGATCGTATTTTACAACAGTGAAGATAGGATGCGACAGATATTTGCCGTGGGTCGAAAAGAGATTCATTGCTAAAGGTGGCAAGATTGTGAACGGAAAGATCGATAGTTTCACGGATACATCACTACGCCAGTACGACTTGGTTTTCAACTGCACCGGTTTGGGCGCGAAATATTTGTGTAACGATTCCAACATATTCCCAATGCGTGGTCAGGTTATTAGAGTTAAGGCGCCATGGTTGAAGACGGCTTTCTTTGGCGATTATGATACTTATATAATACCCGGTTTGGATGGTGTAGCCACATTAGGCGGCGTGAGACAATATGATACTTATAATTTAAAAGTTTGTAAGCACGACGCGGCGGCCATTTTGGATCAGTGTAGCCAGATGTTGCCAGATTTAAAAAAGGTTGAAATTGTTGCCCATAAAGTGGGGTTGAGACCGCATAGAGTGCCGGTGCGGGTGGAGCCTGAGTTAATTGGTGGTCTGAAGGTAGTTCATTGTTATGGACACGGCGGAAACGGGGTGATGTCAGCTCCAGGTACTGCTTTGAATGCTGTGAAAATAGGATACGACTTTTTGAAGACGAACGTCAAAAACAAAATATAATAAATATAATGGGTAATCAAAATATTGATTAGCTCACATTATCACGTCATATTATCGTATAGTTATATCTTTTTTAACATTGAGTTAATACATGTATTATGTACACCAATGAAAAATGTTTATTACTTATAATATTTTTTTATAATATAACATATCCCACCTTACCCATCTTAGGTTGGATTCCCACAGAAACGTGAATATAAAATTGTCAAATGGTCTACATTCGACCACATTAAATTTAATATTTGATTAGACTGAAAACAAATAATATTAAAGATAAACAATATTAATCTAGTCTCACTATTCACTGCACTCTATTGACAAATTTTAACAATAAAAAAGAGCACCGTACATACGTGTGTCAAATACACGGTAGTGTATAATATTTTAATTATTGATATAATGTATTATTATGAAGATAATTTTTTAAAAAATATTAGTAATCTGCATTGCTCTATATAAACTATAATTGTGCTAAATTTCATACCCGCGCAATTTTCATAAAAAGGTATAAAGAGTTTTTGCTTCTCGTATAGATTATCGAGTATAGATTTTGACCTTTTTTATGTAGTTATCCTATTAATATTCTAAAAGCGAAAGATTGTGAGTATGGATGGACGATTGTTACTCTTTCACGCAGAAACTACTGAACGGATTTTGTTGAAACTTTACAGTGATATAGCTTATACATCAGAATAACACATGAACTATAAATTTCAGGCGGGTAAAACCGGGTTGAGGTAGTAAATAATAAAAATTTGAATCGATAGTAATATGTCACAATATAAATGGACATGTACATTTATAATTCAATTTACGAGATCCACTTTTGACATTATTAATTCACAGTCAGTAAAACTCTCTCGGGTGTACAAAAAATCGAGGACTGAATAATTTATCAACTTATGTCGTCATCTGTTGAAAGCGGACCCGGCTGGGTATCTGGATGCTTTATTTTCCACCTGACCTGCGATGTACGCCAGGAGATTGTAGATTCTCTGTATCACTTTTCTTTTTAAAAGTCATTCCGCAACCAATATAACACGCATTACACGATTCTTCAAGAAAACTTTCTTCAATTCCTTTTGAGTTTGAGCTTTTAAAAAGAACGCTGTGTAAATTATTGTAATAGATAATTTACACAGCGTTCTTTTTAAAAAACAATTTTTTAAAAATAATTTCGCAACCCATTAACACGCATTACACGATTCTTCACGAAAACTTTCTTCAATTCCTTTTGAGTCTACAAATAATAATGTATTACGATAATTTACACAGCGTAACTTTTCTTTTTAAAAGTCAATTCTTTAAAAATCATCTCACAACCCTTGTAACACTCATAGTCATTACACGATTCTTCAAAAAAACTTTCTTCAATTCCTTTTGAGTCAACCAATAATAATGTATTACGATAATTTACACATCGTAACTTTTCTTTTTAAAAGTCAATTCTTTAAAAATCATCTCACAACCCTTGTAACACTCATAGTCATTACACGATTCTTCAAGAAAACTTTCTTCAATTCCTTTTGAGTCTACAAATAATAATATATTACGATAATTTACACAGCGTAACTTTTCTTTTTAAAAATAATTTCGCAATCCTTGTATTACACGATTTTTCAAAAATATGTACTTTAATTCCATACTGAATTAACCAATGTTAAAAAAAAGTTCTGTATGAAGTGTCGCCTAGTCCCAAGCTAAGCAGAGCTTGTGTTATGGGTAATAGACAATTGATATAAAACTTAGATTAACTTACGTGTTTGTAATACATACATTCTGTATCACTTTTCTTTTTAAAAGTCACTCTTCGCTACCCTTGCAACCAGTATCACGCAATACACGATTTTTCAAGAATGTTTTCTTTAATTCAGTACAGCACAGCGTCATCTAGTCCCAAGATAAGTAGAGCTTGTGTTATGGGTAATAGACAATTGATATAAAACTTAGATTAACTTATGTGTTTGTAATACATACATTCTGTATCACTTTTCTTTTTAAAAGTCAATTTTTTAAAAATCATCTCACAACCCTTGTAACACTCATAGTCATTACACGATTCTTCAAAAAAACTTTCTTCAATTCCTTTTGAGTCAACCAATAATAATATATTACGATAATTTACACAGCGTAACTTTTCTTTTTAAAAGTCAATTCTTTAAAAATCATTTCGCAACCCTTGTATTACACGATTTTTCAAAAATATTTTCTTAAAATCATACTAAATTAGCCAATATTATTATCTCACGATAGTTCTGTGTGAAGTGCCGCCATCTAGTCCCAAGCTAAGCAGAGCTTGTGTTATGGGTAATAGACAATTGATATAAATACTTAGATTAACTTATGTGTTTGTAATACATACATTCTGTATCACTTTTCTTTTTAAAAGTCACTCTTCGCACTTGCAACGAGTATCACGCAATACACGATTTTTCAATAAAGTTTTCTTTAATTCAGTATAGCACAACGTCATCTAGTCCCACGATAAGTAGAGCTTATGTTATATGCGTTATGGGAAATAGACAATTGATATAAATACTTCTATACATTATTGTAAATGTACATTGAAAACACCTAAACCGATACAAACAATCATACTCATGAATACATGCATTGAACCGTCTAAGGAATCGAACCCGCGATCATCGGTAGTAAAACAGAGTGCTAAACCGCGAGACTAAATTCGTTTTAATATTTTTTATGTTGAATTCTCGTGGAATATCATAATTATTGAACCAGAATTATTACACCAGTAACATAAAGACAGAATGAACGTAAAAGAAAAAAAAGCGTGGACAGGTCATGCGAAGCGTCCTGATGGGACAGTCAACGAGGTCGACCCGCATTTTGTTTAAATAATACTCGGAGTGAAACCGAATGGCATAGCTAGTTTTTATACAAATTGAAAAAAGTAAAATGCGTCCGACTCCTAGTCTATATCTAACGGGACGAGACCCTCTCATATTTGAAGTGATCGCGACTGAATCGTATTACATTTATCATAATTTACCATTTAATGATGGCTGACAACAAGATGCTGTTAAGAGTAATTGTTAATACTAGTAGTATTAACATCGCGCATACTGCCATGACGCGCTCGTCATCCTACTGCATCTGTGCACCGTGCAACATTTTGTGCATCTGTGGCGAATTACGTTTGCGCGGGAAAACTAAAAAACTAAAAAAAGGAGACATTCATATAAACTGTTGTACATCTGCATTGCTAATTATTTTATACTCTTCTAAATAACTATATATATCTGCAACTTACATTTACTTGAGTATACTACTTTTATACAACAAAATCTGTATATAAATACAGCCCCTATAATCATATGCTGACACCCCTCCGATCGAATTCAAACGGGGACCGATATTACGACGGCCTGAGCCGAGGTTCGAACCCCTAGCGGTGCCCTCAGACTAAAGTCGTATCCGTCAGGCGGGAGTTGGCCTTCAGCCGCTCCATAAGTCCTTCCGCGGGTTTGGAGTGCCATTTGCACTCGCCCCCTATCGTCCGGTGAAGCTGTAAAGGCCAGCTGCGGCCAACAGCATTAGAGTACTCCGAACATACGCTGACAGTAATCCACAATACATTAACGAAATAATTACACAGCCTGTTATTTTTTTTTCTAAATATGAATTGAAATTAACTTTAATTCAATTGTGTATTAGCTGTGCTCGCGACTTTGCCCGCCTGCAATAGTGACCTTGGCTAAACAAAGTAAAAACATTTAATAATCTAACTCAAAAGATCTAAATGTTGTTGTTATGTATATTAACCTATGTTATTTCTAAGCGTAAGCGTTTCTAATTTGGTACACAAGTCTAGACTACTTGTGTACCAAATTTATTTTAAAGCAGTTCAGTCACTTTTGACCTGAAAGCGTGACAGACAGACAGAGAGAGTTACATTGAAATGAAATGAAATGAAATGAAATTTTATTGCATAAAATGTGGTACATTGGATGTGGTATTTTGAATATTAATATATTGTTCGCATTCATATTATTAGTAATTAGTCTATTATTGTCAAATATACTTTGAAAAGTTTGTGAGGTGCCTGCTCCTCAACTCACCTTCGGAGCCACAGCTAATAATCACTAAGCTTCATAATACAACTATCTTAACAATTATAGAAGTTTTCAATCGGTAGTAATTGCTTATATTTATCTGTTGCCATCAATGGGTCGCTGGTTCAGATCCGGCTCGAAGGACCAATGTCCGGGTTGTACCGAAACTAAGAAGATTCTGATAGGTAAATTTAGGTAAATCTGGTAGGAACTTATAAATGATACTGATAGAACTTGATTAAAACTGTATATTAAAACTTAAAATATAAGATTGAGGATTGAAATGAGTACGCGCGGTGCTCTTAATGATCGAATGCGAACTGATTTTAACTGAAATATGAAATGTAAAATAGAATGTTAATGTTGCGAAATAATGTACGATGCTAGCTCCTAGCTACAATGGCAGTGTTATTAAGTTCTGATAATTAAAAATTCTGAACTGTGTAATAGTACCTACGATTTAATATCGATAATATATTCGACTTCGAAAATTTTATCACAGAAATTTATTAATAACCCTATAAATGAAGACATATTTATGTAGGTTTAGAACATCGCCTTACTTCCAATGGTCGCGGGTTCGATTCCTCGCACAATACAAATATTTGTATTCATGAGTATGATTGTTTGTTATCTGGGTGTTACCTATGTAGGTCTGTGTGGATTGTCCACACAGACCTACATAGGTAACATTGGTTATTACTTCGCATATATTTATTTATTTTAGGAAAATGAACGGTGGAATTTTACATGTTATTGATCGTATCGAATTGCCTTATGCCAATTAACAATCTTCACCAATAGATCACTTATATAAGAACAAAATGAAATACTAATGATAATTTATTTATAAATTTAATTACCCTCATGATAAAATATTAAAATGAATATAACGTGAAAATGTTAACAACAAATATTGACGCTAAATTCCGAAATGTCAAATGTTTCCGTTTGACGGTTTGATATTCGCTGGCTCACGTACAGGACCGTTTTTCATTTG